GAAATAAAAGATCTTTAAGCGAAATTAATAGGTTCTTTAATAAATTTATTAATTTATTTAAAATTTATTTAATAAGTTAAAAATTTGTCACTTTCTCCCTTTAGGAATTTTTATTTCTATGAATTATTATATTCTTTCTATTCTTTACTTGGAATCAAAGTTATAAAAGCATCTAGTTACAATAAGTCACAATACACAATTAAGTGAATATTAGATAATAATAATAAATAATAATATATGATTTTTAAGCGATCAAAAAATCTTATGTTTGTATAAAAAAAAGATGCATAAAAATAGATATTTTTAGGATTTTTTTTATTTATCTTGAGCAATTAGGCAAATCTTATTTTATTTGAAATTTCTAACTATTTTGGAAAAGGTTTCATTTTGAGAAAAAACATTTTTTATTAATAGAACTGATAAATGCTCTTTATCATTTTTTTAATCCTATAATATAAATAATAAAAAAAATGATAAAAAGCATTTAGAGTTTTGTCTTTGGGTTGAAGTCCCAACTACTTTAATTTAGTGAAATTTTCCTTTCATTGTATTTTAGAAAAAATCGAAAGGACAAAAAGTCAATTAAAATAATTTAAAAAAACTAAGATAAAAAAAAAGATCTTAATTGGATTAAGATCCCAAATACCTAATTTAAACAAATTTTTATTCATGAAACCCATTGTCAATTCCATTGAATTGGCTTCTTTATTTAAATTTGAATCTCGACGATTTAATAAAAACTTGTTAGTATTGTTTTGAACAAGTTGCCGCTATGGTGAAATTGGTAGACACGCTGCTCTTAGGAAGCAGTGCTAGAGCATCTCGGTTCGAGTCCGAGTAGCGGCATAAGATCTTATAAAAGAGATATTATAAGTTTTATAATAAAATGAATACCCGACTTTTTTTTTCTAAAATCGGGGAAAACCTAGTATTAATTTTTAACAAATTTTTTATGATTTTTTCAATTTTAGAGCATATATTAACTCATATATCTTTTTCAGTCGTTTCAATTGTACTGACAATTTATTTTTTAACTTTCTTAGTTAATTTAGATGAAATTATAGGATTTTTTGATTCATCAGATAAAGGAATCGTAATTACATTTTTTGGTATAACAGGATTATTATTCACTCGTTGGATTTATTCAGGACATTTTCCATTAAGTAATTTATATGAATCATTAATTTTTCTTTCGTGGACTTTTTCAATTATTCATATAGTTTCCTATTTTAAGAAAAAACAAAAAAATCACTTAAACGCAATAACTGCGCCAAGTGCTCTTTTTATTCAAGGTTTTGCTACTTCAAGTCTTTTAAACAAAATGCCTCAGTCTGCAATATTAGTACCAGCTCTCCAGTCCCAGTGGTTAATGATGCACGTAAGTATGATGATATTAGGCTATGGCGCTCTGTTATGCGGATCATTATTATCAATAGCTCTTCTAGTCATTACATTTCGCAAAGTCGGACCCACTTTTTGGAAAAAGAATAGTAAACAAAAAAAATTATTAAATGAATTCTTTTCTTTTGATGTACTTTACTACATAAACGAAAGAAATTCTATTTTACTACAACCAAACATTAATTTTAGTTTTTCTAGAAATTATTATAGGTATCAATTGATTGAACAATTAGATTATTGGAGTTTTCGGATTATTAGTCTTGGATTTATTTTTTTGACCGTCGGCATTCTTTCAGGAGCTGTATGGGCTAATGAGACATGGGGTTCATATTGGAATTGGGATCCAAAAGAAACTTGGGCATTTATTACTTGGACCATATTTGCAATTTATTTACATATTAAAACAAATAGGAATGTTAAGGGTATAAATTCTGCAATTGTGGCTTCGATAGGCTTTCTTTTAATTTGGATATGCTATTTTGGCGTCAATCTTTTAGGAATAGGTTTACACAGTTATGGTTCATTTACATCAAATTAAATAAAAAAAACATTAACAAAAAAAGAAAGGAATCCAAATAAAAAAGAATAGCATCTTTTCTTTATAAAACTTCATATCATATAAGTTAAGAAGTCGAATTTAGATTTAGTAGTAAATGAGCAAGAACCTTTTGAATCAAGTACTACAATGATTCAAAAGGTTCTCACAATACAAAGGCCAAAGACTTCTTCTGATTACAATTCAATTTAATACTTTTTTTTTTTTCCTTAAAACTATCCATAAAAATAATTAGATAAAATGGATTCGACCTTGTCACTTGCTAATGAGAGCACAAAATCAGGATAAAGCCCAATACCAATTATGGGTAGAAGAATAGAGATTGAAAGAAATAACTCTCGGGGTCCAGAATCAAAAAAAGAAAAGTTTTTTACATTAATTAATTTGTATCCATAGAACATTTGGCGTAACATAGATAATAAATATATAGGAGTTAATATCATTCCAATTGCCATTACAAAAATAATTAAAATTTTGGAAATTAAGAAATATTTTTGACTGGTAATTATTCCAAAAAAAACGATTAATTCTGCAACAAAACCACTCATGCCCGGTAATGCAAGGGAAGCCATCGATAAGACAGTGAACATTGTAAATATCTTTGGGATGGAGATGGCCATTCCACCCATTTCATCAAGATAAACAAGCCGAATTCTATCATAACTCGTTCCTGCCAAGAAAAAAAGTGCAGCGCCAATAAATCCATGCGAGATTATTTGTAAAATAGCTCCATTAAGTCCAGGATCCGTTATAGAACCAATACCTATAATTATAAAACCCATATGAGATACAGAAGAATAGGCAATTCTCTTTTTTAAATTACGTTGACCGGGAGATGTTGAAGCTGCATAAATTATTTGGATTGTACCGACTACCATCAACCAAGGAGAAAACATAGAATGGGCGTGAGGTAATAATTCCATATTGATTCGAACCAACCCATATGCTCCCATTTTTAATAAGATTCCAGCGAGAAGCATACAGGTACTGTAATGTGCCTCGCCATGGGTGTCAGGTAACCAAGTATGTAAAGGGATAATCGGCGATTTGACGGCAAAAGCAATAAGAAATCCAATATAAAATAGTATTTCGAGTGTCACAGGATAGGATTGATTAGCTAATAGTTCTAAATTTAATGTTGGTTCGTTCGAACCATATAAACTTATACCTAAAACGCCTATTAATAAAAAAATAGAACTTCCTGCAGTGTATAAAATAAATTTTGTAGCTGAATACAGACGTTTTTTTCCACCCCACATGGATAAAAGTAGATAAACTGGGATTAATTCTAATTCCCACATAATGAAAAAAAGTAAAAGATCCCGAGAAGAAAATGATCCTATTTGACCGCTGTACATTGCTAACATCAGGAAATGGAATAATCGGGAATCCCGAGTAACGGGAAAAGCCGCTAAAGTAGCTAAAGTAGTAATAAATCCGGTCAGTAAAATCGTTCCGATAGAAAGTCCATCTATCCCCAGTCTCCAGTAAAAATCAAAAAAATTGATCCATTTATAATCTTCGGACAGTTGAATTAATGGATCGTCCATTTTAAAATTATAACAAAAAGCGTAGGTCGTTAGAAGCAGTTCTAAGATACAAATGCATATTGTATACCACTTATTGACTTTATTTCCCCTATGCGGGAGAAATAACATTAATGAACCGGCAGATATTGGAAAAACAACAATTATTGTTAACCAAGGAAAATCATTCGTGGTAAAGACAAGATACACCAGGTCCAAAGAACGCGTACTCAAAAAAATAGATAAATAAAAAAATATAATTTAACTTTTTTGAGTACGAGTACTTGTCAATAAAAAAAAATAAAATTTATTCCAAATTTATTCAAATGAGGTTTTCGGTAACGTATCAATAAGCTAGACCCATACTTCGAGTTGTTTCATGCCATAAATAAACTCGAACGCTCAAAAAATCCGTTGGACAGGCGGATTCACATCTCTTACAACCAACACAGTCCTCAGTTCTTGGAGCGGAAGCTATTTGCTTAGCTTTACATCCATCCCAAGGTATCATTTCTAATACGTCTGTAGGGCATGCTCGGACACATTGAGTACATCCTATACAGGTATCATAAATTTTTACTGAATGTGACATAGGATCTATAGTTTTTTGAATGTCATAAATTTTCAATCTAGTAAACTTCTAACTAAAATGATATATTAAAATACTAGATGAAGCAATGATTTCCTTTACTAGAATTTTTGTAATAAATTCTGGCTCAATTGATAAAAAAAAAGGGCTAAAATACTTTAATTTCTTAGATTTTCACAAATATAATCTAGTTAAGTCAAAACCTATTATATATATGCCAATTTTCATCTATAATTTTTGATTTATGCTACTTATTTAATAAGGTCGATTGGTTGATACGAGTTGATTTTCTGTTACGATAAATTGAGGAGACTATAGCTAATCCAATAGCTGCTTCAGCGGCTGCAATTGCTATAACAAATATGAAATTTCCCTTTTCTGGCAAATTCGATAGATAGATGTGATGCTTCATAACTATATATGTACTGCCATTTTTTTTTTTTTTTCAGTTCATGATATTTTTTACTATAAGATAACCGAAACAGTCAGTACCAAAAACATTATTTCACTGACAAAACATCAGTAAGTTGGCTGCAAAATGTTTGAAAAAAGTATGTCCACGTGGAAAACCCCGATGCTTAACTTCATCAGAGATTCAGAATTCAGAAGTAGGAAAAGGGATCGATGAGAATCAAATAAGATGAATGGTAAACAAAAAAAAGAGGAATGGTATCTATAAACCTGAAACTTTGAGAAACAAAAGTAGACTGCCAATAACACAGTACATGTTTCTTCTTCTTTTTTCTTCTAGAATTGTAGAAATTAGATAAAAGTAAAACCAAAACAATACTCTCACTAATCCTACGCAATATAATCTCAACCATGTCCGATTGATTTTATCCATTTAAGAAGGATGTTCCATGCTTTTTTTATGCTGCCATAAAAGTAGCTTCTTTTCTTCAGCTGTAGCGTCGTTTGTAGATTTTCACTAGGAAGAACCAGAAGCCGTGCGCCGCTCGCATTCACCTTGTTCTTCTTTAATGAATTCCTCAAGCAGTTCACGCTGTCTCTGCGTTATATTTCTGCCAAGATAACATAAACGAAACATAAGATATTGCGACGATATGGCACTTGAGTGTTAAGTCAATTCCAGACACTATTTACTTGGGAGGCATTATGGGACTTACGCAGGGATGCTGACGTTGAAATGCACATATTGATCCCCGAATTTAGTCGACTTTCTTGCTCTAATCCCTGTTTGTATCGTAAACAAAACCATGTGAGTTCAAAAGCAAACGAACAAGAATCTACTTTACACTTGGTCTGGTTTTACTCAGTCTGTCCTCAGCTTACTTATGAACAAGAGGAACTTTTTTTTTTCTTTTCCTATTTTGCTCTCACTACTTATCTCAATTTAAAATTTCAATACTTAAACGTTTCTGTCATCTTTCAGGTATTCTACAACTGAAGTTATCGACACAAGTAAAACAGCTTACCTTTATTTCTTAGCACTACTTTCTGACCAGGTTGGGTTCCAGGACGGACCTGCAACGAAAGAGTTTCCAAGTTAGATTGCTGGAGAAGTTCCAAAAAAGTAAATGCTGTTTCCCGACGTAGAAATCGTTCACTTAGCCGGCTAACAATCTTGGCCGTTTGATAAGCTGGATTAAAATCTTAAAATAATGTAAAAATGTGAAAAGTTTTCAGAAACCTTCACTACAACATCACCGGTGAGTGTTGGAACTTGAATGGTTCCTCCAAGAATGGCCTGGCAGAAGATGAAGAATATGCTCAGTTATCATGAACAATACAAACATTGTAAAAGAGCTCAAGGATACTGCACTATAAGTCCAAAACAAATGCTGACGGCAAAAGGACCTATGAACTTTAAGAGACAGAATAGACAAGAGCATGATATTTCACCTGGGTAACACTGAGAACCGAATCCACATGAATATCTGATCCATCTCTGCGGAACACAGGATCTTCACGAACCTGGAAAGAAATACAGCCAAGATATTGAGAATGCAATTAATGATTACCTATTACTGTCTACTAGAAAGTTGACTTCAGTAAAGTTACCTTGATAGCAACATAAAGATCTCCAGGTTGGTCACCTTCAGGATCAGCCCCGCCTGCCCTTGCCACCTTTAATGTATCGCTATTGTCAACCCCTGAAAGATGAAACAAATGTGAACAAGTAAAGAGATTGAATGGATAAAGACGACACAATTCTTTTTTATCAATTAACTATGGATATGCAAAAACAAAATTACCTGGATCAATATTGATTTTCACCGACTTCTGTCCTCGAACAACTCTAGCCCCTCTACAGGATTTGCAAATACTCTGTAATACAAACACAAGAAAATTGATGAGCGATCCAATATTTATAGGAGTCTAATTCACGACCAAGCATTTAGGATGATATTAAAAGAACGTGGTGTCTGTCTTCACGTATATGTAGACATACATACACAGATAAACACTATGCATATGATACAAAAAGTGCAACAATCAAATAAGTGACATACTGAGAATGTTTGACCAGCTCCACCACACTTCTGGCAAGTTCTTTGGATGCTTAATATACCCCTTCTCATTGTTGTCTGAAAAACGTAGCTGTAGCACTTAAAAACCATAATAATAACAAATATCATATTACAGTGTTCAAACTAGAGTTCTGTAACACGAGACTGACCATCCCAGAGCCATTACAGGCTTTGCATTTTTCACGTTTGGTACCAGGAGGAACACCTTGTCCACCTGAATGTTAGAGGAAGAAAGATAACAACAATAAGCATCTTGACAGTGAGACAATAACAACATATAAAGCACTTTGTAATTAAAACTATATACATACCACAGGTATTACAAGCCATGTCGGTTTGAAACGTCACAGTTTTGGAGCATCCTTGAACAGCTTCCATGAAAGAAAGATCAAGCAAAACCTTACAACAATAAAGAGAGAAAGAAAAGAGAAACCTATTAACCTTGGAGCACAAAAATGATCCCTGGGAAAATAAGCAGAATGTAATACCTTGACATCTTGACCTCCGATATCTTGCCGGAACATGCCGTTGAAGACCTGGTTTTTGAAAGAATAAGCGTGTAAACCATTAATTTTGATCAGTTAGTCATTTCCATTGGAAAGGAAAAATGACAACAAAGAACGAAAGGTAATAATATGTCATACATCGTCATTAAATTTCCCAAAGATATCAAACGGGTTAAATCCTTCGCCGAAGCCTTGGCCTCCATCATTTGGAAATCCACCACTAGCATTTTGCTCAAACGCCTCATGCCCAACCTGCAGACATGGGGCAACAAACTTAGATCACAACTGTAAAAGATAATCGAGGGAGCAATGCTAAAACATGCCACCTTACTAATTATGAGGCATATGTACCTGGTCATAAAGGTCACGCTTCTCCTTATCTTTCAAAATCTGATCCCAACAAAAGACCAAACCAAAATCACAACTCCGTTCAGTATATATTCTAACAGATCATACCAAACGATTTATTCAATGATGTCAAACTCACTTCATATGCTTTAGAGACTTCCTGGAACTTCTTCTCAGCTTCTGGGTCATCTTTATTCATATCAGGATGGAGTTTCTTAGCAAGCTGGAAAAAATATCCAAACAATAACATCAATCAATGATAAACTAGCAGTCGTATCAAAAGAACGAAGGCAGGAACAACTAAAAGATGCAAGAACTCAGCCATATATTCCTTACGCCATAATAAGCCTTCTTGATTTCACCTTCTGGAGCATTCTTGCTTACTCCAAGAGTTTCATAGTAGTCCTTAGCGGACATGGATGAAGAACCTAGTATCCAAAAACGCAAGAGATCACTTGTTACGAGATTTCAGGTATAAGAGAATCTAACTACAACTGCCAGAATTAAGGGAGCTAAGATTCTACCTGTTCCATGAATAGATCTTGTTGAACCAAAATTAGTATTAAAGCCTCCAAAGTTGATCCATTTCCGATCATGCCCTACATTAGAAGAACATAGTGTTAATCCTAATGCAATACTCAATTTGACTCAGAACAGAGAAAAACCATTCATAGATTGCATTTTCGTATAGCGATTGCAGATCATTTACCAGATTTTGAAGCGTAATCTCCAAGAACTTTGGCAGGATTGCCAGTGCCCGTATTCAATCTCCTATAACTCCCAATAGCTATTCCCCTGAGTTTCTGCATACTCCCACAGACACCAATTAAAATTGAGCAAACGAGATCGAGAGAAAGAGAGAGAGCGAATGAGCGAGAAGTACCAACCTGATTAGCCAAATCTTGTACAAATGTTGACGATAGGCATCGACGAGTCAACAATCGAAGAACCTTTGCGCCATTGGTAGGGATCATTTTCTCGAGGCTTTCGAAGCTTCGATGTTAAGCTTCCTGCTCAAATTCTGTTTGAGAGGTTTAGTGAGTGGGGATAATTAGAGTCGAGGGCATCAAGTTGAGCAGCCAACTTAAAACCCTAGCTAAACCCTGTTTTGATGAGATGCTTCACAGAACTGTGTAGAAGACGCAATTTCTGTTGTTCGCCACACAATACCGGGTTTGACCATTTCCTTACTGTAACCCGCTAAACCTGACCCGACCCACCCGCCCATACTACCCTTTAATGGGTCCACCGGCCCATTAAACAAAATAACTAAAAACAAATCAGAACTAGTTGCCGTCGTCAGTCGTCGTCACTGTAACTTGCCGTCGTTGCGCTCCACTGTGTTCGTCTGACCGAGAAATCACGGCGAAAATTGTAAATTAAAGTCTGCTCCTTTGCCCATGCCAACCAAACTCGTGATTGCAGGTATTTCACTCTGCTCTTCAAACTTCATAGTCTGTATTCTTCTCAATCGCCTAATTTCAGTTTCATCTTACTTCCATACCCAAAAACTGCTGTGTCATTAACGAAAGATGAAAACTTGTGACCAATTTAGCTCTGAATTATGAAAAAAAACCTATGCTTGGATTTCTCAGAGGCTGTGCTATTTTACGCAGGTTGTTGATCATAATCTCATGGAGCATCGATATTAGATTTTCTCTCAATATAGGCATAGAACAATGCGGTGGTTGCTGCGAGGAAGGGTTAGTTTCTCTACCACTTTGTGTGAATGCAGCAAAGGGTTTGATTTTCAGCAGAAATGTGGTTTAGTTAACGTGAAGTTGAAATGGGTAAAAGATAGAGAACTCGATGCTGTTGTGGCTCGTGAAAAGCATCTCAAAGCAGTTTGCAATCTTGTTTCTGTCATCTCGTCTTCTCCTGATTCGAAATCACCAATCTACCACCTAAATCCTCACCGCCGTCAGCTCGGTCTGCCTCAAGATCTAAAGCTTCCTGCTTTTATCAGGAGATACCCAAACATCTTTGTGGAGCATCTTTATCGTGATAGCGCAGGTACTCGTGTTCCTTGTTTCGGTTTAACACCTGAGGCTTTAGATCTTCACCGTGAAGAAGCTAATGTTCTAGTGGTGAACAAAGAGGACGTTCTTGTGAGGTTATGTAAACTTCTTATGCTTACTGTTGAAAGAACACTTCCTTTACATTCCATTGATCATCTCAGATGGGATTTAGGTCTGCCATATGATTATCAACGTTCGTTGATTCCTGATCATCCGGATTTGTTCTGTTTGGTGAAGTTACCAAGCGATCTTGTTGGTTTGAAGTTGATACATTGGGATGAAAGACTCGCTGTTTCCCAAATGCAACTTAAAGAAGACTCGAGAAGTGATGATCATATGGCGTTTCCGGTTAAGTTTACGAGAGGGTTTGGGCTGAAGAGGAAGAGCATGGAGTGGCTTCAAGAATGGCAGAGACTTCCTTACACGTCGCCTTATGTCGATGCGTCTCATTTGGATCCAAGAACAGATTTGTCAGAGAAGAGAAATGTTGGAGTGTTTCATGAGCTTCTTCATCTAACAGTTGGGAAAAAGATGGAGAGGAAGAACGTGAGCAATCTTCGTAAACCGTTTGCGCTTCCTCAGAAGTTCACCAAAGTGTTTGAGAGACATCCGGGGATTTTCTACATTTCTATGAAGTGTGATACACAGACGGTGATCCTTAGAGAAGCATATGATAGGAGGCATCTCGTTGAGAAGCACCCTCTCGTTGAAATCAGGGAGAAATTTGCAGGCATGATGAATGAAGGGTTTCTTGATAGAAGTAGGGGACTGTATCAGAAAACTATTGACGACGCTGATTTGGGGAAGAAGAGTAGCAAGATTGTTTATCCGGATTGGTCAGAAGAAGATGAAGAAGAGTCAAACAATTATCTGATATCCGATTACGACTCTGATTGTCCTGTAGTTGGATAGAACATAAACGGTTGTTTTAGGAGTGAGTCGGCTGCAACTTTTTGATACGGTGGAATCAAATCAAGACACTGCAGAGAAAGTGTGAGAGTTAAAGATCACATTCTGCATCTGACTTTTAACCAGCCTGAGCTTCTGGCATAAAGCAAGCTCATATACAGTTGAATGGTATGGCAACAGCGTTAGTGAGGCAAAAGCAAGCTCATCCATTCAACTGTATATGAGCTTGCTTTTGCCTCACTAACGCTGTTGCCATACCAAAGCAGAAACGTAAATCTCATTGGATGGAACACTACAGACGACATTTTTTAAGCAAACAACAGTTGCTTTATTGTTGTCGGTTCTCAAAAAAAGCGCAGCGCAACGAGGACATAGCATTGCAGGAGGAAGAATGGGAAATTGCTTAGGACTTGTCATGTTTGACTGTTTGAAGCGAGTACGCACCACTTTGTTATTTTCCTTTCCATGAATAATTTTACCATTCTAGTAAATTCATATTTTTATGACAATTTAGATGACTTTTCGAGATGAAAAGGATTGTCTGCTTTGAGAAGTTTGCATAGAAACAAAAACAGAGCCATTTCTTTTTTGTAAATTCAGGTATGGTTTGTGTTGATAATTTATTGTGGTCTTGGTTGTGATGTTTACTGTTAGAACAAATCCAATTTTCTGTGTGGTAAGCAAAGTCTCATGAATCAGCCAAAGTTAATTTGCCACTAGTCGGTGTTAGGAACGTAGAAATGAAACAAGTCATCAATCAATATCTGAATTTGCACGACGTGTAATCATTTGCAGAGGCCCAAAAAGACTTTAAACTTGAAAAAGCTTGATACTTTTCCTCCAAACTCATTTTCCTCAAGCTTGTAGCTCAATGAGAGATTATAAAATAGCAGCTTCTTCATAATCCCATTCTTTACTTCAACAAACAAACAAACAAGCTTCTTTCGTGATAGTTTTAATCAGAATAAATTCCTTTCCTCCCAAATTGGGTTTCCCTCCTTTAGATTCTTTCCCTTTTAAAATCTCCCTTGGACACCAAGACACCAAGAAACCCACCATGAGAAACACCACCAAACTGGTCGTACATGTCGTTGATGCTCAAAACCTTTTACCCAGAGATGGCCAAGGATCAGCTAGTCCCTTTGTAGAAGTTGATTTCCTTAACCAGTTGAGCAGAACCAGAACCGTACCCAAAAGCCTTAACCCTGTTTGGAACCAGAAACTCTACTTCGATTACGACCACAGAGTAAACCATCACAACCAACACATTGAAGTCACTGTTTACCACCAAAGAAGACCAGTTCCCGGTAGAAGTTTCCTCGGCAGAGTCAAGATATTTTTCTCTAACATTGTTTACGAAAGAGACCAAGTGTACCAGCGCTTCACGTTGGAGAAGAAATCGCTTCTCTCTTCTGTTAAAGGTGAGATTGGCCTCGAATTCTACATTTCATTATCCGAAAAAGACCAAACCTTTCCTCTTCCTTCTCCTCTTGAACCGTACACCAGCCAAACACAAGCCTCTCTTGTTCCTTTTTCAAGAACTCAAGAAGATATTGCTGATTCGGAAACAGAAGATTCTCGAGAGAGTTTTGCATCAGCACAGCAAGAAGATCTTACTGATTCCGCCAGCGAGTGTGTGGAAGACAAAAGGAAAGAAGAAGATACTGAACCAGTTCAAAAACTTCATAGACAAGAAGTCTTTGCTCGGCCTGCACCAATGCATTCCATTCGCCTGCGGTCTCGTGAAAACCCTCAAGAAGCCAACCAACCGCAGTCTCGTGGAGCCAACCAGCTTCACCCTCAGCAGCCTCGTGGACCTAACCAGCTTCCCCCTCACAACACTAACCACCTGGAATCATATGGTGACACTGACCCAGAGGACTTTAAGGTGGAAGACATGAACCTCGAGCTTGGAGAAAGATGGCCAAACACAAACGTTGGAGAGAGATTCACTGGCACATACGATCTTGTGGAGCAGATGTATTATCTCTATGTTCGAGTTGTTAAAGCTAAAGATCTTCCACCAGGTTTAATCACTGGTGGATGTGATCCTTACGTGGAGGTCAAGCTAGGGAACTACAAAGGAAGAACGAAACACTTTGATAGAAAGACAACTCTTCCCGAATGGAACCAAGTCTTCGCATTTACCAAAGAAAGGATCCAATCATCTGTTCTTGAAGTCTTTGTGAAGGACAAAGAAACGCTAGGCCGAGATGATTTTCTTGGAAAGGTTGTGTTTGATCTTAACGAGATCCCAACTAGGGTTCCACCAAACAGTCCTTTAGCTCCTCAGTGGTATCGATTAGAGGATTGGAGAGGAGAAGGCAAAGCAGTACGAGGAGAGATAATGCTTGCTGTATGGATGGGAACTCAAGCCGATGAAGCTTTTCCTGAAGCATGGCATGCAGACTCTGCTTCTGTTCATGGAGAAGGAGTGTTCAACATCAGATCAAAGGTATACGTATCTCCTAAGCTATGGTACTTAAGAGTCAATGTTATAGAAGCTCAAGACATGATCCCGAGTGACAGAAACCGGCTTCCTGATGTTTTCGTCAAAGCCAATGTGGGAATGCAGATCCTCAAGACAAAGATCTGTCCTGTCAAGACAACAAATCCGCGTTGGAACGAAGATCTTGTCTTTGTGGTTGCTGAGCCGTTTGAAGAGCAGCTAGTGATCTCGGTGGAAGACCGTGTTCACACCTCGAAAGATGAAGTGATTGGTAAGATCAGCTTGCCGATGAACGTGTTCGAGAAGCGGTTAGACCACCGTCCGGTTCATTCTCGCTGGTTTAATCTTGACAAGTACGGTAATGGAGTTCTTGAAGGAGATCCAAGGAGGAAAGAACATAAGTTCTCGAGCAGGATTCACCTGAGAATCTGTCTTGAAGGAGGCTACCATGTGATGGACGAGTCAACAATGTACATCAGTGACACAAGACCAACGGCGAGACAGCTGTGGAAGCAGCCAGTGGGGATGTTAGAGATTGGGATTCTTGGAGCACAAGGTTTAGTGCCGATGAAGTTGAAAGACGGTAGAGGAAGCACAAACGCGTATTGTGTGGCTAAGTATGGACAAAAATGGGTGAGAACAAGAACCATTCTTGACTCATTGAGTCCGAGATGGAACGAGCAGTACACTTGGGAAGTCTATGATCCTTGTACTGTTGTCACTCTCGGAGTTTTCGACAACTGTCACTTAGGCTCCCCACAGTCCGGAAATGGCGTTTCTAGAGATGCAAGAATAGGAAAGGTAATCTCTTTATAACGTTAGAGTAGAAAATAGCTTTTTCCCTTTGGTTCCATTTTACATTTTCACCATTGGAACAGGTTAGAATCAGGTTGTCTACACTAGAGGCTCACAAGATCTACACACATTCGTTTCCTCTTCTTGTTCTTCAACCTCATGGCCTCAAGAAAACAGGAGACCTCCAGATATCAGTCCGTTTCACAACTCTCTCTTTGGCTAACATCATCTACAATTATGGCCACCCTCTTCTCCCCAAAATGCACTATATTTTCCCATTCACTGTTAATCAAGTAGATGGGTTAAGGTACCAAGCCATGAACATTGTTGCAACCCGCCTCGGCCGAGCAGAGCCGCCACTTAGGAAAGAGGTTGTCGAGTATATGCTGGATGTAGACTCTCACATGTGGAGTATGAGAAGAAGCAAAGCCAACTTCTTTCGCATAATGTCGCTCCTCTCTGGTTATTTCCTAGTTGGGAAATGGCTTGAAGATGTCTGCAACTGGAGATACCCGGTTACATCGGTTCTGGTTCACGTCTTGTTCTTAATCTTGGTCATGTACCCTGAGCTCATTTTTCCCACAATGTTTCTCTACATGTTCTTCATCGGATTGTGGAACTTTAAGTCTAGGCCGAGACATCCTCCCCACATGGATATGAAGCTCTCGTTGGCCGAGGCTGTTGGTCCTGATGAGCTTGATGAAGAGTTTGATACGTTCCCAACTTCCCGGTCACAAGACTTGGTGCGTCTGAGGTATGACCGGCTCAGAAGCGTGGCGGGTAGGATCCAGACTGTGGTTGGAGACATTGCAGCTCAGGGAGAGAGAGTTCAGTCACTTTTGAGCTGGAGAGACCCGAGGGCTACAAGCCTCTTCATCTTGTTCTGCTTGGCTGCATCGGTGGTCCTTTACGCAATGCCGTTCAAAGCAATAACATTGGCTGGTGGGCTATACTATCTAAGGCACCCAAAGTTTAGAAGCAAGCTACCTTCTTTGCCAAGTAACTTCTTTAAGAGATTGCCGTCTCGTATAGACAGTCTTCTTTGACCTTTACTCTTTCTTAAGCAAGCTTTACAATAAATGTGTTTGTTTCAAACTTTTTCCTCCAGTGATCTCAATCCACTATATAATTATGGAGACTCTGATTAACTCTTTTTTCACAACATTGTCAATATTAACTTACGCAAAGTAATGACTAATGATGGATTTCAGAAGTAAAAAGCTTTACTCATTTTAACAACACAAACCAGGGATTAAAAAAATTGAGAATGGCTACTTCATTGTGTAGCATCAACGTTAATATACACATAAATAGATCTGGTGAGCATTGTTTAATCATAGTTGAACCTTTGAGAAAAGGGAAGGCATCAACTTCAGAGCGACATCGCTGTAGGGTTGGTCTTGTTGCACATCTATAAGACCTCTAGACTTCAATACCTGTAATCCAACACCCGACTCAGTTAGAGGCATTGCAGAGATAAAAAAAAGAAAAGAATCTGTATCGAGTATAATTGTATAAATCACCAGTGTCTCGTAGAACATTTGAGCAGCTAGCTTTCTTGTCTTTCCTGCCAAGATCTTGCTCAAGCTTAGATCTCCAGAAGGATACTCTGAAGCGGGACTACTTAGAAAACGTTCTTTAAGATCCTGAGCCACGGCTCTGCAATGACCAATGAATTTAAACAAAATTAGTAGAGAAAAAAGAGGCTCTTAAGCAAATTAGTAGAAAAACAGTATACCTTGTTCTCTCTGGCAACGCATCAGGATCTTGACTAGCTGATGATCTTACCGGGGTATTTCCACTCGAATCCGGAAAATAAAACTCCTGTATTGCACCAGCAATGGTAATGCTATAAATTTAACCAAAGCAGCAAGAATGGTGAAACAAAACACGCAAAAACGCGAGAACAAACCTGGTCGTTCATTTCAGGAATAGCTGGAATCCCTAAGTTTCTTGATCCAGAAAGATCATTTTGATTTGTGGCATGTGAAGGCTCTGTTCTATACTCTCCTGTCTCAGAATTTCCACGCTGACTGGTGAAGTCATTGGTTCTATAAGGTGAAGATCTTGGTGGTGTTGACATCATGTAATTAGGGAAACCACCATCCCTCAAACGCTCAATTTCTACGTCATCGTTATTAAATGTCTGAGGAGATTGTGCTTCTCTTGCTACAGACTCTGCACGCACGGATTGAGGAACTGCATAGTCTTGGATATCTTCAGTTTGCCGACCTGGAGACAGATGTAATGTACTGTCTGGATCATTAGTAGTATCAGGAACAGGAGATTGTGGAACTGGAGAGGCCGGGTTCATTTCTGGCTCAGATGAGACAGATTCAGGTTCTGGCAATGTTTCTTCAGAAACAGAAACAGCAAGATATGGCTTTGAAGCCACACAGTCCTTTGCAAACACACTGCGTAAAACATTTGAGAAGCCTGTATAGATAGACAATAAACTTTCTTCAAAAACAAAGGGAAAAAGAAGGTAAAATTGTAGAAAAACAAAAGAAAGAATCACTGGAAAATTTACCAGTAAACAAGGGTTCACTGAAGATTTGATCCTTCTTTGACTGGTTATTCAGTCTCCAAAGACCTACTCTAGATAAAGGCAACTTCTTTCTCTTACGAAGAAGATCACTAGCATCCTCAAGCCTTATTTTCATGACCCTGATTCCAAACCCTTTGATCAGTATACAACATGTAATGTAATAATCAAATTCACAAGAAGCAATGGAAAAGTTCTTACTTGTTAGATAATACTATGGCCTTATTGTCAAAACGCTTCCTCTTCCTTGGCCTTGGTTGTGTTGGGCGAGGAGGAGTTGGCTGAAGAGCCAGCTGAGGTGATGAATGCGCTTAAAACACCAAAACAATAAAAATATATGTTAACTAAAGAATAAGATGGTTAAGCATAAAGTTATCAGACTGTATGTTGTTCACTCACCAAAATTTGCATGTTCTTCCTCAGAATGAGCAAAACTTGGAGATCCTGAGCGAAGGTCAAACATCGAATGCCCTCTAGAACTTAATTCTTCTTCATCAATATTAGGGAAAGTGGTTTCCTTCTCATTCAGAGTATCATCTAAAGGTTCAGTGTGTTCAACTCTGATATTGTGTTGGTGGGACACAGGGCTTAAACTGTGAGCAGCATCACGCCGTTTCTCAATCTCGGGAACACTTCCAGGAGAATTGGGATTGAGCTCTTCCATCAAGTTAATTGGTCTAGGATCCTGGAACTCAAGGATTTCCTCTGTCTCGTTACGAGGACTGTAGGTTTCAGTATCTAGACCAACATTGGAGCCTCCACGCACATTGTTTGGTTCTACCTCATAAGCCATTTCAACATCAGTTTCTCCAGGATATTCACTTGCAGGTAAGGTGGATTGGCTGCTTAAATCATAAGAACAGATAAGGAAGAGAAATAGGTGTGTAGAAGAGAAACTCAAAACGTTATGAAGAGAGAGACTCACTCGACATCCATGGGGCTAGATTCAGGAATAATGTCCTGTAAGACAGAAATACAAACTTTCTTCAACAATAAGCTCTCGGATACATGAAAAACCAGTAACCAGAATCAAGTTAAGTCAATAATACATGAGCAGGAATCTCACCTCGTCGAAAATAATAGCAACATAAGGATCAATGCCAGTAGGAATTTGATCTGCAAAACAGACATCAGCATCATAAACACCCTGGAACCATCATCAACAACAAAAAACAGGCAAAAGGTACCTGTAAGAGTGATATCTTCCTCACACCGAAGATTATTATCAAATTCCCTATGATTCACAAGAAAAGTATATTAGATTTCAAGATGTTTCTCAAGCTTTGTTTCAGATCAAACTCAAATAAGAAAGTGAAAAAGATGGATACATGTCGAGTGTGTCATCATCCTCCAAGTCGAAATCTTCCAAGTTTAGTGCTTGAGGCAAAGTCACCGACTCAACAGGCGCCTGTCTCGCATCCTCTTGCAAGTCGACTTCACTAGAAACGAGAGCCTTAGCCAACCAAGTTCTCTTAAGATTATAGTCATGTAATATATAATCGACTTTCTTCGAGTATATCCGCACAACCCCAAGTAGAAGGTAACTTGATATTCTCAACGCCATTGGTACCTCAGGAAACATTATATGATCTGCAAACACAAATTTACAAACTTTCAGATTTACAAATAAATATGTATATGATCAATCAATTCAAAACTAACCAGGAAGACAGAGAGAGCGTTGAAATGAGCCAAATTTATCAAAAGGTCAAAACTTTTTAACAGATCAGGCCAGATCAGACCAAAGGTATAAACTTTTTAACACAAATTTGTTAAATTTAAAGTGATAAAAAATGCAAACTTTTTAATCAGAAAGCAAAATCGAAGAGGAAAATGACGAACAAACTATTTTGGGGATGTCCGTGGCGGTGTAATCAGACTTCTTGAGGCGATGTTGCAAATGAGCGGCGCTCCACACCGTCCCCAATGGAGCCTTTCGACCCAAATAAGTCTGCGAATAAAACATTTTCTGTTGTACCAGCAAAGAGAAAGAGAGCGAGAAAAGGAAATGTAGAAGATTTCTATGGAGAGAAAGCTGCCTGGTGAGACGAAAAGGTTAGGGTTTTTATATAATTTTGGAGAAGAAGAAGACGCCATTTTAGTTGGCGCGGGAAAAGATTTACTGGCGCGGATGTTCAAAGTAAAAAAAATTGCCATCTTTACTAAAATGCCCCTAATTTACTCAACCTATTGACAAATTTTTGCCACCACTTTATTCAACCGGGATTAGTTCTCTTTTCGCCGGCGAGCTAAAGAGGCTCAAAACTCAAAAAGACTCCAAACTATAACGTTTCCGATTTACTTTATCTTCTGGCTACGGTGGCGTAGTGGTGTGGTGACTGTCCTTCTTGGGCCAATTAGAAACCCAAGGGAAAGCCCGTAATTTATCTAGTTCTGATGGGTTTTTTGGTCATTTACAAGTTTTTACTTTTTTGCCTGAAACGGTTTTAAATCGTACGAATTCAACGTCAAGTCACTTCGTCTTCTTCCTACTTGGGGAAAAAACCTCTCTCTCTCTCTCTCTCTCTCTCTCTCTCTCTCTCTCTCTCTCCCACTCTTTCTTCTTCCTTTGGTCTGTCAACGCAAAGGGGTTTAGGGTTTAACCGGCAGCTCAAGCATCCGTACGGTACGAACATTTCCGGCCCAACGAGGATCACGGCGCGTTCACAGTGTCGCTCCTTTTTTTTTTGAGGATTTCTGCTCTGTATTTGTGTTTTTTTTTTCGTTTCTTAAGAAAAATTAAGGAAAATGGAAGACGATCGGAAGATAGAGTTAGATATTTGTGGGTTCTATTTCTTCAAAGAGACTTTTCCCCCATTTCTCTACGCCTGTCTCAAGTAGCTAGAGGAAATGCTGGAAATTTTTGATTTCTCCCCGGATTTTATGTTAATTTCTCCTTAAAATCCGCGAATCCCTTATGATCTAAGAGTTAATCAACTGTATTATTTCTCGGATTTTGATTATTTAGTGTTTTGTCATGTGGATTGGTTTAGGCTAGTGAGATCAGGAGTTAAAAACTGTAAAACTTGGTGTTTTCTTCTTCAGCTATCTAATGGATTCGTCGGACGAAGAAGGAGAGATTGTACCTGACTATGTCGATGAATACTATTTCGTCGATCAAAGCGAGACACCTATCAAATTCTGTGTTTTGCCGATCAAATGGGACGGTGAAGATTCAGCTGATAGCTCAGGAGAGCCGGTGTTTTTGCGTGGCATCACTGACGATGCAGACGAGTCATTTCATAAGCTAGCCAAAGCCTGGAAGTTTGATCTTTCTGATGAACATCCGAAGATCACTGTGCTTCTACGTGGGATGCACTGGATAACTCTGCAGAAGCCAAGAGAGAGCTATGAAATTTTAGCTAGAACAACTCTGGCCACACTTAAGTGTCTTCACTTTGTCAAAAGGAATCCGGATGCATCAACCGATGAATTGTGGAACAGTTTAGACATAATGGATCGGTATGCTTTATATGTTTGTTCAATTTGTCTTGATTAGTTTTCCTGTTATGTTCATCTTTGAATCATGCTTGCTGTTCACTCAGGATTCAACCTACGGATCTTGACTTATCGGATCATGTTTCTCTATTGTGTGAAGCTATGAAAAGGGATGAAGGTTTAACAATATCAAAGGTCTGTTTTCTCCTTGTCTTTCTTATCTTTGTTGGAAGCGATTGATTGGGTTAGACATTTCTTCAAAGTTACACATTTTCTTGTGTGTAATATGAGGCCGATTCATTTCTTCCAAGTTAATATTTGTTGCTTCTCCGTTATCGTTTATGTTGCAGTGTTTGAGTACTTTTCTGGAGAAGACTTCACAAACAACACCTATGGAAGCGGTGAGAGCTATTTAAAAGTGCCCTTCCTTTTTCTGTGCCTCCTTTCTTGCTCTCCTTCTACTGAGGTCAAATTTTGTTTTCTCTTATTAAGGAACTTCCAACGCACCATCAACAAGATGTTCATACACCAAAGGAACAGAACTTCACTGTTGATAATGAGATAGACGAGGATAACATCAGCGATGATGAGTCTGAGAGTAACCTGCAGTTTGATACAGTCTGCTCTATTTGTGACAATGGTGGTTACATTCTGTGGTACGTCAAGCTTCATAGTTTCTCAAGAGTTGATGCTATTTTTAGAGCTCCTCACAAGCTGCAGTGATTTCATTTAATCTCTTTGTTTTGAACTCAGTTGTGAAGGAAGCTGCTTGAGATCTTTCCATCCAACCATAGAAGATGGAATTGACACAGCGTGCGAATCGCTAGGATTCACTGATGAAAGTCAAGTTCATGTATGGTGAATCAGCTTTAGATTTTCTGTTTGATATGCTACTATGGTGAGGCTCAGGGTGAACTTGGTTTGCTACATATGTAGGCACTCGGAGCCTATCTGTGTAATAACTGTCTCTACAAACAGCATCAGTGCTATGCTTGTGGCCAATTGGGATCCTCCGACGAAAATTCCTCTCAAGAGGTATTATATTCTTGCACCATATCATTCTTCATGTGTATACTGGGCCAATTTAGCTGTATTGAATACTTGGATTCTTCGATTTGGAATATAACTCTGTTTGCTCCTCTGAAGGTATTTCCTTGTTCGGCGTCAAATTGTGGTCATTTCTATCATCCAAAATGTGTTGCAAAACTTCTCTATGCTGATGATCAAATCAAATCAGAGGAACTTCAATCCAAGATTGCTGCTAGAGATTCCTTTTGCTGTCCTCTACACATATGCAAAATCTGTAAATTAAGCGAAAACAAGAGTCTATATGCGTTGCATCTTGCTGTATGCAGACGCTGCCCAACCGCTTATCACAGAAAATGTTTACCTAGGTAAAACCACTTTTCATTTTACTTTTTCTTCAAACTTCTAATGGCCATATAGACAGATTTGTTTGCTCTTTGTTTTACTCAGGGAGATTACTTCTGAACTCAACTGTGACGAGGAAACACCTCAGAGGGCCTGGGAAAAACTGCTTCCGTACAATCGCATTCTGATATACTGTTTGTAAGTTTTTGAATACTCTGATTGGTATTGAGTGCCTTTTAAAGCAATTTTCTTCTGTTATGATCTGCATCATGTATAGCTTTTTCATAAACTTTTGAGCAGGAACCATGAGATAGACAGCCATCTTCTTACTCCCGCTAGAGACCACTTAATTTTTCCTGATATATCTGGTTCAAAAAGAACACAAAGCCATGGGGTTGTACCGATCAAAGAGGATGTTCCTAGAAGTGTGACGGATTCGGAGCATTATGAGGGTCTATTTGATCGTCTCGGTATTAATGAATCTAGGAAACCAAATGTGACCTTTAGTGTCAATGAGTATCTTACGAAACGGAAGATGAATAATAAGTTGTCAGAAGAAGAATGTCTTCCCGCCTTTGCAAAGCCTAACAGAGCAGGCAAGAAGATTGAACAGAGGTGATGTTCTTTATGGCCACTATACAAAAAAAAAGTTACGTTATTGATAGTTTCAATTTCAAGTAAACATTGTAATTTTTGGTTACACAGGGACTCTTCGTTTAATAGGGTGATGGATATAATGGAAGAAGTGAACTCTTCATTTAACTTTGATGAGTTCGTTAAGTCTCGTGGGGTAACCCATGTGAAATCCTACCAGTCAGGATATGATGTTGGCAAGAACATCACAATGGGATTAGTTCGGACTCATGTCAATGTATGTCACTGCGGTTTGTTATATGAAACGAAGATAAGTTATTTAGTTGGCAGTGTTGTCTCCCTGACTCTTAAAAACTGTTGTGCAGGCCGCTCGAGCTGCGTTAAAGATGTTTCAAGAAGGGCGCGATGAAGATGCAAGAGCTGTATTTGATCCAGATATCCTACTCGAACTCATGAAGCATAAGGTTTTTAAGTCATACATAGTTATTATAATCTTTGTCACCTAAGATTTTGCTCTGATATAATTCCTACTACTATCTTCTTTATACTGTACGATGGTATTGGTATGTCATTCTATGAGAATCACTTAAACTGCAGAAAGTTCCTACACGTGAAAGAATTTCCATTAAGGGAAAAAAATTTACAATATAAAACATTCATGTTGTTTGAACTGCAGAGGAAGCTTGGAATTTATCTTTCGCCTTTTCTCCATGGTAAGCGCTACACGTCGTTTGGTCGTCACTTCACAAAGCAAGAAAAGCTTATAGAGGTGAACTATTTAATCTCTTTTGTTTTCTTAACTCGTGTTTAGCTTGCTCCATTAACGTTTAGGGGTGTAGTGATGATTATTAGAAACTGATTTAATACAATTGATGATGCAGATAGTAGAGAGGCTCCATTGGTATGTGCAAAACGGCGATACGGTAAATGTGATACTATCTTAACCACTACATACTCTATTAGGTAAGTTATATTAGATTTAACATTCTTGTTGGTTTCAGGTAGTCGACTTCTGCTGTGGTTCTAATGACTTCAGTTGTTTGATGAAAGAAAAGCTTGTGAAAACGGGGAAGTCATGCTTCTTCAAAAACTTTGATCTCATTCCACCTAAGGTACAACATCCATCCACTCGTTTACTTTTGTGCTTGAAACTGTTTCTGAAACATGAGCTTCCCTTGGCAGAATGATTTCAATTTCGAGAAGAGAGATTGGTTGACTGTGAACAAAGAAGAGTTACCCGATGGCTCTCAACTGGTTAAAAAAGCTATCAACATCTTAAAGTTGAGATATACTTCTTGAACCAATTAACTTAGATACTTTCTTGTGTGTGTAAAACAGATAATGGGGTTAAACCCGCCTTTCGGCTACAAATCCAGTCTTGCTAACATTTTCATCAGGAAGGCTCTCGAGTTTAAACCGAAGATTTTAATCCTCATCGTACCAAGTGAAACGAAAAGGTAAACTAAAAAGCAAATACAGAGAGCTCTCAATGACAAACTTTTTGTAACTCTTGGCTTTGTCAACACAATCAGGGTCGATGAGATAGCGGGTTATGATTTGATTTGGAAGGACACAAGAATACTTTCTGGCATGGTACGTTACGTTTACAAATGAACCCAACTCTCAGTTTATTTGACCAATAGCTTTTGATCACACTCTGTTTTTTTCTTTGCTCTTTAGTCTTTCTACTTGCCCGGGTCGATAGATGTGGATGATAAAACGATAGAGCAGTGGAACAATTCACCTCCACCTCTGTACTTGTGGAGCCGTAGGGACTGGAGTATAAGCCACTAGACTAGAGCACTTGAACAGGGTCACATCACACAGATGCATCACTTCACTCACAACGAGGAATTTCACCACACAGAGATCCATCAAGGTGGTGGTGATGATGACATGGTACTAGACATGGAGATATCTCCTCCCCGAATATCTTACTAATGCATCAGCGTGCGAGAGGGAACAGGGAAGCATCACACACCAATATCAATATCTATGGCTTTTGAAGATACTATGAGATAAGACATTATTGTTTCACGTTGGAACTATGATGACATTTAGGAACGTTAAGAAAGGCTCACAGTTAAATTAATGGTTGTGTGAGAGAGTCAAGTCATTAGCTTTAGATTCAGAAACTGTTTTGTTTAGTATCATCACCTTTTGTCTTGGGAGACTTTGAAACAAAAAAAAATAGGATTATATATTGGTAAATCTAGTTTATTACATCAACATAATACAACAATAAAATAATGATTTTACATATATTAAAACTGTTAACAACTGAATCACCAATTTGAGTAGATGAAATCATTGGTAACAGCTGAATAATTCATTAGGAATGCTGTGGATTAACAAATACAGATTGGAGTATTAATAACAAGGCGGCAAACCAGGCGGTGGAGGCAGAATCTGCTGATCAATTCCTCTTCCATTCTTGACAATGAAGACAACATTCATACCCCACGTTTGATGTCTATCAAAGTGACAATGCATGAACCAAACCCCTACAAACGCAATTACAAAACGCGACTATAATTAGTTAGGTGATGTTATAAATAATTCCAGTGTACCACATCTACTATAGATAAACTCACTGTGATATATCAACTTATGTCGGTTTATTTAGGATAATAAACCGGTTATAAATTAGGGGTTTACGTAAGGTACGTACCGGGATTGTTAGCTACGAATCTGATAGTGACCCAACCGTTCTTTGGTACAGTCGCCGTGTTTCTGTACGGAGGATCGTGGAGATTATACGTCGACGGATCTTGACTTTCGTTAAAGTTGCCAAGCCCTGCACCAACCACGTAGAAGCTAAAACCATGGAGATGCATTGGATGATCGATTGCACCCAAACTCGTCCCTTGAATGACCACCTCAACCGCTTCCCCATACTCAAGCTTCTTTACCTCCGTCGCGAGTCTCGGAGTCACCAAGAACATCGGCTGTTCCTCCGCGGTGTAATTGAAAACCAGCGGTGGAACATCCGGAAACCGCGTTCCGTAAACGCCACTGATGTGGTAGTAGTAAGCTTTTAGTATGTCCACGTGGCTCGGCGTGACGAACGATATGTTACTCATACTCGCCGCTAATCTCGTCCCGTTTGGACCAACGCACGAGTTATTAGGATCACACGGGAGAAGATTGATCGAAACCGTCGTGAAAATCCTACGCGTGATTTTGAGGGGGACTAGTCCGGAGTACAAGCTTCTGATATTGCCTAAGAACCTGAAAGCTGCTGACGTGTCGTTGTAAGGAGGAAGCTTTGGGTAACGTTTTGAAGACGATAACGACGTGGACGTCTTGGTGTCGTTGTTTGAAGAGATGTAACGTAAGATTCCGATGGTGGTTGAGTTGTTGAATCCGATCATTGGGTTGCTATGGTAAGCTCTGGCCAACATGTAGTAAGTGCGTGTGCGTTTTGGGTTTCGGTTTGCGTGTAATAACACGTCTAGCGTTTGGCCTGAAGATATGGTGATATAAGTAGATTTTATAGGTTTGGTGTAGTGGCCATCGGCGGAGACTACGGTGACTCTGTGTTTCGCGATTGCGAAGAAGAAGATTGTGTTCATTGCAGCGTTTACCATCCGGATGCGGTAGGTTTTGCCTTTCTCTACCGCCAGCTCGAATGTATCTGTTAAAATTAAAAACATATATATGTGCATGCATGCATGTAAAATTATACGTTTTAATTAAAAACATATGCATGCAAATGATTGTTTCATTGATTTTAATTCACAGTTAATTATACTCGTTACTATATAGCCCTAAATTTCCTTCCATCTCAATTTTAGTATTTTATAAAAACTAATTAAGAAAGAATAAGTAAGAAGAAACCTGATTTAGAGCAAGGATAGAGGAAACCAGGATGTCCATTGATGGTGAAAGCATCGGACTCATTAGGAGCACCACCGGACCTCGTGAACTCCTCCACTACCTCTCTCACATCCTGCTTCCACCACTCTCCTGTCCAAAATAAATTTTAAGGAAATTTGTAAAACGCAACTTAGTTTTTTCAAACCAGAAATATATTATAGGTTTTGTTTTGTACCAAGAACTAGAGGGACTTCGTGGTCCGGTTTTGGAAAAGGGAGGGCTTTTGGAAGACGAGGATATATGAAAATAGGACCATGTACTGTGGCACGGGACCAAGAGCTATGCGCGTGCCACCAAATAGTCGTGTCTTCGACGGAAAATATGACTTTGTACGTAAAATCCGACCCGGGTCGAATCGGGCATTGTGTGATGTATTCGGGTCCATCTGACCAGGGGTTCCTCGGCTGCTCTACACCATGCCTGCGTTTTTGTTCAACCAGTTATGTGTTTGTTATAGGTACGTAAGAAATATAAAGAGAATGAGGTTTTAGATACTACCAATGCATTGTGATATTTTCACTAGCTCGGTTACGAACGGTCACGTAAATGGTGTCTCCTTTGTAAACCTTTAGAATTGGTCCAGGAAACTGACCATTAACGGTCAAAATATTCTTCGTGCTACACAATTTCGTGTATGGAACTTCCTTAACCTGCCATTAATTAACTCTATGATATTATTTAGGTTGCATCAATTCAAGCTAGCTAGTTTACAGTTCACGTCTGATTAAACTAATTAAACTCACCGTGAATGTGTAGTAGCGAAGCGCCATGCAATTGGTGTAGAGAAAAACAGAGATTAGGAGGAAATGAAAGAAGGAATGTGACATTTTTAGAGAGTTTTAGGATACGAATTATTCTGATAGAGATGAATCAAAGAAGATAGAGGCAGCTATGCTTATTTATATTTACTTTGAGTACTTTCTTCACCTCTTTCTCAAATTAGTTAATGTCGGATTAAGAAACTACGGATTTACAAGTTATGTTGACATGTTGTACATTTTGGGATAAATTAGAGATATATAGTGCATGTGAGCGCTATATATATATATATATCTCTACACAAATCCTGTCTTAATATCGTAAACTTGAAAAATAAGATATAAAGTAGATATATATAGTGGATGTGGCTAAGTATTGTATGTCGTAGTACTCTTGAACACTAAAAATATTATAGTGCACGTAAAAACTTTTAGGGGTATTATTGGTTTTATATATTAAAATCAATTCCAACAGATTTGAAATACATAAGATTTAAAAAAAAATTGTTCATTTAAAATGATTTATTATTCATTTCACAATCTATAGGTATATGAGTTATCTTTAGATTTTAAAATCCATGACATTATATTTACAAAGTCAACATGATTTGATTTGATTTCTCCAATAGAATTGAATTCAACTAACAAATATATAATTTGGAATCATCTTCCTCGTAACCTTTTTCCATTATTGAAAAATCTACAATAAAAATATTCATATAAAATCACCACCATAACAGTAACAAAATCCAAATTCAAGAAAATCTCTAACAAATAATAATTTGGAATTTGCTGTAAAATTTAAAAAAAAAAGGTGGAAATCTATGTTCATGGAGAAGTCCTATAAAAAAGTAAAATTAATAGGTTATACGTTTGATCAAATAGATGAAATCCCAATGTTCACTACTTTATAATCCATATATAATATATTTTATATAAAAGGTTTTGATTGTATATGAACTTTGATGAAAGTCGTTAGGTATGGCTGGCGGGGAAAAAGTGATGAAAGTGTATGAGAAGAATAGTAGAAATGATAAGGGTTATTAACATTATTAATTATTGGATTCTATATAATTATAATAAACTGATTGCAAAATTTGAGGATAAAAGCTTAGATTTTGATTGCAATAACTTGCACATGAAAGTTATTTTAAATCCAAACAAGCTCTGTCAAATTCATTGAACAAAATTTATTAAACTTGAATAACACAAGATTTTAATTGATTTATGCAAATCCTTAATTTAATAACACGAGATTTAGAGCTCAATTAATGAAGAGATTCTAAATACAAGAACCAATAACATTAGATTTAAGACTCTTTTAGTAAAAGTATTTTAAATAGTTAAACCAATAACACCAGATTTTGTTAGAAGATCTAAAAATCATGATTGAATAACAATAGATTATAGTTGGATTTAAACTCTATTAAAAACCATAAACCAATAACACTCCCTGAAATTAATTAAGTTGATCAGATTAAAGTACAGTACTTCTGAAATATTTTTGCGAAATAATTTGATATTAAAACTGTTTTTGGTCCACAGAAAAATGTAACTATACATCTTTTGGTTTGAATATGACTTATGGACTCACATTTGTCCACCAGATATGTACATACACATCTCTCGGTCAAACGAAACTTTCAAGTTAACAAAAACAGTTTGGTCGTTAAGACTAGATTATATTTTGTCGTGTTATATATATAGTAAAAAATTTGACGTACATAACTACATAGGTCCACTACTTAGAAGATTTTTTAAACAGGGGAGTTTATGTCGAGTAATTCGAATAAAAATTGAGAACAGATAAATCGAATACATAAATGTTTATTCCAACTTCGAAGTATATTCAATAAAATGTTTATTATTTTAACAAAATGAGTATGAATTGTGCCGGACTGAGAAACCTGTCCTGAAATTGAAACCCGAATTTTTAGAACAACATCAGTATATGAGTTTGGTTCGCTGAAGCTTTCCGTTGTTTTTATTTCAAAACAAAAATATTCCGAAACTCGTTACCTTCTTACGTGATTGGTTTGACGTCTGTTTAACTTTAGTGTAATCTTTGAAATTGCCTAAGCGTGTTTAATTAATATTGTGGCACTGTAATAAATGGGGAAAACGAGTTATTTCTAAATTCGATATCCGTGAGCTACCAGCCTACCATTCCACCAAAGCTCCATGTACGTACGTGCATCAGTGCATGCATATAAGATATTATAAGATTCACGAAAATAAAAATTGTTTTACGAAAGTTACGAAAGAGATGTTTATTGTTTTGTTGTCAACACCATAATATCGAAAGATTATGTGTCCATGCTACTTTTATTGGTTTATACTCTATAGATACATTGCCAGATAATGAACCTTTACTTTAATAGTCTGAAATGAAAATTCTAAAAAACCTGACCGGTGAAATGTCGATTTCCGATCCATTACCAGAAACTTGAACACGTTAACTTCTTTGAATCATTTACTTCTAAAATTGGGAAACTGAAAAATCACAAACTTTGTGAATTTTGTTAAAACTCTTTCGACTCTTATTTGAGTCATTTTCAATTAGTTTTATTCCACTTAATTTTCATGAAGATATACAAGCTTGGATTGATAGAACTAGAAACATTCTTTACTCTCGCATGTAATTGTAAACACCACCGCGCCAACATGGATATTCATATTCCCTAGATGCATGTTTGCATTGAGGTCCAAAAACCAAAAACAATTTCAGTAGTCTATCAAATTAAGTCTCTATCCATGAGGTCCAAAAACCAAAACCAAAACCAATATCATTTTCCATAGGACACTGAGTTCTACTCTATCAAATGGAAAACTTCCAAGGCAGTCTCTCATTTTCAATTAGTTTTACTCTATCAAATGCAATATTTGAGCTCAAACAAAATAACTCAGAGTCAAAAGAACTGATACAAAATCACATGCAAAGGAAGGAGAGAATATTGGTCGTGGCAGAAAGAAGGTATAAACAATATTTTGGATAGTTAATTGGCTTTTTAGAAACAACAAAAAGTCCAAATACACACACTGGCAAAGCTAGTTTATCTACGAGAGTTAATATAATGGTTTTGTGCGAGAGAGTCAAGTCCTTAGCTTTAGATTCAGAAACTGTTTTGTTTGGTATCATCACCTTTTGTCTTGGGAGAATTTAAAAACAAAGATTAGGGTTATATATTGGTAAATCTAGTTTATTACATCAAACATTATACAACAATATGATAATGATTTATATATACTAAAATTGGTAACAATTGAATCACCAATTTGAATAGATGAAACCATTGGTAACAGCTGAATTATTCATTACTAATGTGGTTTAACAAATACATATTGGATAATTAATAACAAGGGGGCAAACCAGGTGGTGGAGGCAGAATCTGCTGATCAATTCCTCTTCCATTCTTGACAATTAAGACAACATTCATACCCCACGTTTGATGTCTATCAAAGTGACAATGCATGAACCAAACCCCTACAAACGCATTTACAAAACGCGACTCTGGTTAAAACTTAAACCACCATCCTCAAAAGTGATAACTAGACGGTTCGATTCATTATTTTGGTTTTAGTTTTATATATAAGCTGGTTATACGTACCGGGATTGTTAGCGACGAATCTGATAGTGATCCAACCGCTCCTTGGTACAGTCGCCGTGTTTCTGTAAGGAGGATCGTCGAGATTATACGTCGACGGATCTTCACTTTCGTTAAAGTTCCCAAGCCCTGCACCAACCACGTAGAAGCTAAAACCATGAAGATGCATAGGATGATCGAGTCCATTAACGACCAAACTCGTCCCTTGAATGACCATCTCAACCGATTCGCCATACTCAAGCATCTTTACCTCCGTCGCCAGCCTCGGAGTCAGCAAGAACAAAGGCTGATCCTCCGCGGTGTAATTGAAAACCAGCGGTGGAAAGTCCGGGAACCGCGTTCCGTAAACCCCCCTGATGTGATAGTAGTAAGCTTTGAGTATGTCCACGTGGCTCGGCGTGACGAACGATATGTTGCTCATACTCGACGCTAATCTCGACCCGTTTGGACCTTCACACGAGTTATTAGGACACGGGAGAAGATTGATCGAAACCGTCGTGAAGATCTTACGCGTGATTCTGGCGGGGACTAGTCCGGAGTATAAGCTTCTGATACTGCTAAAGAATTTGAAAGCTGCTGACGTGTCATTGTAAGGAGGAAGCTTTGGGTAACGTTTTGAAGACGATGAGGACGTTGACGTCTTGGTGTCGTTGTTTGAAGAGATGTAACGTAAGACAGCGATAGTGGTGGAGTTGTTGAATCCTATGTCTAGGTTGCTTTGGTAAGCTCTGGCCGCCATGTAGTAAGTGCGTTTTGGGTTTTGGTCGGCGTGTAATAACACGTCTAGCGTTTGGCCAGGAGATATGGTGATATAAGCAGCGCTGAAAGGTTTGGTGTAGTGGCCATCGGCGGAGACTACGGTGACGTTGTGTTTTGCGATTGCGAAGAAGAGAATTATGTTCATTGCAGCGTTTACCATCCGAATACGGTAGGTTTTCCCCTTCTCTACGGCGAGCTCGTATGTATCTGTCAAACATATATATATGTGCATGCATGCAAAATAATACGTTCTTCATAAAAAAAAAAGGTAAAATAATACGTTTTAAACATATATATATATATATGCAATATTGTTTCATTGATTTTTTTAAAAATCACAGTAACACTCGTATATATATATATATATACGGGCCAACTTTCATTCCATCTCCATAAAAAGTTTTTATCCCACAATTGCAATATTTGTTTGTAAAAACTAATTAGGATAATAACCTGATTTAGAGCAAGGATAGAGGAAACCAGGATGTCCATTGATGGTCAAAGCATCGGACTCATTAGGAGCAGCTCCGGACCTAATGAACTCCTCCACTACCTCTCTCACATCCTGCTTCCACCACTCTCCTGTAAAAATTAAATTTTATGGAAATTCAATGCAACAAATTAGTTTTTTAAACCAGAAATGTAATACATAAAAATAGTATAGGTTTTGTTCTGCACCAAGAACTAAAGGGACTTCGTGGTCCGACTTTGGAAAAGGGAGGGCTTTTGGAAGACGAGGATATATGAAAATAAGACCGTGTACGGTGGCACGTGTCCAAGAGCTATGCGCGTGCCACCAAACAGTCGTGTCTTCGATGGAAAATATGACTTTGTACGTAAAATCCGACCCGGGTCGGATCGGGCATTGTGTGATGTATTCGGGTCCATCTGACCACGGGTTCCTCGGCTGCTCTACACCATGCCTGCGTTAATGTTCAACCAGTTAATTAAGTGTTTGTGATTGGTGTATAACTTAAATACATAAAACAATATTAAGAGAATGAGGTTTTAGACTACCAATGCATTGTGATATTTTCACTAGCTCGGTTACGAACGTTAACGTAAATGGTGTCTCCTTTGTAAGCCTTTAGTATTGGTCCAGGAAACTGACCATTAACGGTCAAAATCTTCTTCGTGCTACACAGTTTCGTGTATGGAACCTCCTTAACCTGCCATTAATTAACTCTTATGAGATTCTTTAGGTTTCATCGATTCAAGCTACCTAGTTTTACTGGTCACGCCTGATTATTAATTAAACTCACCGTGAATGTGTAGTGGCGAAGCGCCATGCAATTGGTGTAGAGAAAAACAGAGATTAGGAGGAAATGGAAGAAGGAATGTGACATTTTTAGAGAGTTTTGGGATATTAATTATTCTGGTAGAGGTTAATCAAAGAAGATAGAGGCAGCTATGCTTATTTATATACGACTTCCACGTCTTTCTCAAATTAGTTAATGTCGGATTAAGAAACTACGGATTTACAAGCTATGTTGACATGTTGTACCATCAGTATTCATTTTGGGATAAAGTAGAGATATTCATAGTGCATGTGGGCTATATATTTCTACAAAATCCTTAAGATCAAATAAACGGTCATGTATATGTTGTACACTAAAAATATTATAGTGCATGTAAAAACTCTAAAAATAACTAATTTGAACAAATTGAAGTACAGTGTCTGAAATATTTTTGCGAAATAATTTGATGGTTAAATATGTTTTTGGTTGTCAAAAAAATGTAACTATACATCTTTGGTCCGAATATGACCTATGGATTCACATTTCACATTTGGCCACCAGATATGTACATACACATCTCTCGGTCAAACGAAACTTTCAAGTTAACCAAAACAGTTTGGTCGTTAAGAGTAGATTATATTTTGGCGTGTTATATATATAGTAAGAAATTTGACGTACATAAGTCCACTACTTTTAGAAGATTTTTGTAAGCAGAGTAGTTTATGAATTGTGTCGCGTTGACAAACCTGTCCTGAAATTGAAAACCCGAATTTTTAAAACAACATCGCTTATGAGTGAGTTTGGTTAGGTGAAGCTTTCTTTTGTTTTTTACTCCAAAACAAAAATATTCCGAAACTCGTTACCTTCTTACGTGCTTGGTTTGACGTCTGATTAACTTTTAATTAATCTTTGAAATTGCCTAAGCGTGTTTAATTAATATTGTGGCACTGTAATAAATGGGGAAAACGAGTCACCAGCCTACAATTCCACCAAAGCTCCATTTACGTACGTGCATGTAGGATATTAAGATTCATGAAAACAAAAACTGTTTTACGAAAGAGATGTTTATTGTTTTCTTGTCAACACACTCAACACCACATACCGGAAGAATATTGTATCTTCGCGAATATGTGTCCATGCTACTTTTATTGGTTTATTATACTCTATAGATACATTGCGAGATAATGAACCTTTACTCTATTAGTCTGAAATGAAAATTCTAAAAAACCTGACCGGTGAAATGTCGATTTCCAATCCATTACCAGACACTTGAACACGTTAACTTCTTTGAATCATTTACTTCCAAGTTTGGGAAAGTGAAAAATCACAAACTTTGTGAATTTTGTTAGAACTCTTCCGACTCTAATTTGAGTCATTTTCAGTTAATTTTATTCCACTTAATTATCATGAAGATATTCAAGCTTGGATTGATAGAAGTAGAAACATTCTTTACCCTCATGTAAACCCCGCCGCGCCAACATGGATATTAATGATGCATGTTTGAGGTCCAGAAATAAAAACTAAATTAAAGGAAACTGATTTTTACTCTATCAAATGGAAAACTTCGAAGGTAGTCTCTCATTTTCCACGTTCAAGGATAATCAGAGATTGCTAATATCTATTTAATCACTTCTAAGATACTGCATCGCTTCAAAGAAGACAAGACAACTTGGCTTCGTGAATCTCTTCAGAAATGGTTACTTTGCAGATGTGATTGACGCCCTGATTTTGACAATTATCAGAATCATTTTCCATAGGACATTGACTAAAACCAGCAATTTCGAGTCACAAAAACACTATGGATCAAATTTAATGTATGACTAACCAAGCCTGCCTGCATCTAACCGCTTCTTCCCGAACACTCCGTTTTGGATCATCCAGTGCCTTTGTGATTGCTTGTACAACCTTCAAGTGAATTTTCAAATTTGTGAGACGCATTTCTTACTCTACATACCAAAACGTATGTTTTTAGATCTTTTAACTAACCTCTCTTCTGAAAGGATAAATCCTTCCATGCGGCAGTTCCAACAGAGCAGCAAGACATTGAATCGATGTCTCCCTAACAACCTGCATACCATTTCTCATTAGAAGATTCAGGAATCAATGGAAAAAGAAGATATAGAAGATGCTAAATGATTTGTTACCGTTAGATGCGGATATGATGTAAGCTTGACCAGACATTCGATGATTCTATGTGCATTGTCACTCGCAGATTCTTGTCCTGCAAACAGAGAAAACGAATATGAAATGCCATGTTTAGATTTACCAACCATGGATTTGACTCAACCATCTGATAAATCATTACCATATCATTAGATTTTTTATAAGACTGTTGATCTTTATTTATTTGACAATTGAACCGATATTATATATCATGCAATAAGCTTTCGCAAAACAGCATATCTTTACCTTTAATATCAGTAAGCGTTCCAGAAAAAACAAGAAATAGACTGAAAAGTGTTTCTTTATCCGCAGCGTCCAAGCTTAAGATAGTCAAGCCTTCCAGTATCATCGGGTGTAGCTGCACAGACGGTGGTCTTTTAAGAAACTGTTTATGAATTTACAAAATACAAAATCTCTCTAGAGGCTCACCTTTCTGGTATTATCCAATATGACCGTTACTGGAACATTGGATATAACATGCGCGAGAGCGACATGCAACATTGTTCTGAAACCATGAAAAAAACTAGTCAGCAGAGAATCTGGAATTGGTTGTCACTATAAACTGTAACTTGCTTATTTACTATTATGACTTTATGTACTAGCTACACTACACCTAACCCAAACTAATCTAGCAATCTTTAAGATGACTGTTTGTATTTTACAAATGTTCCATGCAAGTTGACTGAAAGGTAATTTAAACGTATAACATATACAGAGGCACAGTATACATAAAGTTAAAGATATGTCTACCTCGAGAGTGGAGACTGGGACTTCATAATCAAAGACTCCAAAATGGGAACTGTCAAAGAGAAAAACCGCTGCTTGTAGAGTGGCCGTATAACTGCATGATATTTTCTATTCAGACACACTTCCGAATCAGACATGAGAATGAAGAACGCATCTGCGGCATGTTTCATGGCAGAAGAATGTAAAACATGCCCGGAAGAGTTGGTAGATTTTAAGCATTCCACTAGAACCTGAACAATTTCATTAAATCTTCTATCACCCCGCATGAGTAACCCTTTCCCAATCCATGCTAGTACTGTGATAGCACGGGTTTGAAGGTCCAGGGAACCACCGAAGCCTAAACATATCTTTGACAAGATTGTCTCACTTCCACAGATGGTTTTACCAGATTCATCAGAAGAAACCTCTATTCCAGATGCAACAGCTTTGTGAAATATTATATCACAAGCTTCTTCCAAGGAACAACCGGTTGAGATATTTGTTCCATTAGTACCCAAGCCCAATTTGTTAACCATTGAACCCAAAGCTTGAGCTGCTGGGATATAACCCTTAAGGGAGGATACCAAAAACAGATGTATTAGTGATTTCACATCTGGAATGGACGCCGCGGGAGATGCAGCTATGATAACTGACGCAAATAGTGAAAGTATCAATTCATCCCTGGTGGACAGGTCACGTTGTAGACCCTCTAATTCAACAAGTGTCAAAGGAATAGACTCCATAGTTGGAAGCGTGCTTGATGAGATCACATTATAAGCTTTTTGGATTATACTGTTCTGTGAATCTACCAAAGCAATTCCTACAATTTGCCCCATTGTTTTCATTGCTGCCTCAACAAACTCCTGTAGTAGAATAGAGATAAAATTCGTGACGTCAACAATAGATGAATAAAATCGGCTTTGAAGAGAAAAAATGGGTACAAAGTTCATCCGAGCACTTACCTTGCCATTAAAACCAAAACTGAAAACTCCAGAGGATTCAATTTGATTCCACATACTGATTGCGAAACGCACCACGATTTTCTCGAGGCCATCTATCTGAGCCACACTATTTTAGCTCAAAAAAAAAAAAATACCACGAGTCAAAAGAAATGATACAAATTGACATCCAAAAGGGGGGAAAGAATAAAAAGAAAGCATAAGCAATATTTTGGATAGTTGGCTCTTTATAAACAACTAAGAGTCTAAATATACACTGGCAAAGCTAGTTATCTACGAGATATAAGAAATTCAAGAAAAGTTTGGGTACCGTGGAAGCAATTTATTGGTGACACACTCCAGGAGCTGAGAACAATTTTCAATCGAGTTGAAGTTTCCATTGACCTGAAAGGTGTTTTACAAATAGTAGTTAGATACAAGGAAGTTTCGATCCTTGCTTGTTGGAAATAGAATCAGTTGGCGAAAATATAAAGCTCTCAAAGATGAAGACAGAAACTGTTAGCTCAAAGATAATGAAAACTTTACGATCTAGAGTCATGGGGGAAAGACATACACAGAAATCAGACAAACTGGAACAGAAAGCTTCTTCAAATCCTTGAACCATTTTCTCCATATACTTTGGCCCAGTGGAGCAAACTTCTGAAGTTGCTTCTAATATCATCGGATATGGAAGACCACAATGACTAGAGCAGGCCAATGAGACGAAATGTTCGACAACTATATTCATGTAGCTCATAGCCTTGTCACTCTCATGATACTGATCAATAAATGAGCCAATACAGACCAGCGCTTTTAATGCCAGTTCCCACACTGCTGTCTTGCCACTCTTGGCTGTGATGATTGATCTTAAAGTCATCAAAATCTTCTCGAATTCGGATCTCGATACAGGAGAAGAGCCGCCCCAGAACATACCCATATTCAGCAAACCCTTAACTGGATATTGTAACGCACAAAAAAGAAAAAGAAAATTAGAGAATAGGAATAAAAACAAGGCAACACAAAATGATATGTAACAAGTTCAATATACATTATTGGCAAGGCGAGACAAATAGGGCAAGAACATTAAGTTGGAACATATCTGTTAAGTAAGCACATGCACTCACCTCCAAAATATACATCTGCGCCACAATCGTCACTAGAGCTGTGTACTGCATAAGTGAACAACTGGATCAATGAAACTGAGAACTTTTCCACCATAGAGCACCATGATTCCTGTGCGCATCCAGGTGTTAAAGAATCGGAATCCAAGATAGTAAGATCTTTCGATGCTGTAAGAAGTTCGATGCAAAGATGAAGACCGCCATGATAGAGTCTGGTAGAGGCTGTAGAATTTTCGTTATGAACAAGGTCGCCAGTTGAAGCTTTCTCTACAATCCCTAGAGTATTCATAAGCCGGAAGAAAAAGGTTTCAAAGATTATATTGCATGACTGAACCGAAGCTTTGGCAGACACAGACAGTATCTGACTGATAACAAGAACCTCCAGTTTGCTCGTGTCAGGCATTTCTTTATACTGAGAGTATCTGGAGATGGTATCAAAGACCGTATTTATACTTATATCATCAACAACAAAGCCTAAAAACGAGATATCTTGCTCAACAAGCCTCTGAAGAAGATTAACAGCTTCTCTGTGGATCTCATTCATTTCAAACCCTGGACTAGTGAGGGATTCAAGAGCAAAGGACAAATTTGTTCCAGTGGAAGAATAAAATGAATCTTTCAAAGCGGACCAAAGACCTCCATAGTGCTTCTTCATTCTGTCAACTCCATATTTCACTGTGCAATCTTGCAGACATCTCAAAGAATCAACCTAGACAGATTTTAGTGGAACAAAATAACTACATTTGTCCAACATCCGGAGTGGCATATAAGCTAAATGTATTATAACATAAAATTACATGCTAAAACAAACCTTTGCGACTGGTAGAGAAGAAGAAAGCTTTTCAAGAAGCAACGGAATAGCATAGGGTTCAAAAAACGGCGTCGAAGTGAATGCCAGCTGCGAAATCGAATGAAGTACATCAGTGAATTCTGCCTAATGTAATACATTTATATATAAACGAATTCGTCATAATTCCCCCATTTCTAACCTAATACCTTTTCATCTATGCTTGAAACTTCAAGCTATACCTTGACACAAGTTTCTAAGGGTATAATTTTTTTTGTTTTTTTAACTCTTATCCGGAGATGATCGACTTGATTTTTTAACCTAGAGACCGAAACCCTTGAGTCACAAAAAGACAGCAAGAACTTATACAATCGTATATATTGAGAAAATACTCACCATTAGTCCCCTTGAGAGGTCCTCTCTTGTAACACCAGCTTTATCACCTTTGGTCTAAAAACCCAAAAAGAGCACACTAAACAGTTAAAAGGAAGAAAGGGAAGCCCATCTATAAGTCAGAGCAATAAAAGGATATGCTTTAACTCACATGCGTAAAATGAAGTGGGAAGTAGCAACCAATAATATCAAAAAGATCAGATGCTTCAGAAGCAACTGGACCAGATGGATTGGGAAACAGTTGAGCCAAAAGCTCAATTATATGAAAAGCCACCTTTAAGCATTGAGGGTCTTTTTCTCCTTCGATGGCTTCGCATGCAGCATAAACAAGTGTATCACCCTAGTATATGGTCATTTAGTCAATAGGATTAAGAGAAAATGTGGAAAGCCCATCACTAGCTCTAGACAAGGAAGAAGACGAAAACAGAAAACTAAGATGAAGTTGTGTGCATTTTGTTGAATAGACTAATCAGATTAAGAGGACTAGTAAGATAACCTGAGCATGAAGCTTTTGACGAGCTGAAAGCATATATTACATAATTGCATATTTAAATAACTATCTAAATAGATTTGCAGGTAAACATCTCTCCTACACTAGATTAAAAAAAAATCAATTGTGAACTATGTATAGGCAAGTAGAGAGCATTAACATACCATGGTCACAATAGCTTCTGAATATTGTTGAAAAAGGCACTCAAGAAGTTGAAAAGAAAGCTGCAAAGTCATTGACAGAAAGATAATGTAAATACCTCAAGAAAAAAAATCATTTCAGTGCAGAACACAGAGATTCAGCTAGCAGAAATACTTTCATACCTTGCGGTCATGCAGTGCTAAAGTCTGCACTTGTACATTCGCCATCATCGACTTTGCCACAGCTTCTGCATCGGCAGCAGTGACCACACCGGCTACGCCTTTCCTCCTCATCAGAGCCAAGCAACCAACAAGTGCCCCACGTATCGTTCTCCAGTCTTCCTGATACAAGTCCAACAACATATTTTTTTTCTTTCAGCACAAATTGGAGTGGAATGCAAAATTTGCAGTTGAGGTAAAACTAGAAGTATCAAATCACCAGCTTTTGGGAAAAGAATCCAATGAGACTATGGACAACTGCATTGTCCAGTGGCTTTGCTTTTAGATCGTTGAGGATCTCCGCGAGAAGGAGAACCCCTGCGAAGACAACCATGTCCCGGTGTTTACAAAACTTCCCATTCAGATTGAAAGAAATGTACTCACTAAAGTAAGCCAGAGAGTAAAAGTACCTCGTGCTCGAACAACATCATCAGTAGTCGTCAGATACATTTCCATCTCTATGACCTACACTTTCAGAAGTACAGAAATTAACAGCATAAATTCGGCCAATGATTGATGGAAAAGTGATCAGATATGTTACCAATTCGTTCATAGACAAACAATCCTTCTCCAAGGAAGCAGCAATCGCTTTTAGACTATCAGCCTAAAAAAATTCAGGATTAAAAGGAAAAAAAAAAAATTAGAACTTGGTATAATACATGAAACTGTTCTAACTCAAATCGATTTCCTCAAATTTGCTGGTTTCCACAGAGAACAAGAGCTAATCGTAATCAAATTTATCAAAGAGTACCTGCTGAGCAGGAGAACGAGTGATGTCAACAAAAGTCTCGAGATGCTGAGTGAGCTGATTCGGTTCTTTCATCATTGAGTCTCTTTGCAATTCTAGGAACTGGAGGGAGAAGATTCAATACACTTGGGAATTGATACGAGCTAAGCAAGTGTTGCAAGGAGGAGTGTGGGGAATTTTTACTTGAAGCGACTCGATGACCTAGAAAGAGAAGTAACGGTGGTTGAGGGAGAAAGTATGAAGCAGGTCGCAGTGGACGAGCCGCGGAGGAAAGAGGGAGACAGTGAGAGTCTGCGTGCGGCGGCGTTTGAGAAATTTACCTGACCGAGGAGAGAACCGCCTCTAGTGGTCTAGAAGACCGAGAAGAAAAACAAAATTGCTTTACGGGGTTAAATTGGTCCTTTATATATCAACTCCATTTACACGCGGGTTTTAAATTAAAAAAACAAAACATTTGTTTTTTGATAGAAATCTTCTAGACATATTTGATTGGTAACAAAAGACAATACAAAACTGAGCGTTACACAAAACATACAGAAGAATACTTTTTTTTCTTTTTTGCTTTGTAAATGGATGTGGATGGTACAACAGTATTGGAGTATTACCAAAAAAATATCGATGCAAAACTATCGATATCAATGTCATTCGCAATCACTTTCCATTACACTTCATGCGTTACATAACATCGGTAGAGTAAATCTTGAATAGAAAGATCAAAGAAGCAACAAATAATGAAAGTCACGGTAACATACATTATACATGCACATCACAATTTTATCATTTCATGTTTTTGATTTCTTACATCGATAATTTGGCGGCTGACCCAATCTTAAATTCGTATTAGGATGAATCATATACTCTCTTTGTCCCATATTATAAACATGTATATGAAAAAAGTGGATGTATCTGGATGGAATTTTGTCCAACTGCTTATAATATGGGACAGAAATATATATATCATCGTTCTTCTACTTTGCTATATATCTCTATATTGAATGCTGTAAAGAATCAGGTACTCAATAATAAAAGAAAAACTTGTTTCTCAACAATGATGCATTTCTTACATTATAGCTAGCAAAAATGCAATATTGGCCAATACGGCACAAAACAGAGGTTATTTTCACAAAGATATCAAAAGAATAGAACATACACTAGGGTGTACATTTAGGGTAGTGTACGTCTGAGCATATTTTATATACACTCTGAAGCATCTAATGAGCCTTCGTCACTGGGCTGCTACACGCTTTAGGAATCTGAGTTCCGGTCAACGACGGAGATACGTTGGAGCATTGGAACGTGGCTGGACCGTCGGCTCCGTTATACTTGATGTTAATGTCACCGAGCACCACGTTCTTACACGGGAATCCCTTGCTGCACAAAAGCTTGACGGCGTCTTTGTTCCCTGAAGTTCCTCTGATGTTCTTGAAGCTTATGTCCATTAGCTTGATCGTCGATGGTTTCTACGGCCAAACAAAAAAAAACGTCTCAGAATCATAACCACTGGGGAAAGTAGTTTCAATTTAATTATTTCGTACGCACCTGCTTGTTGCATTGGTTCCATGGGCAGTACTCCTGGTCGATAAGGATGGGGTTGCTGACGTTCTTGAGGACAATGTTCTCGAAATGCATACCGGAGGCGGTGGTGGAGCAAGCTGCGGATGGCCATGTCTTGATTCTAAGACCATTGTCAGTTCCTTGAAGGGTACAGTTGATGATTCTGATGCCACTGACATCTTGCTCGTGCCCGTACCTTCCAAGACTTCCAATGCTGAGACCGTGTCCTGGACCGCAAGTAACTCTTTCCACGAGAAGGTTCTTCATTCCGTCACCGACAGAGACACAGTCGTCTCCCGTGGAGATGAGCGTGTTGATGATCTTGATTCCGTCACTTCTTCCCACGTGGATTCCGTCGGTGTTGGGACTCTCTTCGGGAGCAAAGATCTTGACGTCTTCGAAGGTCATGTTCTTTGCTCCGATGACGTTAATGTGGAAGTTCTTTGCGTCCAAAGAGGTTATGCCTCTGACCTTACCGTCGGTGATGTAATCAAATCGAATGCTCTGTTCAACAAAAAGACACAAGACATCAACAAACGCAAAGAGTTTGTTAATATATATATGAAGATAGAGATGGATATACGTACGATGGGGAGTTTCTTGCACTCAAATGTCTTGTGGCAATTGTTGACCCTCCATGCTGCGTTGCCTTCACCATCGAAGGTACCACCACCGTTCAACTTAAACCCGGTCATGTAGCGGAAAGCGACCCAAAAGTCCTTCCCGTGAATGTTTCCGTCGGCTTTCACGGTTCCTTGAAGATTAATGTGCATGGGAGCTTTGCATGGACCCTTCATCTCTATTTCACCGAGCTTGTATTCACCTTTTGGGATCACAACGCTGCTCCTCGTCGGGAACTGGCATGCTTCGTTGAATGCTTTCAACAATGCCTGCATCGCAAATGTTTTTTAAAATTAAATTGCCTGGAGAACAAGATATTATTACACGGATGGTTAATACATAATAAAACTTACAGCAGTGATGTCAGACCCAGGTTTAGCAACAATGGGGAAGTCCTTAGCATTTGCTGATAAACCTAACAAACAAAAAATAAAGAACGTAGATACTCCAAAATATACACCCATTATTGGGATTTTTTTTTTTACAATGTTTTTTTTTTATGTTTTATTATTTATTATTTATTTTTTTTATTTATGTTTTGCTTATTGGTTTGGCTGCCATTTTATAGTCTCTAGGAAGAGAGAGTTTTGAACGTTCACTTTCTTCTCCACCGTTCCTTTCAGCTTTTCCTTCCGATATTTTTGGAAATTCTTAAGGATTTGTTTGACGTAAAACACTAATACCATTGTTTACCAAAAACAGATATTTCATTTTTAGACAACAAAGACTTTTTCTGGTCATGATAAGGCCTATCAGTTGTGGGCGTACATAATGACTTTAATGCTTACGTCAGAATGAAACTATATAAAAATAGGTTAAAGAGATTGAATGTCTCCTGTTACTGCATGTGGATTTGTTTTATATTAAGTATTAACCTAATTAATCAATGGTAATTTGCATAACGTATTTTAGAAAATTGTTATCAAGTCATAGTATTAGAGTTTTGTGTACGTGTAGAGATTTGTTAGCAATGGTGCCCAAAAAAGCTTTTGGTTCATTATGCAGAACCTCCGGCAAGAGTTATCTGTCTTTGATCCACTACACTCGTTGGAACTGGAGAAATCTTTTACTGTTTTATTTTGTTTGGGAAATTGCTGCATCTATGTTGGTCTCTTGTAGCAAACATAAGCTTCTTCTAATGTTTTGAAAACTCAAATGTCGACTAAACAAGTGGAAACACTTTTTTTAACTGCGATTACATTTTGAGTGTCTCTGTCTCATTTCCAGGCACACGACGCAACCAAATCTCGATCCATCCAACCAAGATACAACGCTCCATCTCTTTCTTCCAGTCTGTATTTGTCAGAATAGTTCCTGAGCAGAGTTTTAATGGTGGAATTCACCAAGGGGCTCAAAGGGTAAGGAGTGAAACCAGCCATCCCAAACCGTGAACTCCATTTCCCTAAGAGCTCATGCCGCTCCACACGATCAGCTCCTTCACACGCTATGATGTTCACTACATCTCTTGCTAGACAATGCTGCTCCACATTAATCCTCTGTTTGTGATTCCTTGGGAGAGTCACATCAATCGACTCAAACATCGCCGCATAGTAATTCATCGTCTCCATGAACCTCGGGAAGAAAGCAGCCGTGTTCGTGTTTGACTCTTGCTCCACTAGAGTCACCACCTTTGGAGACAAGCTCTTCACCATTCTCAGTAACCGGTCCCTACAAAAACATACTCCTCAGTCAAACCAAACACATACAACAAGAACTATCCTATGTTCCAAACGCATACACATACCGGTGATTCTCGGTGCTCACGCTTTCGTCCGGCATATGATGAAGCACAAAGGCGAAGTTAACGGCTAGAGCTTCCCCTGGCCGGACTCGGAGGTTAATAGGTTTAACCTCGGAGACGGACACAGCCACAGAGTTAAACTCAAACGGAACATTAAACTGCTTAGCAAGCTTAGCGAGTCTGTTTCCAACAATGCTCAAGCCACCTCCACGAGCATACGCTGAAGTCATATCATCAATACCCGTTATCCGTATCCGAGGAGGACCACCAGGTCTAGCTGCAAAGGCCTGTATAAGAGTCACCCACTGACTCCCTTGACCGATCTGAAAATCGATTATGTGAACTCTGTTTTCTTCCTTCATGGCTTCAGCAATGGCACCGTTTGCTGACATGTAACCGAACTTGAAGTAAGGACAAACCTCATAGAGAATGTGCATGTAAGAGAGAAGGTCGTCGCTCGCAGGCTCAGGGCACTTGTTAAGTGCTTTGTATATGGAACTACCTGATGAAGCTAACTGAGCCACAAGGCCTTCAAGTAAGTAAGCTCCTAACCGTTGGATCGGCTCGCCAGAAACCGATACCATCAGGCGTAGCTTCTCCATCATCGAATGTGCCATCATGAGATCGTTCTCAGACATGGCTTTTGCGCATGAAACAAGATCAGCTCTTAGATCCCGCCTCGAGATGGCTTCTAGAGTTGATCTCCAGCTGTTAATCTCTTGGCATGACGTCGAGTCGAAGGAGTCAGTGTAATCGACTACTAAGTCTAAGGAGTCTGGCCCCATCATCACTGTCTCGAGTTCTTTTATCTTGTGTTTGAAGTCATTGAATTCGTCTGTCACGCAAGAGCCAGAGGTGTCCTCGTACGCGGAGCTGTTGTGTGATGATACCAAAACCGTAGCGGTTGAGAGAGCATTGTGAGCAGGGAAGTCAGGATATGGCTCGAGCGTGCAAACCCGTTTACGGGAGTTGTGAACCGGTAAGTACCTAAGCTTCCCAACAGAGTTAGGCTCGAAAGGAGGCAAAGAGTAAGCCTCAGTGAGCTCTTCTCTAGGATGCTTGTACATTTTTCTTGTCTCTTGTTTAAATTATCTGCAACAACTACAAGTAGAAAGATTAGAGTTAACTAATCTGTAATAATCCTAAAGGACTTAAATTGACTAATATAGTTTTGTAACTCGGATCGATCCAATCCCTATATAGTTTTATTAATTAATTGTAGAATTACTGGGAAAAAAAATAATTTTATTACTAGTTCTGCAACCACTCGTGAAAAAAACAAAGATAAGGAACCGAACAGAGCAGCAAGTTCATACCTAGTCCGGTCCGAAGCAAAGAAAAGGAATTTTCCGACAAGATCAACAGAGAGGGTTTACGATCTGATGCGTGTCTTGTTTTTCCAAGGGATCATAAAGAGCAGAAAAAGTTAGAAAACCAGAGGAAGTAAAGATGGAACAGAACTGTTGTAAGTGGAGAAAAATCCAAATTTTAGTAGTACCCACCTGACTTTCTGAGATGGAGAACCTTAAATTGGCGAAACTTAGTTGAAGTACCATGTGAACCAGAGCAAGAGCAAGAGCAAGAGCAAGAGCAGAAGAGAAATAGAGAGAGAGAAAGAGAAAGTTGTCGGAGACAAGGCACATGCGAATGACTCTAAAACATCAAAAACAACACAAGTCACTCTTGCTTACCAGAGAGAGAGAGAGAGAGAAAATAGAATCTCGATCAGGCGTGTGATTGACGATTATACCACTCAAACATGTCTCGACCACCACCACAAACATTAGAGTTACACTTTAACTCTCTCAATTATCGAAGATACATGTCCCCAATCCAATATTTGTCTTAATCCGTTTTTTCAACTTTCAGTATCTCATTCTTTATTATAATGAAAAAGGTATGAAAAGATATATTTTATTTTATTATACAACTAATATATAGACAAAAAAGAAAAACAGAAAGAAAGTTACTAGTTGGGTTTTAAATGATAGATCAAGACGGGAACACCATACAATTCAAAGTCAAAGAATGTTGACCGGTAGAGAAAGACTACAACAATGTTGACTTCAAATGTTGTGATTCCATGCCACACCGCAGTAGAAATTACAACTATCTTGGTTTTGATCGGTTTCAGGCGTTTGTAAGACGTTCGTAGTTTTCCATTTTAATCAAGTTTTAAGACAGCATTTCTTATGATGGAACAAAAGCCTTCCATTGAAACCAAATTTATCAATTAACCATGGTTTGGAAACATGTTGGATCATAAGGAAAAAGACAGAATAAAAAAATACAATAAAGTGGTCAAATTTAAACAGCCCTGAATTGTATATCTTGAACTTCCAATATTTGGATCATATAATAAATAAAATAATTATACTGTCCTCAACTGTATTTTGAACTTCAAACATTAACTTCTGAGAATTTTTATAAAACAAATGCTTGAAGCTGAAAATAAATAGTTCCCGAAGAGAAATTCAGATTCTCGAAACCAAAGGTTTCTGACTTAATTTTGCAAAAGCACCAAGAAATAAATAAATAAATAATTTTTCTCCTAAGCACTAAGAAAATTATAGAATATCAGCTTGCTAATGCTTTAACCTTTCCCCTCTTTTTTTTGTTTTTGTTAAGTGAATGTTGTGTCATTGTGACCCCACAATTGGGGGTGGTTCTTTTTTCTTTTCTCCCTTTTCACAATCCTCCCATTATAATATGAAGATATCACTTATAACAAAATATTGATATGGAATTTGTTTAAGAACTTATAAACACATGCAATCTTTATTTTTGTTGAAAACTTCATACAAAGAGGGATCCATGTACCAACGACCATTATGTGAATGTGTATGTATGTGCATGACTTACAATTGTAAACTTAAGAAAATTCAATGGTAACTCTTTCTGTATGTTGTTCTCTTCCTGGCTCTACTCTATCAGCCGCATGCTTCTTCAACAAATTTTACCACCTCCAACTTTTTTGGATCCCCCTCCCAATCCACTATTTATAGAGTTATTACTTCTACTTCTCATATTATTAACAACTAAAACATAACTCAAAGCAATGTCATTTTCTTAATTTTCATAGAGAGTCAAACTTTTTTGGATCCCCCTCCCAATCCACTATTTATAGAATTACTAGGTTTTTCACCCGCGCAAGCGCGGGTCTGTTTTATAGTTTGATTAGTAATTTTTTTTTATTCATAAATTACTATGAAATCTTATTTTTCGCCAATTGTTTATTATTCTTCGATCTATTCTTCTTTATTCGTTTTTTTTCTTCTTTGCTTTCTTCTTCATCTTTACTCTCCTTTTATGTTTCTTCGTCCTCGTGATTTCTTATTCCGTTATTTGGTCTGTTTCTTCATCTTTGTTTATCTTTTGTTTATTTTTTGTTTTCGTTCTTTGATATTTTTGTCTGTACTTTTTTTTATTCTGTATTATTCTTTTGTTTTTTCTATGATTAGTTCAGACGGTCGAAGTTATAGAGTTTTGCTACTTTTTTTCTTAGATTATTCTTTGCTGGAATTTTTTAACCATTGTATCCTTTTAGAAATATTTTTTATGTAATCCTCTTTATGTAAAATAATATTTTCACTATTTGATACACTTAACCAAACTTAAAAATGTAAAGGATTCATAGAAATAAAATAAAGTTAGAAATATACAAATATATATTCACACATATATTGAACAATGTCTAACAATAATTCAATTTATGTGATCATAAATATATAGTTAAGCATAACTTTCAATTTCATATTCTTTGGTTTCTTGGTTTAGTCTTATATTATATGAGATTTTTTATTTATATTTTTGTTCTTTGTTATTTTTCGTCTTCGCTTTTCTTAATCTATATTTTTTTTTTGGCTTTTCTTGGTTCTTATTCTTCTATTTCTTCTATGGTTTATTTTTTTCATCGAAAATGCTAGGTTTCCCTATAGTTTGTTTATTCCAGATTCCTCTTCTTCTATGTATTGTTTGTTCTTCGCTTAAAATTCTCCAGGACTATATTTTTTGTAAAATATGTTTATTATTAACCTCTTTAATCTTAGGTAGAAACAAATTTTCACTATCTATCTAAACCTTTAAAAAATAAAATGTATGTCTAACAAATTTAATCTAGATAAGCTAATATTATTGTAGATAAACTAATGCTACTATTTAGGTTGGATTTCTAGGAGTATGAAATTTATTTGAAGAGAAGTTAATTGACACATCGTTGTTCTTCATTTCCTTCTTTACTCACTCTTGTTTCTATGTTTTTTAATTTTATTTCTTGATTCTCTTCATTTTTTTCTACTTTGATTTTTTTTTATTCTTATTTGGTTTCATATTTATCTTCACTCATCTTCGCTTCGGCTCTTCTTCGTCTTTGCTTTTCTTTATTCCTCTGTCTTGTTCTTGTTTGGCTTCTGCTCTTCTTCGTCTTTACTCTTCTGTACCCTTTCTTTGTATTCTTGTTTGGTTTTATTTCCTTCTTCACTTTCGTTTATATTTTTTATTTATTCTTCTTTAATTTCTCCTACTTTGATTTCTTCTTTATTCTTATTTAGTTTTTTTTTTCATTTTCACTCATCTTTGCTTAAACTTTTTTATTTATTCCTCCTATGTGTTTTTTTTTCATATATTTGGTTCTTGTCTTAGCAATATAACTAATTTACATGACAACTTTTTTTTGTTGTAAGTAGAAAATATATTTTTTATTTTTAAAAATATTTAATTACTTGAAAAGAAATTGTGATTACATGAAGGTTTCTATAAAAAGGAAAATAATTACTTAATTTTAGTGATTATCTGGAATGATATTATTGGGCTGTTTAAAATCATATATATGTAATAAATAATTTCTTTATTTCTTACATATTTAAAAATTGTAAATTTTTTTAATCATGTATATCTTTATGTAGACCAATCAAATTTAAATAGTAAATTTTATATGATGATATGTAATGATATTATTGGTTATTTTCCAATTAAGAAACTTTCTTGAGATATAAAAAGTTGATTAAATTAATTTTTAGAAATATAATTTATTTCCTATGATGATGTCGACTGATACTATTGGTTATTTAAAATTGGAAACTTTATTAATATTGGAAAACGCTTACATGGACCAATAATATCGAGTTTTTAAATCCTATGTAGACGCTATCAGAGGCTTATAGCCTCAACTTTAGGAATTGTGATGTTTTTAATTCAAATCTGGTTAGATAATGATTGTTGTCATATATCTTAGATTTTTTTTTAAAAAACATATTAATTTAGTTTATTTTTTTGTTGGTATTAAAAAGAAATATGTTGTAAAATCTTTAATGCAAAACATTTATAATATATTTAGATTAGGAAACTTTCTTGAAAATAAAAAGGAAATTACCAAATTTTATATAATGATGTGGAGTAATATTATTGGTTGTTTAAAATCTGGAAAAAAAAAAAAAAAAAAAACAAAAAAAAAAAAAAAAAAAAAAAATAAAAACAAGAAGTAGAAAAAAAAACTAAAAAAAAATGAAGAAAAGCGAAAACAAAAATAGCAAAGAATGAAAAAAAAAACAAATTATATAACGCTAAACCTGGAAACCAAATAAAAATATGAAACATAAAAAGGAAATTACCAAATTTTATATGATGATGTGGAGTAATACTATTGGTTGTTTAAAATCTGGAAATTTCCTAATTGTGTAGATGCTTATATGAACCAATAAAATCGGTTTCCTAAATCGTGGACGCTCTTAGAGGCTTATAGCCTCAACTTTTATATAGTATAGATTATTTCTACTTCTCATATTATTAACAACTATAAACATAACTCAAAGCAATGTCATTTTCTTAATTTTCATAATCTCTCTATTGCCACAAATACTGAAATATTCGATATTTAATCTTGTAGTACTAAATAAGAGATAAAAAAGTAGAGAACTCAAAAAAGTATGGTCCGATGAGGGAGCCATTTATGTAAAGTAAAATGAAGTTGTTCCCCGAGTTCAAAACCCAAGAGGGAATATCCAAACTTTTGGTTTCTCTGTTTCGATACAAATACAAATGATGGTTCCTGACACCGAGCATATGTGAACTAGACTCACACATATGTGAACAGACATTCATTTTCAAAGTCAAAATATAGAGCTGATGAAACTAATTGCTGGAAAGAAACAAATATACCAATCACCACTTAAAACATATGTTGCTGAGAAAACTTTTCAGAGTTTTGTTAGCTAGCTGAGTCGTACTGTGTAGAGCGTGAGCAAGGCACTCCATAATGAAATATTTGCTACTTCTTCTTCAGTTTCTTATCAGGGCATCACAAGTATCAATATATCATGACATTAAGTTCAGACTCTCTTGTTGCACAATCACAACTTTCTTTGCTTTTCATAAATCACTAATCATCCAATAAAGAAACCATATAATACAAAAACAGCTTAATATCAACAAAGTGAGTACACACAAATTAGAAAAACATCAGTGAAAAAGAGTTAAGGCTACAACACTCATAGTGATGAATTTTAGGATATGAAAACTAGATATATATAAGAGAGGAAACACATCAAGGATTGGATCTGAAAGGATGGCGCTCGTTAGATTGAGGATCTACCTTGGGAGAGAGATTATTTGTATCCTTGAAGAAGATCACGGATCTTTGAGTACATCAACACCTGTGACGGGTCTCCTCCACCACCACCACCACCACTGCTCTGTGACACCGCCCTCGAATTCTCCTGCAGCTTAATCTTCTCAAACAGATACTGCTTCTCCGCCTCGGCCTCGCTCAGCCTCTGCTTCAGATAGTTACTCGCGTATTCCTCCTCAGACTTATCCATTTTCGCTAGCACAATCCTCTGCAACCTCTCAGCCTCCCGCTTCGCTTCGTTTGCTTTAAGCTGAAACATGTCTGCCTCCGCTTGCTTCAGCCTCACGATTCTGTCCAGCTCGTCTATCTGTAGCTTCTTCTTCTGCCTCTCCGCTTTCATTTCCGCTACTTCCTTGGCTTTGTCTTCCAGCTCTCTATCGCAACTCTCCAGCGCCATGCGTGCCTTCTTGAACATCCTCATCTTCTCCTCAGAAACTATTTCCATTTTCCTCAGAGTCTCCTGCACAACTTCAGCAATTCTGCTGCATGCATCTTGAGGTGCTATCAGACGCCCTCCTTCTCCAATATCAAAGCTCTTCGCAGAGTCCAATTCAATCTCTTCAATAACATAGCAACAAAAAGGTTTAGACTAAACAGAGAGAGTAATGTTTTTGGTTCATAAGTAAATAAATTTACCTTGGAAAAACATTAGTATCAATTTAGCAGCTGTTGCTTCAGCCAAACCACCCTTGATCTTCTCCATAAGCTCCTCACACTTCCAGAACAGCTTCCTACCTCGTTGATCCTCGCTTCCTCGGAATATCCTACTAACAAAGTCAAGTTCTTTAACCAAAGATTCCCTATCCCAGTTTGGTGCACAGTGCTGAAACACATCCCTAACCCAACCAAGCAGCTCAGAAGTCCGGTTGCATGCGCGGCACTTGAACATCATTTCACCTGGACCTGACGCATTCTTAGCAGATGATCCCGCCGTGATCTGTCCGTCCCGAATAGCACAGTCTGTATGAGTCCAATGAGAACACAAGTCGCATCCAATCCAGCGGCAGGAATTGACAGAGAAATCAAACTTGTTGCAGATCACACACATGCAAAGGTTGCAGAAACCTTTCCTCTTGGTGCAAACCTCGCAGTAGCAATCATCAGCTGGTAGCTGGCTTTGGCAGGCTATGTTTCTGCATCTCTTGTACACGAAAACCTCGATGAGATTAGCCTGAGAGAGACTGATGTTCGGATGCAAGAACGCCTGGATTCCGGTATTTATCGCTACAAGAATCTCAAGCTGCACACGATGAGCCCTCATAAGCGTTGTAGAGGTCAAATCAGGTCTGCTCTGAACAAGCTTCTGCAAGAACATGAATTCATCAACGCTCAAAGCTGCGTTTCCTTCCAGGATAGACTTAAGACCGTTCTTTAACTCCTCAAGAAACTCATCCGGCAAACGGTGCATTCTCTCGGCGACTATTTCGACTCTTTCCCTGGCTATGTCCCGTATTGATACCTTATCCGCATTAGAGACATGGTGCATTACGGGATGTTCATGAGAGTCAGGCTCCGTTTTTTTATTCACCACCACTGTCTTCTTAGCCACAGATACTTCTCCTAGTGGCCATGTTTCTTGAGAGCTCGCACTCTCAGCTGGAGACTCACGACGCACGGCATCGGAATTAGAACGTGGCTCCTGACCTTCGTGTGACGAGTGGGGATCTGAAGATACGAGTGAAAGAGCTGTTTCTGGCCCTCCACTCCGTAGCTGCTGACGTGGAGGTAACATCTGGTGAGGATGATTGGACCCTGATGATGTTCCCATCAATAATAGTAAACGAACTTGTTAAGCCTGCATTTTAAAGAGAATCATATAAATGCTTTGAATCATCACAATGTACTAACAACTCAAAAACGAAAAAAAGTAAAATTTACAAGCACAACATGAATCCAAATACCAGATAAAATGAAATCAAACATATTCCACTATGTGTTTGAGTGATCATAAGCTCTAAATTTGAACATTTACTCAGAGAAAACCCATATACCCAAATTATTTATCAAAATCCCTAGAAAAAGCAAAAAAAACTCTAAAATACAAACAGGTTCCACTATCACTGTGAAATTCAGATCAGAGAGTAGTGGCTGCTCTAAACCATCAATAGAAGACACGTTAAGACCCAAGGCAATGGTTCCTTAAACTAATTGGTTTCATGATTAAAACGACTCCAAGGTCAAAACAGGAAACGAGGAACAAAGGGAGGATCTTAAAAATCATAGCAAATTAGATAAATATTAACTAAATCAAGCTTAGACAATATTTACCCAACTCGATTATAACCGAAATCGACTCCTATCCTATAGAACCGATTTCCAAACTAGCCTCGAACTTCAACAACTCGATCATGAAAAAGTTCTTCTTTTTCCACAGAGAACGAGAGAATGAGAGAGAGAAATCAGATCCGAGCAAAGGAAAGAGAAGAGGACTCACCGGAACGGGAGAGACGTCAGGGAGCTGTAGCCGAGGATGAAGGTTGAGACTTGAGAGTGAGAAAGACAAAATGTAATAAGGCGAAGAATAAAAATTACTTTTTTTATTTTTAAGGAAAAGGAAAAAAAGAAGAAAGAGAAGAATATTTGGAGGGTTTGACTGAAATAGTTTTAAGCGTTTCATACAGCTGTCGGTTTTTTAATACTCACAAGACACAACTGGTAACCCGACCAGCCGGTGACTTCCGACTCCTGTTGTTGACTTTTGACTTCATTTTTTCTAATTTTCTTACACAACGTTTTTGAAGGTATAAAAATACACTACCAAACATTCGATCTCAATAAGTCGTATGTCAAAGGCCCTTAAATTTCCTGGTTATGTTGATCAAAAAAAAAAATACAATAAGCGCCAAAGACATAAGTTAGTTCCATTGGGGCTGTTGAGGAAATTGACTTTTGTTAGCTGACTCGGTTTGTCTTAGACGGCATACTAAACCGTTTTGGTGAAGTGGCCTCTAATGTCTTGCATTGGCCACACTTGAAAAAAAAAATTATGCTAATCTAATTTGTTGATGATGAATTCAAGAGTGATAGAAAATATTACAGTAACTTTGTGAATCCTTGATGAATTGCATTGAGATTTTGCATTGTTTATAAGCTGTGTGTGAGTGTGAAGAGCATGAATCTGCGAAAAGCATGTGAGAAATCTTTAAACAAGAAACTGGTGTCACATTGAGGAGCAAGCTCAAGAGACTAAATCATATACTTAATAGCTATAATTAAGAAGCACCTAAAAGGCTAAAAGTTTAGAACATATATATCACGTCATCTTGAAAGAAAGGATGAACATTTAAAAGCTGTTAAGCCCTTGTTATTTTGATTCCGACATTATATTCAAATCTTTCATCGTCTTCTCCAATTCTGATGAAATTAAAACAATGTAATAAATAAATAAAATTGAACTATATGGGCCAATGTAGATGTGAGAATGTCAAAATCAAGGCAGGCTGTTATATGCAGATAGGCCTTTATTTTTGTGGTCCATCACCTAACTTAACGTTGCGACCGAATCTAGACTGCAACAAAAGTACATACAAAGATATCCAATTCCTCCCTAGCTCATCTTACTTATAGGATGTCAAGCGTTGGATTCTAGTATCTCAACAACCATATGTGTATCAGTATATATCATCACTTATTCTCACCATCAACATCATCTACGTCCATTGTGTTACACTGTTACTTCTTGACTGCAAACGATATTTGATCCTTGATTAACGTGGCAAACTATTTAAGCAAGGTATTTATTTGTAGAATGTGGTTTAATTAATTTGGCAATCAAGAGAAAACCATTTAAGACAAACTCTCCCGAACAAGGACAACACTCGACTTTCTGGTCCTTAATTCACAGTCTAGTTAGCTCCTTTAGGTTCCGTCACAACAAGACTGATATTTGGTAAATTACTAAGGCGACATTAGCTAATTAGTACGGTTTTCTTCAATATGTGTAGGCAACATTCTTTTGGTTAATGAAACTTTTCACAATAAAATCCACTTTTCGTTGTTGTTAAACTCAGAAGATTTTAGCAAAAATTTTTTTTTGTAATTTTGTTGATTTAGAAGTTTGAACATCATTTTTTTCTTGCATTCTCAAAAAAGTTTCCTGTCCACCAAAAGTAAAAAGAGTAAAGTAAATGTTCGACCAAACACTATAGTCTCTAAATAATTTTCTCCTATATAATATGTTCACATTAAACCAAAAAGTAAAGTTAATGATGTAGGAGATTAGGACATAAAAAAAGAGAGGTAGAAGAGACAAAACAGCTACTCGTTGGCAGTATCTAGGGGAGAAAAGAAACCGGAGCGAAATAAGGATCCCACGTTTATTAATAAATCTTGTAATGAAATGATGAAATCGAAATTTCGTAATCGTAAAAAATCTTAGTAAAAATAAATATGATAAAGAATACTAATCTTGGGAAAATAATAATAATTTATTAATCGTAGAAAGAAAAAAAGACCGTTCCGGCAAAAGGCGAATCAGACGACGTTAACAGGCTTCCGGAGGAACATAAGCGATGAAGGTGGCGCGTCTCCAATCCACGCGCCGACGTAGAGGCGCTCGTAGTAGTGGACACAGTAAAGGGAGAGTGATAGCTGAAGCTGGTCTCGGCTCCATAGGAGCTTGGGGAGTCGCGCGAGGACCGGACGGATACAGAGGAAGTAGAGACATCGGTAGCCACCGAGAGCCGACACAACGGACCGAAGGGAAAGTGAAGGTCGTGGTGACATTTGTCGGAAACAGAGCTCTTCCCATATTGAATCGTTGCGAGCCACGGCTGACCATAGACGGCACACGCAAGCTGCTGCGCAAAGAGAAGGACCGTCTAGACGCCGGAGGATCTCTACGAGCACGTCGTGGTGGTCGTTGATGAAGAACTCGGGAACACGTTCCACTCTCTGTCTCTTGTTGTTACTTTTCTCGACCATGCCAATTCGTTTCTCCGACATGGTAAAACTAGAGAGAGAGAGAGAGGTTTTGTGTTTCAAAGAGAGAAGATTGATACAGCTGTTGATATCACACGGGCGCATACAAATATATATGTGTTTATATTGTGTGTGAGTGAGAAGCAGAGAGGGAGTGATGTTTATATTCAATCTGTAAATTAAGAATAAAAATTAATGTTGGTTGGGTGGTTCTTGTTGCTTTTAAAACCTTAGTCTATATCATTACTTGTTGTCTTTTTGTTTCAAAAGCTATTGGTTACTATAACATATAACTATTTGTTTCTTTGCTTCACTAATCTCACATTTCCTGGTATGGCCAATTGAATTACCTAACACAGCTACAGAGCTATACCTATGTTCAGTTATCGATCGAACCAAAATGGATACTATTATACTATATCTGGTGAGAACGAATCTAGTATTATACATTAGGATTAATAACAAAATAAATAGTTTAAAGTTATTTTTGAGGTTTTTTGTGGAGACAAGACAGTATTTTGCTAGGTCCAACTGGTGCTAGACATTGATCACTCTAAAATAAACTAATCGAAGAAATCGTTTGGAAAGATGCAAGACTTATTTCATACTACTATTTTGTGTAGATATATTAGTTTAGTAGTGATCAGTAATTGTCTTTTGAAAGGAAGCGAGAAGGAGTCCCGAAACTTCAAACCTAATCAAGATGAATTGGTGGTAATTAATCTTGTGGTGTACTATGTAAATTTAAGTATAGTATTATGGGTATTATATTAGTAAAAATGGGACTAAGTGTGAAAATAAAACCTAATTGTGATTTTATAGATGTTGGTGGGTATTTATTGGCCTATTGGGGTAACGTAGAAAGTTAAGGTATTTGGATTTGGAAGGACTACAATTTTCTCTGTTTCCTCCACGCTTGAACTATGTATCGTACACTCAATCTATGTTTTCTGAACAGTAATGTGTTAGCGAGAGAGGTATTACTACCACAGTGATTTTGGAGGATTTGATGGATGATACCTCTTTTAAAAACTTAAATGGATTTGGATTTAGAACTACTACTACTTGGAACAACTAATAAGTAATAAGTGAAGGGTTTTTTTTTTTGAGAAAACTAAAAATTGAAGAGTTCTATTAATTTATCCTATGGTCATTTGCATTGCTAAGTTAGTCTCATTGGTCGTAAAATTTATAATAGGAAACTAAATTAAAAATATTTTTAAGATAATATAACAGATGGTAAACAATAGTAGTAATTAAAAAACAAAAACGAATATTTATTTATGCAACTGAAAATGCCTTTGTTACATTAAATAACATAAACCATAGGCATTAATAAATTGGTCAATCCGGTGTATTATATTATTATGACAATTTTCATCTGTTTTGATTTCTCACAAAATACAGTTAGCTTGTTTACTATAATCATAAGCTTTACAATTTACACATTATGATGTCTACGAACATCAAAACATAGTTAGCTTATTTTAGAGATTATGTATTAGTGTACGGATAATGTGTATATCTCAGGGCTTTTTTTTTTTTTTTTTTGTAAAAGATCTCAGGGCAATTGACACAGCTTATAGTAGCTTCTAGCATCACTGTCGACATTGATGCTGATATTTAATCAGATTCGGAAAATCAAATTTATGTCTATTTATCGGGAGTATAATTAACGGATATATGTGGATATAATTATAGTATAATGTATGCATGTGAACATCTATAGACTACTGAGATAGAAAAGAGTTGTGACTTGTGAATGGGAATCGAGGTGAAGTGAGGAAGGGTCCAAGGGAAAGAATCCACCAGAGAGAACTGCAAATCCGATGCTCTTCCAATTTCGTTTTTATTTCTTTCGCCTTTTTTATACCCTATACATCTAGAAATTATGTACATACACCAAGACACGCATGTACACAACTCTTTTGTAACCTTTTTCCTCTTTGTTAAATAAAAAAAGTTACACGAATACTGATATGCATTACATATACATATATCATATATGCGTGTCCTAGTGTATATATTTATTACAGTTTCTTTTCTCGAGGTAAAAGAGACATTGTTGTTCGTTCTTCTTGTTGTTTATGTTGTTTTTTATAGTTAACACTTTTATATCTCGAGTTCTTCCATATGTCTTCTTCTCATTCTCGTCTTTCTTGTTTCAGAGCCGTTGTGCAATTATCTACAAGGTATACTCATGCATGTATATGTACACTTACTGTAAAAGTTGACATTTTTTTTTGGAAAACAATAATTTATTTTTTGTCATGCTATAAAGGCTCAGTTGACATTTTCCATGTCTTTTGTTTTCGAGCATTAGTAAACTTGTATTAGTTTTCTTTATCGGTACATTTTCTAGGAATCAAAACTTGATTAATTCTCACTCCGAGTGATTTTCCAAATATGCTAACTTCTGGTTTGATGGGTTTTATGAGATTTACTATTTAGCATAGAAACAATTTTATGTTGGTTTGATGGGTTTTTCACTTTTTTAGTTTTTACCCATTATATACACTTACCACATTCGTTCTGTCCAAAATCATCGTTTCCATAAATTTATTGATGAACTACTATACTTCGTTGTATAAGAAACGAAAAATATACCCAAAACAAAAATCGAAACGCATATATTTGTATCCTTTTCAACGAACAATAGCCGTACACTACCATCCAAATGCAAAGACAAAAGAAAGACTGCCACCCAAATGGAAAAAATGAATGAAAGGAAAAAATAAGCAATTATTAGAGATTTAGAGAAGCAAAAAAGAAAAAAAAAAACAACAATAAGCATCGATCAAACATTTAGTCAATAATCAACTATTTAGTTGTCTTTTTGGCGTTGGAATTTCGCCAAAAATAGCAAACCCAAAATTCGTTTTAACACTCAGCTGTCCTAGCCTCAACATATGTTACAATGTGCATATATACGTATAATATACATATGAAATGGATTCAGTATACCGAATTATTGAAGAAATATATATGAAATATTAACAAGGAGATAAAATGAAAGAGAGTTTCGCTTCTTCTGCCTGGGGGTGTAATTATGTAACTGAGGGGCTTTGTTGTTATGCACATTTGGTCTTTCTACTATTTATTGTATTGTTGATTTTCTTACTTTTGATTCCTAATTATGGAAATGTTGAAACGAGGAAATAACAGGAAGATAATTGTGAAACATCATCAACATATCATATAATTGAGATGTTTGATGCTCTTTCATGTAGTTTCTTTCAAATATTTACTTACTCATTCGACGACTAGCGCTTGTCCTTTCTAAAAAGTGTTACATGTGCAGCATCCAATTGGTCAACCTTATATAATTATCGTATTGACTCCGATTTATTAATATAATTTCCCGGGGATCAGGGGTGAGTACAATAAACGTTTTATTTTTGTTGCTTTATGAAAAACTGAAAATGTAACACTAACGTAACGTCTCTCTTCTCGTTTTGCAAGATTGATTTGAGATAAAAAAAAATTGGGATCCAGAGACAACACTCGTAGAATCACTGAATAACGATCTGTCGGTTATGCTAAACAAATTTCACCAAGATAAAATTGTTTCTATGCTAAATAGCTCTGTTCAAAAAGTCGGCGATTTCTCCGACTAATCGGTTAAAAAATCGGATTCGAGGTAAAAACGTGGCGATTTTCTAAAATCCGACTAATGAGAAAAATCGTTTGAAATTTTTAAAATGAGATGGGCCAAATCTTTGATTTCCGAATTTTCTTTGGCCCAATTCCAAATTATTTAAAAAATGGGGCCCAATTAAACAATGTTCATTCTATTTAATTTTGTTTTAGCTAAAACAAGACTATAATTGATAACAATTAGATGAGAAAAAAATTGGTTTTGGGGATTTATAACCCAAACAGTAAATTTTGTTACTAATTGTAAGAGTCTTGTCCTCCAAAACTTGAAAAATGTTAAACTAATTTTGAAATACATAATTTTCATATTATGTTTTATCTTTTATATAAAAATGTTTAATAAATTAAAAAATGTAGTAAAAATTCTTCCCCGACTAGTCTCCGTTTTATTTCCGATTTTTGAAAAATCAAAAATTTTGAAGTCACCGCTCGACTAACGCCTAACGACTTTTTGAACATTGCTAAATAGTAAATCTCATTCTTTATGCGGATGTTTTTTAAAATTGCACATTTATTATTTAAAATCAACATTGTTGGAGCTTAAGTTTATTCGACAGGTAATTTAACGTCAAACCATGAATTTATTTTTCCGATAACTAAACCTCATATGGCAGTCTCAAGCGGTAGTCGTCCCTCCATCCGATGAAAATGGGAGCCGCTAACACTTTGAAAGAAAGCTTACAAAATAATTTTTGTTTTGAGAAAACTTTAAATTTCACTTTTCATAACGATTTTACTCGATTGTATGATAAATACTTTAACAAGATATCTTTAGAAAAACATTCCTTCTCACATCATTATCAACAACATGTTATAGATATATGAAAACATTACAATCTAACACGAACAATATTTAGAACTGAACAAAGAAAGATGCAATAGTTGACAAAAGAAGGAGCTTTAAAGGAATACTATGTCAACTTAGGGAACTGGTAACCAAAGTCTAACTAGTTCCTAATCAACTAGCTAGACTTTCTAATAGTATAAATATACATATCTACTGTAACATACTATTATTAAGAATTCACTGAGATCGAGAGGTGAGCGCAGAACACAAGGCAAACATTTGGTCAACCGTAACGCTAAAACAAGTACAAAAAAACAGGAAGAAGAGAAGAATCACACACATCCGCTCTCTATCAAACCTGATAGGATAACGTTATAGACTTGTGGTACCGGTACAGCTCATGTACATGTGTGTAATTGAATACAATATCGAAATTAAAAATAATTAAGAAGGATTTGGTAATGATTAAAGGAGCAACGAAGGTTAAGGAGGTATAAAGAGATAATAGCTCAAGTACAATGTTAAAGAAAACAAAGAAGAAAGATGTTGGACACAAGCATACCCTCCGATAAACAAACAAACAATCACATTCACTGCCATATATGTCCAAATCTCATTTCACCTTCACATACTGACACACAGCTTAAATGTATGATTTTTCAACCATCCTTCTGTTTGTACTATATTCTTTATGCTTGAAGTATAATTAAATTAGGTATTCGTCCCACGCTTTTGAACTCCATTTAATGTACTTATAAACACCAAATACTATATATATAAATATGTAAAATTTGTAGCTAAATATGATTTTTTTTTAATTTAAGTGTAAAAGTTTTACATCAAATATTAGATTAATGTGACTTAAATTACCTGTGCAGTTGAAAACCAACGGTCTAACCCTTTTCCTTGATGGTCACAAGCAAATCACAACATAAAAGCCCACAAGTCATATTTCTATTCACCCAAGGACCTGCTCGGTAGTGAACCAAAATATAACGATATGGGCTTGTAAGTGGTTATTCGTTTCTGGCCTCAATTATTGATAGTGAGACGTCAAGGCAAGTAGGCAACATGTTTGCGACTCTGCGTCAAGATATAAGCTCAACGGGAACATCGCCAAGATAAAAAGTACTGTAACATTTCATTACCAAGTGGAAGATAATGATTTGGAAAAGGGTTTGATAAATGCCCGCACAAGGTGAATGCCTTAGCAGATTATGAAATAAACTAACCTTACAAAAAAAAACAAGATTATGAAATAATAACCCACGCTTAATTTTTGTATGAGTAGCTAATATAGAGAGATCAGAGATGAAACAATATAACATTCTCTATAATGCTTACAGATGGATATAACAGCAAGAAAATGATCAAATGATAAGCATGCATATCACAAAACATCTATGAGCATGTGTCGCATAACATTATCAACTGTACAAGTGTCTGTGTGTGGTACCTTTTTCGATGTCTCTACTCTCTAAAAGACAAAATCAAACATCTATAAGCATGTGTCGCATAACATTATCAACTGTGTCTGGTACCTTTTTCGATGTCTCTACTCTCTAGTGATGGTATTTTGATGTTGGAGTATATCAATAGCTTCGATGCTATCCTATCTTTAATTTCTTCCAAAAATGTGGATTTATGATGATCATAGCTCAACACGAATTGTTTGACTTGCAGGAAGTGTGTGAGGATTTATGATGAAAATGAAATCCAACAAACTACAAGAAAAAAATGTTGAGCCAAGGATTTTCCGTCTTTAGACGTACGATACAGTATTATAATTTCCACTTCCACATTAACGACTAATAGCAGAGGGATATGCCAAATGTCAATGACCAATTTCGAAAACAAAGAAAGTTGTAAGCATTGCTAATATCGCCCAGTCAATTTTCAACGAAACTTTTATTACATAATCAAAAGACCAAACTTGAACTTAATATCTAGAATAGGCATGCCTAGAGCAAATGTCCACCACATAACACCTTGAACAACAAAGACACTAAAAGACACAATTTAACTCATTGATTTGACGACATTAACTAAAACGAGAAACCCAAAAACACCAAATCATCAAGACGCTCGTTGGTCGGAGAATTCCCACCGTGAACCAGCAAACCTTCCTCACCATCCTTGACCGCAAACGCAAACGCGCACCACCCGCGTGGGCTCGGTTTCTCCTCCCCAGCCACGTCCACATGCTTCTCCCACACCAATGTCTCTGTGTCAAGCTTGTAAACATCTCCAGTCAACTTCCCAGCTCCCATATGCATCAGCTCATGCGGCTCCTCCTCCCCACCGTATATCACAATGTGCTTCCCGTAAGGAACCACCGGAAACACGCTTCTCGCCGGCGGCACATCCCCGGTGGTTTCCACGTGGGTCCATTTTTGACTAGCCAAGTCAAAGCAATGGATATCATCCAATTCCTCGCCGTCGAAACCAAACAAAACCCAAACTTTCCCTTTCACAACCGCGAGCCCCGGCGCTCCTCTCCCTTTGCAAGCTTCCCCAGCCGCCGGATACTCAACCCATTTCCGATCAACCACGTCGTAAGCGTGCAACGTGTTCACACGCCCTTCGCGACAAACCCCACCAAAGACGTAAACTTTCCGGTCATCACCAGCCATCGAGTGGTAGCTACGGCCGGGAAGCCCTTCGTCGACGGGAGTAAGCGATTCCCATTTGTTGGCGACAGTGTCGTAGGAATACAAGCCGTTGTATTTCCGAGCTTCGTCGCGGCCACCGTAGACGTAGATCGTGGTGCCGATTGTGACCATTGAGACTCCGAAACAGGGGAACGGAGCGTCTCCGGTTGCAGGGGCTACGGACCATTCCTGGGTTTTGAGATCGAAGACGAAGAGATCGTTGTCGATTGGGATCGTCGGCTTAAGCTCACCGCCGAAACAGTAGACTTTGTCCCCCACGACGGCTAAGGCGTGTGAGCTTCTCGGTCCAGGACCTGCTCCTTTCTGACCCACCTGAATCAACACAACCAATAAACCACATTTAATCGATCCTTCGAGGATCCAAAGAAGCAAATCGATAAAAAGAGGGAATTTTTACCTTAACCCATTTGTTTTCAGGCACAAGACTCATAGCTGGCAATTTTGTTCTTAGCAAAGAAAAAGAATTTTTATGACTTTTTTTTATAATGAAAAAGTGTTGTATCTATTGTCAATGCTTTTCGTGTACTTATATAGGCAAATGCAGTATCACAATTCACAACACATCACCACCAAAAAAAAATCAAAGTGAATTTATGAACACTATTTTGTTTTATTTTCTTATTGTGATAGTTGTTAACAAACCTTCCACTATTACCACAAAGAAATGGAGATACGTTACCATTTATGACACTATTTGTTTTTTTCTTTCTTATTGTGACAGTTTTAAAGCCATTTTTTAATGGAAAGAAGAATCCGACTACGCAAGTGTAATCCTGCAATGAATTTGATTGGTTAAAGGGATTGCTATACACTGCATGTTTTTTTTTTTTTTTTGGTTTCTTATTAACTAAGAAAATCTTGATTAAAATTTCTTAAACAAACGTTCTTTTCTTCTACATAGCTGTCATAACAGATACACATATCTGATCCAAAAGGAGAAATATCATCAAAATTTGTATAGTCATAGTTCCGGATAAGAACCAACGAAGATATCAAAACAAATTTTGGAAAAGGAAAAAAAAGGTCAAACCATTTTTACAGTTCATAATCTCTAGCTAATTGCTTCTTCACGAATTCTTATAAGAGGTATTAACTTAGGATGCAAGTGTACATATTGAGTAATTAGATGATAAAAAGATATGACTTCCACACGGTAGCTCACGTGTCACATGGGGTGCCTGATCTTCATGGCTCCACTTCTATTTGGAACGCATGGCACTTTTTTCAAAAAAACCAACAAACAAACAGAGAGAACAAATGCATGTGAGTTAAAAAAAAGAGAGAAAAAGGATGGATGAGTCATGAGATGAACGTGGACAATATTAAGAAGAACCTGGTCAATAATCCAGGCAACATTAACGTAGGCTACACTCGGACTCAATTTTGTGGTTTAGCACTTTCACTAATAAGCGATGATTTTGTCACATTAATCTCGAACCCCGTAGATATCTAGTCTTATTCATGACATCGATCCAAGAATCCATAAGCTCCAAATATTGATAGTGGAAATCAATATTCCAACATGAAATCAATATTCCAACATACTACACCGTATAAAACTTTTAAACATATACAGTATTAAGAAATACTTGATTCTATAAAATAAAACATTCCTATTTTCTGATTTTTTTCAACTTTTTAGTCGATTTAGATCAGAAGTATAAGGAACTATATGAATTTTAGTTACTTATTGTAAGTAATTATATCAGTCCGTCTCCATTCTAAATTAGAGACACCAATAATTGAAAAAAAAAAACTTAAACAAATTGTCAACCTTTAGTTGGGGTCATCCCAAGAGTGCCCACCTCTAATTCAGAAAGAAACCGTTCACAAAATGCAACGTAACGAAATCCCACATTTGTTTCATCTTATATAAATCCAATCACTGACTACTGTTAGATTCATATCAGAGATCAAAAACTCAATTAACTCATTAGTAATCTCTTATCAAATGGTGGATCAACAAGTTGTTCTTCTTCTTTCTTCTAGTCGTATGCATTCCCGTGTTCGGTACAGCTCAAACGTTGCCGTCGCAACCTATTCCTGGACATGACGTAGAACATTGCTTGTTACCGCTAGAAGTTATCCCCGACTGTGTGTCAGAACTTTTCCGATCTTACGTGAACGGACAAATCGAGCATATTGGTTCCTCTTGCTGCCATGCCTTCGTGGGTCTAAATGCTGATTGCATCCCTCAGATGTTTGTCGACGATCCTTATTTCCCTCCGGTTCTAATAGATTACTGTTCCCGACAATAATTGTGCCACATTCCTTCCGAGTCTTCTTTGTTTAAACGATCGTTCATTACTTTACATGTTTTAGGTTTTAAATGTGCTAATACCAGCGTCGAAACATTAAATAAAAGATGTGTTACTAGCAATGTTATGTTTCTGTTTGATTAACAACACTATCTTTATTAGTGGACAACTGGACATCAAATATTAACTTCCATGTAAACACTCTGACCGCAGCCGCCCAAAAATTACATGAATCTGTGAAAGAAAACATTCCGATCTTCATTTAAAATTGTTTTATTTTCTGAATTTCTTAAACTCTGTAGTCGAATTTATATAAGAAGTATATAAGAAACTATATGAATTTTAAAGAAACCATATGGATTTAGTTACTTAATGATTTAAGTAGGTGGTTAATATTAGTTTGGCTCCATTCTAAAATTTGTGTATTTGGATATTGGATTAAGCAATTGTGGCTCCAAATATAAAATTTACACATATACTCATAGATTAATAATTTGAAGAAAAAAAATCCTTATAGTAATCAAATTACAAACCATCATTGAATTTGCCTTGGAGTACTATTTGAAAGTCTTGGATCATAAACTCATAATTGTCGTGACTCGTGACTAGTGTGAGGTGTTTAGCGGGTGACTCGAGGAAACTGTGAAAGTGCCATTATCGGAAAAACCCATAAATTAAAATAAGGCAACTACATGGAACATCAACTCAACTGAAAAATAGAATAAAAAACAATAAGCTTTGTCAAAAAAAAAAACCCTCGTAGAAGAGAAGGACTGAAGGAGAAGTAGTTGTGAATTTATCAAGAGCATAGTAACACTAACAATTAAAAAATTTTTGTTAACCTATATATGCGGTCATCCCAAGAGTGCCTACCTTAAATTCAGAAAGAAACCGCTCACAAAATATTGCAATGTAATGAAATCTCACATTTGTTTTCATCCTATAAAAATCCAATCACTGAGTGCTATCAGATTCATATCATAGATTAATTAAAAGAACTCAAAATCATTTCTCTTATCAAAATGTGGACCAACAAGTTGTTCTTCATTCTTACAGTCGTATGCATCGCCGCGTTGGGCACAGCTCAAACATTGCCGTCGCAACCTGTTCCTGGACAGGGCCAAGAAGATTGCTGGTCATCGCTAGAAGCAATCCCCGACTGTTTCCCAGACATTTTCAGATCTTACATAAATGGGGAAATCGGACATGTTGATTCCTCTTGCTGCCATGCCTTTTTGGGCCTAAATTCTGATTGCGTCCCTCAGATGTTTGTCAACGATCCCTTCTTCCCTGTGGCTCTTATAGATCATTGTTCCCAACAATAATCGTGCCACTTTGCTTCCGACTCTTCTTTTACTATTACTCTACATGTTTTAGGTTATCAATGTGCTAAATAAACAATACCAGTGTCGAAAAATAAGATAAAAATGTGATAATATATAGCATTGTTATGTTTCTGCTTAATAACAACTATCGTTATTAGTGGACATGAATATTAACTTCCATGTAAACACTCTGACCATCTTTATTCATATATGCTTCGAATTCGAATACGAAGTTGTACAAACATTTTGCTGGACAAGACAACTAATTAAACTAAACCTAAAATGACAACAAAAAGTTTCTAAAATTTGTTCTAAAGTGATAAAATTAAAAGGACAAGAATGGTTTCCTCGTAAAGCCTCTGTTTACGTGGATGGGTACTATTGTCATTTCGATAAAAATGGGACCCACTTTTGTCTTTGCAAGTGATTGTCCGCCGCACAAAAGTCTCCCCTCCGGTCCACATATAGCATTTGCCGGCGAAAGAGAAAAAAAACTCAGAAAATGGAAGGAGTTCTTTCGCTTCAGCGCTTTCCCTCCTCCGCTATTCAACGGCGGCTCTCTCCATTTAACCTTCATAGACTTACCAGATCATCCTCATGTGCTCCTCTTCGTGCTCAACAGGTTTCCTTTTCTTCTTCCAATTCCACATTTTGTAATGTGTGTACATCTTCTTATTCTATGTAGTTGCGATGTGCGAATTTTCAGTGCGATTCAATTGATTTCAAATTGATGAAATCTTAAACTGAGTCCGTCTATATTCGAGTGGGTATCAGTAGCTTTCAGCTTCAGGAGTGTTCCCGAATTCCGATTATAAAAAAAACAAACTCAGAATCGATGGTAGGTCCTCTGAAATTGATAGTTTATCCTGGAAGGATTTCGTTGCTTGTTGAACATTGCAGACTTGTGCATGTGAGAATCTCTGATGTTTGAAGAAGCTATGCATAAGCATACTTGTGTTGAAAAAACTAAGCAGTTTTTATTTGTTTTTGGTTAGTCTGGAATCACGGAAGGCTCCGATAATGCTTCTTCGGCATTGGAGGGTAAAGTGAGTGATGTCAAGATCACTGAGCCAAAAGTGAATATGTACCAGAATGAAGTAGTTGATAGTCAGGGTATAAAGATAAGGAGAAGACCACCCACCGGACCTCCATTGCATTACGTCGGACCTTTTGAGTTCCGGCTCCAGAACGAGGGAAACACGCCTCGCAACATCTTGGAAGAGATCGTTTGGCACAAGGATAAAGAAGTTTCTCAGGTCACTTCTTTCTCTTCTTTCTGTCATCTTTTTTTTTTTTTTGGCATTGAGCTGCTCTGATTCAAAAGGTGGAAATATTCATTCACAGATGAAGGAGAAAAGGCCTCTATACACTCTGAAGAAGGCTCTTGATAATGTTCCTCCTCCTAAAGACTTCGTTGGTGCGCTTAAATCCGCCCATCAAAGAACTGGTCTGCCTGGTTTAATAGCTGAGGTGAAGAAAGCTTCTCCAAGCAGAGGAATCCTGAGAGAGGATTTTGATCCAGTAAGAATTTACCACCCCCTTTTTTTTTCTCATCCTGTCACCTGAATAAGTTTCAAGGATTGAAAAGAATTACTTCTGAAGGCTTTAAATCTTAGGTTGAAATTGCACAATCTTATGAGAAGGGTGGAGCAGCATGTCTTAGTGTTTTGACTGATGAGAAATACTTCAAGGGAAGCTTTGAGAATCTGCAAGCTATAAGGGAAGCTGGTGTACAGGTTCTTGCTTTCTCCTTCTTCCAGTTTCTCTGTAATCATATGTTCTTTACATGTAAAGTTCTGATGCCTTGTCACAAAAAATGCAGTGCCCTTTGCTATGCAAAGAGTTCATTGTAGAAGCATGGCAGATATACTATGGTAGAAGCAAGGGCGCAGACGCAATCCTCTTGATAGCTTCTGTGTTACCTGACCTTGACATCAAATACATGATCAAGATTTGCAAAATACTTGGAATGGCTACACTTGTGGAGGTTTGTATGTGTTTCCTCAGGAAACCCCCATTCCTAATCCAATTGATGTTTTTTCTCTGATTAGCGTGGTTACCACTTGTCACTAGGTTCATGACGAAAGGGAGATGGACCGTGTTCTTGCAATTGAAGGAGTTGACCTCATTGGCATCAATAATCGTAACCTTGGTAAGAACTTGAACAAGACATCCTTGAAAGCTAGTGTTACAATCTTTCGTGATCCGTTTTACCGCCCTTTTCTTTCAGAAACATTTGAGGTAGATATTGGTATCACAAAGAAGCTCCTGGAAGGAGAGCGCGGCGAACTGATCCGTCAGAAAGACATCCTCGTGAGCAGTGTTTTACATCCCCTGTTTCTCTAAACCCCTTACAGTCTTACCTCACTCAACTTGTTTTTACATGGTAGGTGGTTGGAGAGTCTGGCTTATTCACTCCTGAAGACATTGCGTTTGTACAAGAAGCCGGTGTCAAAGCAGTAAGCTTTCACACAAACTTAATGGTTCAAGATACGTTGCTCTAAATGCTAATGGTTGGTTCATCTGATTTTCTTTTTTTCTGTTGTTAGGTTCTAGTTGGTGAATCTCTTGTTAAGCAAAGCGATCCCGGGAAGGGAATCAGCGCACTTTTTGGAAGAGATATCTCAGAATGAGTTTTGTGCAGAAACTTGTTGTATAGAGAAAAGTATGCCGCTCAAGTGTGCAGAGACTTGTGCCGCTTCAACCATTTTTGCTTTTTTTTCTTTTTCTCATACATATACATTACAGACATGTACTGCTACACGTTTCAATCAATTTTCCAACAGTCATTAACTACGATAAATCGGTGGATAATTTAGAACTGAGGTACCAAGTAAGATTCATAAACCGAGTTCATATAAGTAAATAGACTTAACAACATCAACGATCACTCGTTTATTGAGAGAACTAACATCAAACTTGAAGTGCAATTACTAACTCTTGGAAGTTGGAAGAGAGATAGTACGTCTTTCTAGTTTACCACCCTTCAAACAAGTTCAAGAACAAGAGCAGAAGCACCTCCTCCTCCGTTGCACACTCCTCCCACACCGTACTTGCCGTTTCTCTTCTTTAGTATCCCAAGCAATGTGATTAGAATACGGGCCCCACTGCAGCCTAGAGGATGTCCCAAGGAGACAGCTCCTCCATTTACGTTCACCTTCTCCTGTTAAGGCAAAACGGAATGAAACCAATGTTTATGAAACCATTTTAAGTAAGTTGATAGTTTAAGAGGCTTGATGATGTAAAAGACTGACCGGACTAATCCCAAGTAGCTTTTGATTTGCAAGTGCTACAACCTGTGAAAAAAGTCAGTTCAGCAAGATTTAGCTATCACAAATGTTTGTATGTCTATTCTTTAGAGGAAGAAGGCGGAGTTTGTTACTGCAAAAGCTTCATTGATCTCATAGAAATCAACTTGAGAAGATTCCAAACCAGCATGTGCAATGGCTTTTGGTACTGCAAGAGCAGGAGCAGTAGTGAAAAACTCCGGTTCCTGCAGGGTTTTGGTTTCACTTAGTGAATGAAAAAAGAAAGATATCTAAACTGTTGTGTTTAACAAGGCAAGGCAATATCATAAGTAATTTACCTGAGCGGCATCACCATAACCTTTAACTTTTGCGATAACTTGAAGTCCTAGCTGAAGCGCCTTCTCTCCACTCACTAGGACAAGGGCAGCTGCACCATCACTGTCAAAGGAGAAAACCATTTACTTTATGAAAAAAAAAAAGAGAAGTTGCAAGTCTAACCAAGATCCATGTCAAAGGTTACATAAGTTCTCTAAAAGATGAGAATACATGGTCATCTAGGAAAGGGACCTTATGCTAGACGCATTTCCAGCTGTTACAGTGCCTCCGTTCTCCTTGAAACTCGGACGGAGTTTCCTTAATTTTCCAGCATCAAACTGAGACATCATACCAAATTAAATGTCATTAAAGACAAGTTCAGGTTCACTGGAGAACGTATGTCAGAGCATTAATGCATAATCTATAACCAAAAGGGGCACATAAATCACCTTCCCGAGACCTTCGTCCTTGTCAACAATGGTTGATGGCCTACCTCTTCCTCCAGAAACTTCAACCTGTATGAGTAATTCACCATTACCGTATCCACCATGTATAGCAACACATTAGCCAAAACGATACAAAAGTATACCAACCGGAACAATTTCCCATGTGAAGGCGCCAGCTTCTTGGGCAGCGATACCACGCTCAAAACTCTGAACAGCGTAGTCGTCCTGCATATTCACCAGTAGGAAACCAAATAAACTAGTTGATGTTGTACAAAGTATGTATGCAGCTTCCACCACTAATAAGTTAATGAGAGACAACTACGCAAGAAGCAGAAACAACATACCTGCTGCTCCCTCGTTATGTCAAATTTCTCAGCGCACAATTCTGCACAACTCCCCATCCCACAGTCGTTGTAGACATCCCATAGTCCATCCTTTAGCATTCCATCTACTAAAGAATCATGACCAAATCGAGATCCTTTCCTGCATCAAAATTTTGAATAAGAAACTACCAAATGATATATGCACAAGAGTATAAAGACCAAGTGATTGTGTAATCACATGATTGTACCTTGCTTCTGCAAGATATTTTGGTGTGTTGGACATGCTTTCCATGCCACCCGCCACAACTACATCATTGATCCCCAACTGGATACTCTGAGCAGCAAGCATTACAGCTAAAACCACCAAACAAATCCGGAAATTATTATCTCTCCCTCATCATAAAAGGGTAGAAAGTCTTAAAAAACAGAGCCTAAAAGCTCAAAGTTCTCACCTTTCATGCCTGATGCACAAACTTTGTTGACTGTGGTACAAACAACAGAGTTAGGGATTCCAGCACCTAAAGCAGCCTGACGAGCAGGAGCCTGGCCCAAATTCGCACTAAGAACATTGCCAAAGACAACTTCTTGGACGAGAGCTGGGTCAACATTTGCTCTCTTCAGAGCAGCTGAGTAATGAAAGCAAAGGACACACATCAATTACAAAACTCAAAAGGCTAACACAGAAAGTGATGTGTGTTTTTAAAAAGGAATCTGACCTGCAATAGCTAAGGATCCAAGCTTTGTGGCAGGTAAAGATGAAAGAGATCCGAGAAAGCCACCCATTGGAGTGCGTGCAACACCCACAATGCAAACATCTGTATATCATCAACATTCGTGTATAAACATTCTTCCTGCAAATGTGACATGGATCAGGAAGAGAAGAAGAGTGTGATGAAGAATTTACCTCTGGGATTGACGGAATCTGCTGAATGGGCCATTGGTATTCTACAAAATGGCAGATGTCAATGCAGTAAGAATCAACAAGCGAATCATTGTTTCAGAATTTAGGAAAAGAGGATCGAGCCAGATCCATACAAAGGTTTTTGGTAAAACAATATCTATGATGAAAGCAGAGAGATCCAGGTGATCGCTTACCTGATTCTTCAATCCAGGGAGAGCGAAGAATGGAGGGAGCTTAGAAGTGACTCGTTCTAAAAAAAACAATCAACTCTACAATATAACTGGAACAGAGAAAGAGACTCACAGAGAGAGAGAGAGTCGGTATTAAACAGAACGTTTTTTCTATGGTGAATCAGCGACGATAACTACGATGAGAGCAACACGACGGCTATGTGATTTTAAAATCTTTTTTTTTGTTGTTGTAATAAATATTGTTATTTATCCTTCAAGTCTCAAGTTCTCAACTACCCCCTCTTCTACATCATCCTAAAATATATACTGTAAATCTTATTTGGTGACAGTAAAAAGGAATCTTTTTGAAAATAATTGGCAAATTAACATCAAATTTAAGTTATTTACAAGTGTAAAATTTTGTATGCAACAAACGAAGATATGTGAGAGAAAAACGGTCGATTCATATAAACTATAATCTCTGGTTACAAGAGCAAATATGTATGTGTACATCTTCTTTGGTTGTTTCTTCAAATATAACTGGAACAGAGAAAGAGACTCGGTATAAAACAGAACGTTTTTTATATGGTGAATCAATAACTACGATGAAAGAAACACGATATATGGCTATGTGGTCTCTACTTAAAACATTTAAAACTCTTTTTTTTTCTGGTAATAAATATTGTTATTTATCCTCTCAACTATCCCTTCTTCTACCTCATTTTAAGATCAAACTTGAGTTATTTACAAGTGTAATCTTTGTATAAAACAAAACGAAGATATGTGTAGGAAAACGGTCAATTCATATCAACTAAAAATCTATAATCTCTGGTTACAAGAGCAACTTCGGTTGTTTCTGTGTACATCATCATCTTTGGTTGTTTCTCCAAAAAAGAACGAAATAACACCGTGTACATATTATTCAGCCAAAAAAAGATTATGTACAACTTTTAGAGGTCCCAATGGAACCACAAGGTCATGGGAAAAGATGTCAAATGGATGGGTCTTGGAAAGCGATAGAATGTTGGGTAGGATTGGAATGATATTCCTTTAACACGAATACGATGAGAACATGCTTCTACGGTTATTCCTAAGATTAAGGGATTGTGATCCCACTACATGTGATAGTTAACAGTTAGTTTATTTCCTTATTGTATATTTAAGGACCATTACGTGATAAAGAAGCAGAGTTCATGAACCGGAAGCAAAGATGGGTTTGACAAGATAGAGAGCATATGTGCGTATTGTTAAAGATTTCAATACTATGGAATGGGTTGCTTAAGGAAGAAGTTATTTACAAGACACGATGTATATGTGAGAGAGCTTCTCGGTGAACCTTGAGGACAAGGTTCTTTGGAGGGTGGAGTATTGATGAGAACATGCTTCTACGATTATTCCTAAGATTAATTAAGAGATTGTGATCCCACTACATGTATATATTTAAGACATCATCTCGTTGATGAAAAGGATATAAGAAAACTGAAGTAACTAGTTTTTGTCTTTTGAGAACCAAAGTGTTCTTGTTCTTGTTGTTCTTGATCATCATTTGTTTGCCCTAATTTGGGACCTAACAGAATATGAGCAAAAAATTCATGGGATCATGGGATCATGCAACCTGCAATGGGATTATGGTCACTTCAAGGGATTATGGTCACTTCAAGCAGAAGTGGAGACTGGCAAATGGCAATGCAATATGTGTTAAGGCATAACAAGTTAACAATGGCATTTCAGACATATTATTCTCACATATTATTCTCATGTGATGAAGATGGTGTATAAAGCTAAGAATTGGCTGGCATCCCTAATTCTCGTGGACTAGATTAGAAGATGCAAAATGAAGTTTATTTCATTTTTTATTGTGCATATACCAAAGACGAAAAAAAACGAAAGTAGACAAACTAACATTGAAATCTTCATAGATGTGTAGTATGTTAATTATGTTTTACCAATTTGGAGATCCAAATTATTTTAGAAGGAGAAGTGTTGACAAAAAAAAAAAAAATCAAGCCAACATATATATTTTTATATTTAAGTTTACATTGTATTTTAGTAGATATGGAAAAAAATATGTTAAACATACAAAGACTTCATTTTGAGCGAAAAGTCAAAACTTACAGATTTATAAACATAAATTAAAATTCACATATTAAATTTGAAATTCAGTAACATTTACAAGGATTTGTAAATTTTGTATGCGTTTTCAAATTAACTAAAATACATTACTCAACTAATAACAACTTTTTAGACCCATAACTACTTATTCAAACTTAATCAATAATTGTTTATTGTTCATTATTTGCCGATTAATTAAAAATTAAAATTAAAGGTTTTACATTTTATTTTAATTTTTAAAAGGGATACAAAACCCTATTGCTCGGTCCGTCTCTTCCAAAATCCTGTCTTCAAAGTTCGCAGAGCCGCCGTCAAAACGAAAATTATACTCGGAGAAGCGACTGAAAATGTCTACTGGAGATGAAGGTCACATGGCCGAGAGAGGCACTAAAAAGAGGAGAGTCGGCACAAGTGGTGGAAAGGGGAAGAAGAAGAAGTTGAAGACACAGCCTGCTTCCTCTGACCGGAGCAAGGTTAGCATGAAGAGCAAAAAGCTGTTTCAGAAGAGAGCGCGAGACTACAATTCCGATGAAGACGAAGACGAATCGACGAAGCCAGCACCGGTGTCAATTCGCGAGAAGATATTCTCTGATGCTAACATGGGGCCGAATTACGACGAAATTGAGGAGGAAGAAGGCTCGGACAACGACGAGAATTCCGATGGGGAAGACCACGGAGAGATTCAATCTGGAATCACCAGGTTCGCTACTGATGATGGTTGCAACGCCTTTAGAGTCGCTTTCAAAGCAATCATGAAGAAGACTAAAGGAGAGGATGCTTTGGTGAGCTCACATTCTTATTTTCCCCCTTTGCTAGACAAACTTGAAACCCTAGAAAAACCCTAATCCTAATTTGGGTTTGTGTAACAGGGTCCGGTTTTATCAGCACACAAGCATCTTATTGGGCAGAAGCTAGCTGAAGAGGAAGCTGAACGGAAGGCTAAAGGTCAAGCAAGAAAGGCTAAACATTTGGTATGAATTTTGGTTTTGCATTTCACCATTTTGCTTTTGTGCGGTTATGTCCTGCTTTTGATGATGACTCTCTCTGCAACAATGTTGGTTAAGGTTGCTGAGAAAGGACATGTTAAACCTGCAAGCTATTTAGATTCCCATGAGAAGATTCTTATAGGTGTTGCCACCAAAGGAGGTATGCTTCAGTTAACTCTCTCTTTCATATTGTTTGCTGTATTTATTTTGATACTGACTCAGTTTTCTTCCATGATCTCCTGGAATCACAGTGGTCAAGCTATTTAATGCTGTAAGTTTGTTTCTACTTCTTTTACTCTTATATATCTTCTGGGAGTGATTCTTCTGAATCTAATTCAAAGTTTGTTGTTTCAAACAGGTAAACAAGGCTCAACATGCTCAGAAGGGTTTGAATGCTGCAAGGTCTAAAGACGCTAAAGGTTAGAGGCTTATATATTTGATCTTTAGCATGAATCTTTTTGTATCCTGTCTTATATCTGCCTTCTAATTCTTGTTTTTTGTTCTATGTGAACGTACATCAGAGTTGAAAAAGCGAAGAAAAGACGCATTCTTCACAGAGTTGGGGAAAACACCGAAAGCAGACACCAAGGTTTGGCATAGTTTTTACTCTCTTCCTGAAATATACTTTATCTTGACAATCTTGAGTACTTATAAACGTATAAGCAAGTTAGTATTCTGACTTGATCTGGCTCCTGTAGAGAAAGTAACAGAACGAATCACCTCCATTAGTTATAGCTGTTAGTTCCTTAATCATACGTAGATTTACAAGTGAGATTCTGTCGGGTGGTGCAGGCTCAAAAATCATCAAGTTCCCAAGGAGATGAAGCTCCTGCTTGGGCTCCTCTACGTGATAATTACATGTTAGCAAACCAAAAGCTGAAGGACTGGGACAAAAAACAGGTATCCTTCATTATATATAAGGGAATCTCTATATATAATCCCCTGATTTGGAACATCGTGGCTTGTATACCAATATAAAATCTTTGCCTAAAACTTGAAGTTAAATTGTCTGCAGGAAACAAGCGAGGGAGATGATTTTGCCGATATGTCAGGAGATGAAAGTTATGAAGATTGAGTATTTGAACCAGTAGTTACACTCAAACTTAAATTTTGTATTTGTATTATTCAGCTTTTGTCTGATCAAATATGAATGAATTCAGCTTTTTTTGATAATTCAGAAGGAACATGAAAGAAAGATAATGTAATATCAAAATATAAAAAAAAGGTTAGGTTTGGCTTTTGAGAAAATACACTTTCTAGTATCCTTATCCTAAACAGAAGAATATATAGAACTTGGCCTCTCTGTCTCTGGTCTGTACATTGTTGTGGTACTCTAGTCTTCTGCATAATTGATAAGTTATGCTAACAAATAAGAAAAACACACTCGGATTTACATAAAAACATCAACAAATATACATTCGTGGTCTAGACTTGGCTACAACAGAACAAAATTTGAAGGATCATCCTCCTCAATCTGTAGAATAGGTCACGCAGAAGCAGTCAAATGACAGAAGAAGATAACACAACTTTATGCGAAAAGAGGCAGAAGCATGAGCCGGGAATGAAGCTTTTGAGGACGAAAACTGGTGTTCCTAAAACTGCCCATTAGTTACATCTCTTTTGTCTGGTATCTCCACTTGGTGGTTCTTCATTGTTTTGGGTTTGTTGGCATCCTCAGTAGCTTCTTGCTGGGCTCAGTGGGTCGTAATCATAAGCTTCACCTGACTTGACGAACCGTCCTTTCACACGCCGTCTTACATCAGCTCTTTCTTTCCTAGAGACATACCTCACTCGCTTGTCAAACCTATTTATACAAAATATGTACCAACGTTAGCAATAATAACCTTCACTGTTGCTGATGAATGAAACTCCATTTCCAGGTGGTTTATATACTTACTTGCGAGCCTTCTTCTTTTCCTTGTAACGCATAACAGCGTTGTTACGCGTTGTTGCGTGTGAGGAAGCATTAATCTCCTGTGTTGTTGGAGGGCACCACGGTAATGGCTCTCTTGAAAGCTGCTGCAACGTTGACGCCCCACAATCTTGGAAATCTCCAGCAGTACTTTCTCCTGTGACGCCAGAGAAGGAGATATTCGAATGAGCTGGCTTTGACGAGTAGCAAATTATCGGCTCTGTTCTACAACTCATGAACGAATCTACAGATGCCCCATTGCTTTCAGCTGGCTGCTGCGCTGCGTTTCCTTGGATTGAGCCCTGAATTGAGAAATACACAGAGAGAGAGAGCATAAGAATCACATAACAAAATCATCCTTCAGTTTCTTGATACTACTCTGGTAGAAGAAGAATGTTGAAAGAACCTCATGTTTGTCGAAAAGACTTTCGATTCCACCATGTTCGAAGAGATCTTTTGAAGAGTTGAAGGCTGTCCCAAAGAGCTCATCGTATTTCTCAAAAGCCAAGTCCACATCTTCCATAGCGAGATTGCCACGAAAGTCATCCTCGCATACTCCAAGATCCTGCAAAACCAATTCAACAATAAGAAACATTTTAAATGCTTTTTCATGCTGCTTTCAAGATTCCACCACAACATGAAGAAAAAACCATGTAAAAATTACCTTAGCAGATGATGAGTTTTCTGGAACACTAGAGCGATCCATACCTTGTGCAGCAGCAGAACTTGTTCCAGGCTCATCTACTACATTGACATCTCCAACACCTGATTTCTCTCCTCCTCCTCCACCTTCATCTATAGTCATCAAACCCATCCCTTTCTCACAAGCAGATTCTCCAGCAGAAGAGAGATTCAAATCCAAACAAAAAGACCATATCGATGCAAGCTCGTCACTCGAAGGACAACCAGAATAACAGTTGATGGTTTGCCTTTTATGCTGTGAAGTAGCTCCGTTGTGGCCTGACCAATCACAGTTTTGGCAGAGAGAAACCCTCTCATCGCTACACCGAACAGACGCTGGCTGTGCATTGCACCTCTCACATATCAAATTCCGGGAATGGCGTTTGGATAAAGCATTAGCAGAATGAACATTACGGTCACAGGAGAGGCACAAACACGCTGCATCAGACCGGCAATACACCATTGACCTTTGTTCACCACAGAAGTCACACATATAACCCATTTTCTCAACTCAACCAATACTGATGCTTGGCTATCAACTGTCACACTGGAGAAAGCAAGCTCCTTTTCACTGACCATAAAATCAGAACCTTTCTGTTAGTCCTTATATCATAATCATGGGAGAAAAGCAGGAAACTTTATTAAAAGCAGGTCCAGAAGTAGAAGAAAGATTCAACCTTTTGAACATTTCATTATTAAAGCTTGCAAATTTCTATAAACAAAAAGCAAACGAACTATGTATGAGACTGCTAGAAAGCAAAAGAAACTAAACGAGAGAACAGAGCAACCAATCAAATCACTGAAAAGACCAGCTCAAGCTTCAAATTTCAGATCAGTGAACTCGAAATTGGGAATAATCAGGTATTCTAATTACAAAAATCCTCAATCTTCCAAAGAGAAAACAATTTTAATTAAAAAGACCCATAAAACAGATAGATCTATTTCGAGATCAGCTAAAAGAATGGAGAATTTAAAGCAACCATCACTCAATTAAGAAGTCAAAGCTTTTAAAAGTAAAGGAACTCACGTATGATATAGATCGTCGAGTATCTTCTGAAGCAGAAACAATAATGTTTCCAAAACGAAGAAGAGAAGAGAAGGGATTTGTGTTCTTCGTGTGAAGAAAAAAAAAAGGGTAAAGAGAGATGGATGGATGGATAGACAATGGGTGGGTTGTCCTCAAAGGGACATGTAGGCATGTGACATAAGCTGATAAAAAATTGGGGGAAAAAGTGCAAAAAGTCTTATTTTACGAGGACCCCACAGATATTTCAGAAATGTTACGCCCACGCGCCGGCGTGTAAAGAAAGAGTCGTACTCGCGGTGTGATACGTACACGTGAAACTTTCGGTGATGATTGACGATTATGGATTCTCAAAACGTACCACTTTGAGATACTTAACGCCCTATCACAAGATAGTCTGTGCCTTGACCTTAACAAAACCAAAATATCTCTCTTTTATTTTATTTGTTTTTTCACACAGTCACACATACACATGAACAAATATCTTTTTTGCCTAAAAGAGGAGATATTTTAGGGGGAAAGAAGAGTAAGAAAGAACAAAAGTAATACAATAATATATCTGGCAAGTTAGATACGTCTGCACAAAAAGATATTTTATGTGTCTGCAACACTGACACGTAGTCGGTGTCCACTTTATAAAATAATGATACTCTGAGAAGACTCTTCTCTTTTTTCCTTTTTACCAACTTACCAACACAAATAATTGCGACTGAGTGTAGACTGTACTCATTTTCATTTCTGAACATAAAGTTTTATATTCCTAATTTTAACTAAAACTTTCAATTTTTGGATTAATTTAACAAACAGACAATAACATCATTAACAAAACTGTTCATTATTCTTTAAGATAATAACATTTAATTATTTTTTAAAAATCAACAATGACAGTGTGGTATGATTACTGGTCATATATAAAAGCAACAAGACCAATAGGAAAACTCTGTTAGCATTGCATTACAAATCTGTGGAAGAAAATAATAAGGAAACGTGACAAAACATTGGAAAAATAGACAGTACACATTAACTCCATGACCAATAGGAAACAAGTTGTTACCATTGCACATTTGCACTAAGAATGCTTACCTATAGATTTGATGGTCCTAATTCATAAAACTCATAAAGCCATTGGTTAGTTGGTAATTTGGTTTCTACTAGCCTTGATAACTGATTACAGTTCAATCCAAATCACCTGTTTATCTTTGTGGTTTCTTCTGGTGATTGCTACTACATTAACATTTTAATGACAAAGCACCTGAATTTCTACAGACCTCAGTAACTAATCTAGATTTGAATCCGGTTATTATAAAACTTAATTATCAAAAGAGATTCAATTTAAAAGGACTAAGAATTGCTATGGTATTTATTTATATTATTTTTCACTCGATTTTCCAAGCATAAAGAAACAAACAAAAGTCATGCAAAGGTCCATAACCACTTGACGCCGAATTATACCGACTCAAAGGACTACTCCCTCCTCCACTGTCTCCTTCCTCCGCATCGCTAAAGCTCTCATCTACCATCGCTCCAACCGGAACAGGCTTAAACACAAACAACCCCGAGCTCGCCGTCTGGTCCGAACTCCCAAACAACCAATCATGCACATCGTAGTACACCATTACCGGAGTCCTATCAACAACAACCATCTGATTCCCCCTAAATTTCCACTGCAGATTCTTCACGTTAACAACCACGATCCCGTCCACGCTTATCCACATCTCCGGATCTTTGTCCTCCGTCGTCATTCCACCACCGTTTGAGCTCTCCACCACCACTTCATGTTCCTTTTTCTGCTCGTCGAATCTTGCTCTTGTCGAAAACGTCTTCTTCCCAAAAATACTCTCTTTCTTGAAATATATAAACCCTTCCACCAACGCTGGTCTTGACTTTGTCCGTTTGTAAGCTTTCTGCTTTAAATCTCCCAACAATAAAACAACCTCTTCGTCGGAAACTACTGCCACGTAATAGTCTGACACCGGCTCCGGACTTCCGTTTCCGGGAAGTTTCGCCGCCCGGAGATCCCAGAAGACTTCCACAAAGTTTCCTTCGACGTCGAATGACTTTGACCCTCTTTTGCTCCAGAACTGCCACGGCTTCACGAGATCGATCTTGCAGCAATAGTTCATGTCGTTGTCTAAACTCGAGACCATGACGGTCAGGGCATGATTCATGAGATTCTTGGACCATAAAACGGTGACGTTTCGGAAGAAGCCTGCCACGTGAGCTTGGTAACCGCACGTGACCGTGCTATGAGGTGATGGCGTCGCAGCGGACTTGAGTTGTGCCACGGTCTTTGTGCCGTCTGTTATTTTAGCTGCAAATGCCGTGGGATTGCTTCCCATCGAAGGGATTCGAAAAGATAACATCTTTGTTAGAATCAGAAACCTAATTTCCTATAAAAAAAAGAAATGACAAAGATTTTCCTCAACGATAGCAAAATTCTCCAGCATGCATGCATGCAACTGCATAAGAATTTCGCCAAAATGGCGATCTTTTTCTACTGGACAAAAGGCTTAGGCGAGATCGTTAATGCTTTTTCAATATGGTTTATCAAATTGTCAAAAGATTCAGGTGAAAATCGGTAGATTTTTTTGAGTTTTGGCAAGAGGAAGAACAGAAGAGAGAGGGAGAGAGGGAGGAAGAAACATTGAGATGTTATTTGATGGAACACCGATAAAGAAGGCATAGTCTATATTTGACATCTTAATACTGGCAAAGTTGATAAAAATGGCATTGTGAAGTTAAAAAAACGTGTTGTAACTTGTAAACATACCATGTGCAACCAATAAATGATTTTTCTTTATTTAGCTCCTGAAACCTCCACGGTTTCAGCATCACTCTCTTACATTTCTCGTTTTAACCAAACCTTGGTTTGGAAATGTAAATGCAAGGGTGAGGCACATCAATCAGAAAATAGTTCATAAGAGCATGTCCAATATTAGAGAAATATAATAACAGTATTTAGAGTATAATTTATTTCCATATGAAGACTTGAGAAGTATTGATCTAGAGACTAGAATGGTTTTCCTCATCTCCCTTAGTACAGAAAAGAAGTGTTGACAATCTAATTCTCCACGAGAATTATCGTATCATACCAGATGGGATTCAAACTAAGACCTCGTGCTAAATCTTTCCGAGAAGAAAGTTTGGGCCGAGGCTTTAGTTTGGGCTGCATTTGGTGCGATTAAATACTTCTCGTGGGAAATATATGGTGAGCCCAATATAAAATCGAAACGGAGTCGTTTTTCTTTGTTTCTAGAATGGTTTTCCTCATCCCCCATATATAAATTTAATGAACCCTAAATCTTTTATTTTATCTATCTACACTCAGCAGTCATTTCTCCTCCCCACAAATAAAGAAGAGTAATATCTTCTCCAACGTTGGTTTATTCGTCATAGTCTTTCAGTTACCACAGGTACGTTTTTGTATTAAGCTCCTCTCATCACTGTGTAATTGTGTTTAGGTTGATCTTGTGGGTTCTAGATTAGTTCTGCAAGAACGTCACCTTTATATCTTAGCTATGCTTTCAAATGCTTCATTTTTATACCGTCTTCTTCAAGTAAGTGATTTTCTTCACTTTCACTACTGATCCAAATGTTTTGTGCATTACTAGTTTGTGAAGAAACATAAATCTGAAAGTGAGATTTGTTCTTGGTTTGCTCATCTTCGATATTGGATAAACAATTGTAAAATTTTATTTCAGATTTGGAGTGGACTAAGTCCCTAGAGAGCTACTTCAAGTGATCTCCAAGAACGATGTTGTCCATGCTCGCTCTGTTTGCCACCCCTGGCGCTCCAAAATGCCCTTCCCAGAGAGCTACTCCGATGGTGATTCCAGTCCCAGACTGGACTACGCTCCCTGGAGAGCTACTTCAAGTGATCTCCGAGAAACTGGACAACTGTTTCGATGTTGTCCATTCTCGCTCTGTTTGCCACCCTTGGCGATCCACAATGCCCTTCCCAGCTTGCCTGTTACGCCCGAGCTACTCTCTTCCCTCGTTCGCCGAGTTCCCTAGCGAAAGCAAAGGCATGTCCACACTCACGAAGATCCCTTTGTTCCTAGTCACAGCCAAAGCTCATCCTCCTGCTGATTTTGTATCACCTTGTGAGTTTGTTATGGGAGGAGTACGCGGAGATGAGCCAGAGGAGGATCTTATGGAGCTGCTTCCATCTCCTCTTCAATGTTCAGTGAAGACCCCAAGATACGATCCTCGAACCATGATGCAAATGGGACTGAACATCCCAAGATATTATCATCCATTCTTGCTGAACATGCTCGACTGCCATGTCTTCCCTCTCGGCCATCACTACAGATGGGGTCCTGAAGATATGAAGACAGATAGAGGCCTGGCTTTTCTTCCGCTTAACAAGGACGGAAGAAGAGGAGGAGGAGGAGGATTCGCGGTGCTTATCAACTACATGGAAACTCTGCTGGTGCTAAGAAGTGATGAAATGAAGTGGATGCAGGTTAAGCAATCCTCAGATAATGAATGCAGGAATGTAGCCAGTTTCAGAGGGAGGTTTTACGCATCTTTTGAAAACGGGGACATATCTGTGTTGGATCCTTATTCGCTGACATGGACTCCCCAAATGCCCTCTCAGCTTCTTGATCTTGGCAAGTTTCTGGTTACGTGTGGTGATGATGAAGAACTCTTCCTGGTTGAGAAATTTCACCCAAATTACGATGAGGCTTTTGATTTACATTTTCTCAGCTTCACATGCAAAGTGAGTAGGCTAGACGAGAAGGCTGGCAAATGGGTCGACCTCGCCGGTGACTTAGGAGGCCGTGTCTTGTTTATAGGACACTATGGAAATGTCTGCTTCTCTGGGGAAGAGCTTCCTGATGGTTGTGGTTTGAGTGGGAACTCGATCGTGTTCACCAATGAGCTATTAACCGGTGTAACTTTCGTTTATAAGTATGGAGTGGATACAGGAGATGCAGAAGACGACCCCAATTGTTGGAGATTCTCAATGGAGTATCGTGTGAAGCTCTTCAGGCAAACTCCAGTGTTGACTCTCCAGGTCTTCAAGCATCCTACTACTTCGGCAGACATGCGGCGCTAGTCTGTTGGTTTTGTTTTTATTTCATCTCTTTCAGATTTTTCATGTGATGTTTTGGTGTTTTGGTGATTGTTACTCTGAAAACCCTTGGTATTCTATTTGATATTCTGTTAAAAACATTTTTTTTTTTGGGGACAAATTCTGTTTAAGACAAATCCAAACTTATTTATGGCGTAGTTTTTTTTGTTTTTACTGATTTATGGCGTATATGGAAATTTGAATTGAAGTCATAATTGTGGTAACAACAAGGTTTCGTGGTGTAGTTGGTTATCACGTCAGTCTAACACAATGAAGGTCTCCGGTTCGAACCCGGGCGAAGCCATTTATTTGCTAATATTTGTTTTCAGATTTTACCACAAAAAGAAAAGTCATTGTGATGTGTAAATTTGCGAGAAACTTCTCCCGCGCTCTCTATTTGCGACTATATCACATGGAGACAATTTAAATTTGGTCATTTGTCATGACATATTTTAGAAACAAAAATTTGGAAAACTTAAGAAATCGGAAACTTGGTTTCATTTTTTTTTTAAACTACAGCCTAAAAAGGTACAAATTCGTACAAAATTAGTTCCTACAATCGTTAACCTACAGTCCTACCCCGTCGGATCAGATTGTCTGTTTATAAAATTAAAATCCATGATAGCGTTGTCGCTTTTGTGTTCCTTCGTCCACAATTTAACAAAAGAATTGTGAATAACCTTTTACAATATGCAATTAGCTCTAAAGAAACAAAAAGAAAGAAGAGCTTTGGTTTTATATGCTTTTGTTAATAACGAATTGAAAACGAAATCTTAACAATCTAAAACAACTCATTAATCAGAAGAAAAGACACCATAGAACCACATTTCTTCACACTTGTATTCTAACAGACCGAGAAATCCAAGGCAAACATTCAAAGCTGTTTCTCAAGCAAACAACAAGATGAAGGCAAGTATAGGTGTATGTATGTGTTTATATGGCTTCTTTGATTGACGTTATAGATTTTATCATTTTCAAATGCAGCAAAAGATCTTGATAAGGGTGACTATGACCGACGACAAAACACGAGCAAAAGCAATGAACAAAGCCGTTCAGTTTACAGGTACGACGAAGACTTTCCCTCACAAAAATATATAAATCTATATTGGAACCAACGCTTTATGCGATGGTTTATAGGTGTGTCAGCCGTTGAAATAAAAGGCGATCAGAGGAACCAGATTGAGGTAACCGGTACCGAAGTTGACATGATCGGCCTCACCAAAAAACTTAGGAGGAAAGCAGCGTTTGCATAGTCTATATTTGACATGTTAATTAATACTGGCAAAAAGTTGATAAAAATGGCTTTGTGAAGTTCAAAAAACGTGTTGTAACTTGTAAACATACCATATGCAACCAGCAACCAATAAATGGTTTTCCTTTATTAGCTCCTCAAACCTCCACGATTTCAGCATCACTCTCTTACATCTCTCGTTTTGACCAAACCTTGGTTTGGAAATGTAAATGCAAGAGTGAGGCATAAATCAGAAAAGAGTTGTGTGCATAAGAGCATCTCCAATGTTAGAGAAAGATAATAATAAGTATAATTTATTTCCATATGAAAACTTTAGAAATATCTATCTTTATCTAGAATAGTTTTCCTCATCTCCCTTAGTATAAAAGAGAATGGTTGACGATCTATTTCCCACAAGAATTATCATATCAGATAGAGCTCAAACTAAGACCTCGTGCTAAATCTTTCCGAGAAAAAAGTTCCAAAACCTATATCTCACAGAATTGAAAATTTGGGCAAAGGCTTTAGTTTGGGCTATATCTAGTGCGATTAAATAGTTCTCATCAACCCAATATATAATCAAAACGGAGTCGTTTCTTTGTTTCTAGAAGGTTTTCCTCATCATCCCCCATATATAAATTTAATGAACCCTAAATATTTTATTTTATCTATCTACACTCGGCAGTCATTTCTCCTCCCCACAAATAAAGAAGAGTAATATCTTCTCCGACAACTTGTCCAACGTTGGTTTCTTCGTCATAGTCTTTCAGTTACGACAGGTACGTTATTGTATTGAGATCCTCTCATCACTGTGTAATTGTGTTTAGGTTGATCTTGTGGGTTCTAGATTAGTTCTGCAAGAACGTCACCTTTATATCTTAGGCTCTTAGCTATGCTTTCAAATGCTTCATTTTTATTCCGTCTTCTTCAAGTAAGTGATTTTCTTCACTTTCACTACTGATCCAAATGTTTTGTACATTACTAGTTTGTGAAGAAACCAAAATCTGAAAGTGAGATTTGTTCTTGGTTTGCTCATCTTCGATATTGGGGATAAACAATTGTAATTAATTTATTTCAGATTTGGAGTGGACTAAGCTCCCTAGAGAGCTACTTCAAGTGATCTCCGAGAAACTTGAGAACAGTTACAATGTTGTCGTCCATGGTCGTTCTGCTTACCACCCTTTGCGATCCTCAACGCCCTCCCCAGAGAGCTACTTCGATGGTGATGCCAGTCCCAGACTGGACTAAGCTCCCTGGAGAGCTACTTCAAGTGATCTCCGAGAAACTGGACAACTGTTTCGATGTTGTCCATGCTCGCTCTGTTTGCCACCCTTGGCGATCCACAATGCCCTTCCCAGCTTGCCTGTTACGCCCGAGTTACTCTCTTCCCTCGTTCGCCAAGTTTCCTAGCGAAAGCAAAGGCTTGTCCACACTCACGAAGATCCCTTTGTTCTTAGTCACAGCCAAAGCTCATCCTCCAGCTGATTTTGTATCACCTTGTGAGTTTGTTATGGGAGGATTACGCCGAGATGAGTCAGAGGAGGATGATATGGAGCTGCTTCCATCTCCTCTTCAATGTTCTGTGAAGACCCCAAGATATGATCGTCCATTCTTGATGAACATGCTCGACTGCCATGTCTTCCCTCTGGGCCATCACTACAGATGGGGTCCTGAAGATATGAGGACAGATTGCACAGGCGTGGCTTTTCTTCCGCTCAACAAGGACAAAAGAAGAGGAGGAGGAGGAGGAGGATTCGCAGTGCTTCTCAAGTACAAGAACATTCTGTTGGTGATAAGAAGTGATGAAATGAGGTGGATGCAGGTTAAGCAACCCTCAGATACTCAATGCCATAATGTAGCCAGTTTCAAAGGCAGATTCTACACATCTTTTTATAACGGGGACGTATATGTTTTGGATCCTTATTCACTGACATGGACTCCCCAAATGCCCTCTCAGCTTCTGGATCTTCTGGATCTTGGCAAGTTTCTGGTTCCGTTTGGTGATGATGAAGAACTCTTCCTGGTTGAGAAATTTCACCCAAAGTGCGATGATTTTGATTTAGATTTTGGTTTTCTCAGCTTCACATGCAAAGTGAGTAGGCTAGATGAGGAGGCTGGCAAATGGGTCGAGCTCGCCGGTGATTTAGGAGGCCGTGTCTTGTTTATAGGACACTTTGGAAATGTCTGCTTCTCTGGTGAAGAGCTTCCTGATGGTTGTGGTTTGAGTGGGAACTCGATCGTGTTCACCAATGAGATAATCGGTGTAATGTTTGTTTATAAATATGGAGTGGATACAGGAGATGCAGAAGACGACCCCAACTGTTGGAGATTCTCAATGGACTATCGTCAGTATCGTGTGAAGATCTTCAGGTAAGATCTTCAAGCATCCTTTGGCAGGCATGCACATGCACTAGTCTGTTGGTTTTGTTTTTATTTGATCTCTTTCGGATTTTTCATGTGATGTTATGGTGGTTATTACTCTGAAAACTAGAGATCCTTGGTGTTCTGTTTGATATTCTGTTTAAAACAAATCAAAACTTATTGTTTTTTGTTTTTACTGATTTATAACGTATGTTGAAAACTTTGAACTGAAGTCATAATTGTGATATCAATAAGGTTTCGTGGTGTAGTTGGTTATCACGTCAGTCTAACACACTGAAGGTCTCCGGTTCGAACCCGGGCGAGACATTTATTTACTCATAATTTTATCTCATTTTACGTAAAAAAAAGTCATAACTGTGAGTCCGTGACGTGTGAATTTGCGAGAAACTTTTCCCGTACCCTTATTTATTTGCGACGATGTTATGGTGACAGTTTAAATTAGGTAATTTGTCATGACTCATGACATATTTTAGAAACAAAAATTTGGAAAACTTAAGAAATCGGAAACTTGGTTTCAAGGTTGAGAGCTTACGCAATCCTAGTCAATTACCCCAACAATTGCTTACTATATCATATTTTCTGTCGTTTCTCATTTATTTTATTATGAATATAGAGCGAAGTTGGACTTCCAAGTTCTACGCAACAACTAGCAAACCCCACAATTTTGTCTACACTTACTCAAACAGATAATGTTTTCTCATATATCTTCACAGAAGATTATTAATTCTGTTTCTTTCTTTCTTTCTTTCATGAGACACCTTTCTCATATGTTTTATCTATTTATTAGTCGTTATAGACTTATTATAGTTCAGGAAAACAAAATAAAACATTGGAGAAAACACATGGACATAGGGATTCTCTAACGTTTTTACAGCATTTCTAAAGTATGTTTTACCAACATGTCATAAAACCTGTAGATATATACTACAAATGTATAGGATCGACAATATTTTTTTTCCAGAGTAATCACTATAAATCTGTAGATGCTAATGCTATAAGCTTTTCTCTATAGTCAAAATGTTTTTTAAACTACAACCTAAAAAGGTAAAAAATTCAACAAATTAGTTCTTACAACCGTTAATCGTCTATAGGTCACAAACTTCAATCCTAACCAGTCGGATAAAATTGTCTGTTTATAATATTGAAATCCATTACAACGCCGTCGTTTTTGTGTTCCTTCGTCCACAATTTAACAAAAGAATTGTGAATAACGTTTTACAATATGCAATTAGCTCTAAAGAAACAAAAAGAAAGAAGAGCTTTGGTTTTATATGCTTTTGTTAATAACGAATTGAAAACGAAGTCTTAACAATATAAAACAACTCATTAATCAGAAGAAAAGACACATTTCTTCAGACTTGTATTCTACACCAGACCGAGAAATCCAAGGCAAACATTCAAAGCTGTTACTCAAGCAAACAGCAAGATAAAGGCAGGTATAGGTGTATGTATGTGTTCATATGGCTTCTTTGATTGACGTTATAAGATTTTATCATTTTCAAATGCAGCAAAAGATCTTGATAAGAGTGACTATGACCGATGACAAAACCCGAGCAAAAGCAATGAACAAAGCCGTTCAGTTTACAGGTAAGAAGAGTTTCCCTCACAAAAAGATACAAATCTATATTGGAACCAACGCATTATGCGATGGTTTATAGGTATGTCAGCCGTTGAAATAAAAGGCGATCACAGGAACCAGATAGAGGTAACCGGTACCGAAGTTGACATGATCGGCCTCACCAAAAAACTTAGGAGGAAAGTAGCGTTTGCATAGTCTATATTTGACATCTTAACACTGGCAAAGTTGATAAAAATGGCTTTGTGAAGTTCAAAAACCGTGTTGTAACTTGTAAACATACCATGCAACCAATAAATGATTTTCCTTAATTAGCTCCTCAAACCTCCACGATTTCAGCATCACTCTCTTACATCTCTCGTTTTGACCAAACCTTGGTTTGGAAATGTAAATGCAAGGGCGAGGCATAAATCAGAAAAGAGTTGTGCATAAGAGCATCTCCAATGTTAGAGAAAGATAATAATATCATCTAAAGTATAATTTATTTCCATATGAAAACTTTAGAAATATCTGTCTTTATCTAGAATAGTTTTCCACATCTCCCTTAGTATAAAAGAGAACGGTTGACGATCTATTTCCCACGAGAATTATCATACCAGATAGAGCTCAAACTAAGACCTTGTGCTAAATCTTTCCGAGAAAAAAGTTCCAAAACCTTTTCTCACAGAACTGAAAAATTTGGGCCGAGGCTTTAGTTTGGGCTACATCTAATGCGATTAAATACTTCTCGTCAACCCAATATAAAATCGAAACGGAGTCGTTTCTTTGTTTCTAGAATGGTTTTCCTCATCCCCCCATATATAAATTTAATGAACCCTAAATCTTTTATTTTATCTATCTACACTGAGCAGTCATTTGTCCTCCCCACAAATAAAGAAGAGTAATATCTTCTCCGACAACATGTCCAACGTTGGTTTCTTCGTCATAGTCTTTCAGTTACGACAGGTACGTTTTTGTATTGAGCTCCTCTCATCACTGTGTAATTGTGTTTAGGTTGATCTTGTGGGTTCTAGACAGATTAGTTCTGCAAGAACGTCACCTTTATATCTTAGCTATGCTTTCAAATGCTTCATTTTTATTCCGTCTTCTTCAAGCTAAGTAAGTGTTTCTCTTCACTTTCACTACTGATCCAAATGTTTTGTGCATTACTAGTTTGTGAAGAAACCAAAATCTGAAAGTGAGATTTGTTCTTGGTTCTCTCTTCTTCGATATTGGATAAACAATTGGAGTGGACTAAGTCCCTAGAGAGCTACTTCAAGTGATCTCCGAGAAAGATGTTGTCCATGCTTACTCTGTTTGCCACCCCTGGCGCTCCAAAACGCCCTTCCCAGATAGCTACTCCGATGGTGATGCCAGTCCCAGACTGGACTAAGCTCCCTGGAGAGCTAATTCAAGTGATCTCCGAGAAACTGGACAACTGTTTCGACGTTGTCCATGCTCGATCTGTTTGCCACCCTTGGCGATCCACAATGCCCTTCCCAGCTTGCCTGTTACGCCCGAGTTACTCTCTTCCCTCGTTCGCCGAGTTCCCTAGCGAAAGCAAAGGCTTGTCCACACTCACGAAGATCCCTTTGTTCCTAGTCACAGCCCGAGCAGCTCCTCCTGCTGATTTTCTATCACCTTGTGAGTTTGTTATGGGAGGAGTACGCGGAGATGAGTCAGAGGAGGATCAAATGGAGCTGCTTCCATCTCCTCTTCAATGTTCAGTGAAGACCCCAATATATGATGATCGAACCTTGATGATCATGCGACTGAACATCCCAAGATATGATCGTCCAATCTTGATGAACATGCTCGACTGCCATGTCTTCCCTCTGGGCCATCACTACAGATGGGGTCCTGAAGATATGAAGACAGATTGCACAGGCGTGGCTTTCCTTCCGCTAAACAAGGACGGAAGAGGAGGAGGAGGGGGATTCGCGGTGCTTCTCAACTACAAGGAAACTCTGTTGGTGCTAACAAGTGATGAAATGAGGTGGAAGCAGGTTAAGCAACCCTCAGATACTCAATGCAAGAATGTAGCCAGTTTCAAAGGCAGATTCTACGCATCTTTTGAAAACGGAGACGTATTTGTTTTGGGTCCTTATTCGCTGACATGGACTCCCCAAATGCCCTCTCAGCTGCTGGATCTTCTGGATCATGGCAAGTTTTTGGTTCCGTTTGGTGATGATGAAGAACTCTTCCTGGTTGAGAAATTTCACCCAAATTACGATGCTTATGATTTAGATTTTCTCAGCTACACATGCAAAGTGAGTAGGCTAGATGAGGAGGCTGGCAAATGGGTCGAGATCGCCGGTGATTTAGGAGGCCGTGTCTTGTTTATAGGACACTTTGGGAATGTCTGCTTCTCTGGTGAAGAGCTTCCTGATGATTGTGGTTTGAGTGGGGACTCGATCGTGTTCACCAATGAGATAAGCGGTGTAACTTTTGTTTATAAATATGGAGTGGATACAGGAGATGAAGAAGACGACCCCAACTGTTGGAGATTCTCAATGGAGTATCGTGTGAAGCTCTTCAGGAAAACTCCGGTGTTGAATCTCCAGGTCTTCAAGCATCCTTTGGCAGGCATGCACATGCACTAGTCTGTTGGTTTTGTTTTTATTTGATCTCTTTCAGTTTTTTCATGTGATGTTATGGTTATTATTACTCTGAAAACTAAGATCCTTGGTGTTCTGTTTGATATTCTCTGTTTAGAACAAATCAAAACTAATTTGTGGCATAGTTTTTTTTTGTTTTAGGGTCTGACTGGTTTAAAAGCTGCGGTTGCGGAAGTTTGCGGTTGCGAGAGTTTGCTGAAGCGGGAGTTTGCGATTAAAAACGTAATTAACCTGTTTGTACGACTGCTATAGCAATTCATAGAGGTTGCGTTTGCGAGATATTTTTGATTGGTTGGCTAGCGGATGCAAAAACGTTTGAACTAAAAATTACTAAAATAAACATAATATGTAATTAGGGTTCTTTGAAAAAGAGAACAATCATATTTATGTTTAAATATTTGAATAATACCCTAATTTTTTTCCTGTTTTGAAAAAAGCATTTTTTTGTATGTAAAAAGACTGTTTTAAGGTGATGATTGGTTCTCCCGCTACCACCCGCAAACGCAGCGTTTGCGGTTCGTAGCGGTTCTTAGCGTTTTATAACAATCACGACAACCGCTTTCAACCGCTCTATACCACTCTGTACCGCTCTATATCGCTGAAAATCAAAAGCTCCTTTCCGCAAGCGTTTGCGGTTGCGGGCGGTTGCGGTTTGAAAAAAAAAAAAAAAAAACATAATATCTCCAAATTTGGAATAAGGGTATATTTTTTTGAAAAATACCATAATTATGTTTAAAAATTTCGAAAATACCCTAAATTTTTTCTGTTTTGAAAAATACACTTTTAAAATGTAAAAAGTATGTTTTGACGTGATTTAAACAAAAAAATAATAAATAATTACAAATTATAAACGAAAATTTAAAAAAATAATAAACTAATAAGTTTTTTTTCAAATAAATATAGTATATGTTAAACTGAAACAAATTTTAATATTTTGGATCTTTATATAAACAACTTAACCTCATACACATTCAAACCAAATGAAACTTTAAATAAATTAAAACTTTACATATATTTAAAGTTTATAAATTATTAAAAATTTAAAAGTGGAGAAATATATCTTTCATTTTTAATGTTTATCTTTTGAAAAATTTAAATATTTTTGAAACTTTGCATAAACAACTTTAATCTCACCCCATTTAAACTTTATATAAACAATCTTATATTTTTATTAAATTGTTTAAAAAAAAACTAAACAGGTAATTAGGATGTTAAAATGATACAAAATTATTATCAAATATTAATATTTTATATTTCTTATTTGAATTTCGTTTTTATTAAATTAGGAATAATCATTTTACATATAAAAAGTGTATTTTTAAAAAAAAGGGTAGTTTTCAAATTAAAAATTCATCAAAAAATATATTTCAAAAAAAAAATTATTAATATGGTTATAAATGTTTTGAATAATTATATATTATTTTTATTTTAGTAACTTTTGGTTAAACCGCTCTTGCACCCGCTGGCTAACCAGTCAAAAATATCCCGCAAACGCAACCGCTATGAATTGCTATACCAGTCGTACAAACAGCTTTTAATCGCAAACTCCCGCTTCCGCAAACTCCCGCAGCCGCAAACTCCCGCAACCGCAACCGCAGCGGTTAAACCAGTCAGACCCTAACTTTATTTTAACAAAACATTACTAGATAACTATTAATTAAAAATAAAAAACGAAAATATTATGATGAATAATTACTATTTTATTTTTGTTCAGTTATTTAAAATTTAGAATTAAAAAATTGATAAATATAGAGAAAATGTTTTATAAACAACTTTAATATCACATAAACCATAATATAAAGTCACAAAAATAAGAATACAAAATATTTTAGCAGATAATTAGGAATAAAAATGTTTATTAGTTTAAAATGAAAAAATTCAAAATCAAATTATGATTTTTTTAATTATTTAAATTTATTTTTATTAATTAAATTTCGTTCTAATTGAATTATTCAGAAATTTCAAATTTGAATAATTATTCTAGTTTGAAAATTTAAATATGAATAACTATTCTAGTTTGAAATTTCAAATTTGGAAATTTCGTGATTTTTTTTTCAATCCGCAACCGCCTGCAACCGCAAACACTTGCGGAAATGACTTTCAGAGTTATAAAGCGGTACGGAGTGGTATACAGCGGTTCAAAGTGGTTGTCATAATTATTATAAAACGCCAAGAATCACTATGAACCGCAAACGCTGCAGGTGATAGCGAGAGAACCAATCATCATCTTACTGATTTATGGCGTAGTTAAAGTTTGAACTGAAGTGATAAATGTGATATCAACAAGGTTTCGTGGTGTAGTTGGTTATCACGTCAGTCTAACACACTGAAGGTCTCCGGTTCGAACCCGGGCGAAGCCATTTATTTACATTTTTATTTCACATTTAACCACTAAAATAAAAAAAAGAGAGTCATAGTTGTGATGTCTAAATTTGCGAGAAACTTTCCCGTACTCTTTCTATTTGCGGCGATCACATGGTGACAATTTAAATTAGGTTATTTGTCATGACGTATTTAAAAAACAAAAATTTGGAAAACTTAATAAAACCGGAAACTTGGTTTCAAGGTTGAGAGCTTACGCAATCCAAGTCATTTACCTAATAATTGCTTACTATATAATTTTTCTGTCGTTTCTCATTTATTTTATTATATGAATGTAGAGCGAAGTTGGACTTCCAAGTTCTAAGCACCAACTAGCAAAACCCCACAAGTTTGTCTACACTTATTCAAACAGATAATGTTTTCTCGTATATCTTCAAAGAAGATAATGTTTGCTCATACATCTTCTTCACAAAAGAATATTTTGTTTCTTTCTTTCATGAGACATCATCTTTCTCAGTGGCGGACCTAGGAATAATTTTTACCTGGGTCAAAATATTATAGGTGTCACTAGAGGAGACTCGAACCGGGATTAGGGGGGTCAAGAGAGGAAATTTTTAACCAACTATGCTGTGAATTACTTAATGTACAATGTAACAAATGAAATATATATTATTTAAGGGGTGTCAGCTGAATCCCCTTCCTCTAACGTAGATCCGCCTTTGATCTTTCTCATATGTTTGAAAATATTGGAGAAAACATAGAGATATAAGGATTTTTACTGTTTTTACAGCATTTCCAAAGTATGTTTTACCAACATAGTCTGGTAATAATGGACCCACGGCTGTGATACCCGCCATCAGAGTTCGACGCCTGGCCACTGCGAATTTTACATACCGGCTGCAGTGTCCCAGACCACCAGTTCCAGAGGGCCCTTTAGTGGCTGTTAGAGGAGAAATTAGCACATTTCCCTGAGTCCGTCATCATTAGTAAAGTCACAAAGCCCAATCCAACTTTAGGCCTAACCTCCTCAACAAAAGGCACAATCCATGGAGAAATGTAAATAAATCTTCATGCCAATTTAAGGAATGGAAAGAGATCAAGAACAAGAGGAAGTTTTTCATATCGCAAAAGAGGAAGTTTTCCGTCTCGCTCAAAGGAAGATATTCATCTTCAACCAACCTATCAATACTATATATTGAAGATCCCTCATCGGGGAAAAGGCATCCGAAATCATCTAGAATCACTAGGCTTTTGCTCCCGCTTTACTCTTTCTTCTGGTTCATCATAATTATCTCGCTAGGCTTGTTAGCGAGATAACCTCTTTGTAACTTCCTTGATATTCTTTGAGTCGAATTAAGCATTCCAGTTTCCTAAACTCACATCTTTGATAGCCCGTCTTAACGTGCTATCTCGGATCTAACAGATGCTTAAAAATCCCTGGTCGTGGACTTCGGTCCAGTAGGCTAGTCGGTTCACAAATGTGGTCTGGATACTAGGTTAGCAAAAAAAAAAACATGTCATAAAAACTGTAGATATATATTCTACTATAACTGTACCGGATCCACAATATTTTTCTTCCCGAGTAATCATCTTAAATCTCTAGATGCTATAAGCTTTTCTCTATAGTCAAAATATTTTTTTATACTACAACCTAAAAAGGTAAAAGTTCGTACAACGGGATCAGATTGTCGCTTTTGTGTTCCTTCGTCCACAATTTAACAAAAGAATTGTGAATAACCTTTTACAATATGCAATAGTTCTAAAGAAACAAAAAGAAAGAAGAGATTTGGTTTTATATGCTTTTGTTAATAACGAAATGAAAACGAAATCTTAACAATCTTAAACAACTCATTAATCAGAAGAAAAGACACCATAGAAACACATTTCTTCAGACTTGTATTCTACACCATACCGAGAAATCCAAGGCAAACATTCACAGCTGTTTCTCAAGCAAACAGCAAGATGAAGGCAAGTATAGGTGTATGTATGTGTTTATATGGCTTCTTTGATTGACGTTATAAAATTTTATCATTTTCAAATGCAGCAAAAGATCTTGATACGAGTGACTATGACCGATGACAAAACACGAGCAAAAGCAATGAACAAAGCCGTTCAATTTACAGGTAAGAAGACTTTCCCTCACAAAAAGATACAAATCTATATTGGAACCAACCAACGCTTTATACGATGGTTTATAGGTGTGTCAGCCGTGGAAATAAAAGGCGATCACAGGAACCAGATAGAGGTAACAGGTAACGAAGTTGACATGATCGGCCTCACCAAAAAACTCAGGAGGAAAGTAGCGTTTGCAGAGCTTGTTAGCGTAACCAAAGTCGAACCTCCAAAGAAACCTGAGGAGAAGAAGGAAGGGGACAAAAAGGACGCAGCTAAAAAAGACGGTGACAAAAAAGATGGTGACAAAAAAGATGGTGGTGATAAGAAAGATGGTGGTGATAAGAAACCTCCAAAGAAAAAAGTCATGCCATGTTATCCATGTCCCCAAGGATATGGTGTGCCTTCCGCCTTTCCCTATCCGTGCGACCCCCGCGACTACATAGGGGAACCCGTTTACAATCACGAACCCAATTGCACAATCTTGTAAAGATTGATGAAGAAGAGACCTCAGTTTGTGACCATGATCACCAATGTTTTCTTTGTTGTAAACACTAAAGAAGCAACGTTTTTTACCACTTAGTCACATGAATAAAGCTCTTTATGCACTGCCTACTAAAGTATTTGTATTAGCACCATCATAGTATTAGGCCAAGAATGTGTTTCCTTACATTCTAATATCAAAGAGAGAGCAAAGGCTTCTTTTTCTTTTACAAACAATTAAGCCACTGACCTTAAACTTAGATGAAATAAAAGAAATATGTTGTTACCCATTCAAAATGAACATTGACTTATATACATGAGCTAAGTTCTTAACCAACTAACTAATCATCTAAAGTTCAAACCATCTTAAGACTGATTCCACGCCGTCCATTTTACCATCATCGTTATTCGAACCTCAGTTTGAATAAGATATCTTGAAATTTCATATTTTTCCAATTATTCTCTGACTCCGGCTCTCAAATAATTGCTCTCCCTTCTCTAGATTTTCGAAATCTGGAAAATATAATTTGTAAATAAACTTTGATATTCCCGAAGCACCTATTGTTGTCTTAACCCGCCAAAAAAGGAAGTAACGTACTTAAAAGGGCTTTCACGTCATTTCCAGTTAAGCAAATCAGCCTGAAAAGCTAACGGTGTTCCCGAGACCCCATCGCAAACCCAAAAGAGAAACAAAATTAATTAAAATCACACATATCTTTCACTTTCCCACAATAACAAGACAAAAGCAGAGTCCGTCCCCCACTCCAATTCTCAATTTTGCCTTCCTTCTCCTGTAGCGATTTCAGATTTGATCGTAATCGTGATCGTGATCGATTCACTCTGTAACACAAGACAGTAACTAAAATGGCGTCCATGGCTGCAATTGGAGTTCTTAGAGCACCTGCTGCTTTCAGCTCCGATTCACTCACGGAGGCGGTTCCTACGAGGTCTCTCTCTTTCTCTTCATCTCTAGGTTTATCCGAAGAGAAGCTTTCTCTCAGAGCGACCGTCTCTCGTCGCCTCGAATCCGCTGCTCGTAGCCGAGGTAGGACTCCGATGATCGTCTCTCCTAAAGCTGTCTCCGATTCTCAAAACTCCCAGACTTGTCTCGATCCTGACGCGAGCAGGGTGAGTATCGCTTCACTCTTCTTCCTGATACGATTGTCAGGGAATTGCTTACGAGAAATGTAGCTGGGATTTGATGATCTACTAATAGACTGATTGTGATCTTGACACTTTGTTGTTCCATGGCAGAGTGTTTTGGGGATCATCTTAGGAGGTGGAGCTGGGACTCGTCTCTATCCTCTGACCAAGAAGAGAGCGAAACCAGCTGTTCCTCTTGGCGCAAACTATAGGCTCATTGATATTCCCGTGAGCAACTGCTTGAACAGCAACATCAACAAAATCTACGTCCTCACGCAGTTCAATTCCGCGTCTCTGAATCGCCATCTTTCACGAGCTTACGCGTCCAACATGGGAGGTTACAAGAACGAAGGCTTTGTTGAAGTCCTTGCCGCTCAACAAAGTCCTGAAAACCCCAACTGGTTCCAGGTAAAATATAACGTTGTGTGACTGATGTTGTGGCTTGTGGGTTTTGTTCTGTAACTTGTGTGGTTGTGTAGGGGACGGCTGATGCAGTGAGGCAATATCTGTGGTTGTTCGAGGAGCATAATGTTTTGGAGTATCTGATTCTTGCGGGGGATCATTTGTATCGAATGGATTATGAGAAGTTTATTCAAGCACATAGGGAGACTGATGCTGATATCACAGTAGCTGCATTACCGATGGATGAGGAACGAGCTACTGCTTTTGGGTTGATGAAGATTGATGAGGAAGGACGTATTGTTGAATTTGCCGAGAAACCAAAAGGGGAGCAACTAAAGGCCATGAAGGTAACGCTAGTTCTCTGCTTCATCAATAAGCTTTGCAACTATCTTGTTAAGAAAGTTTTGATTTCTTGGTTTTTACTAGGTTGACACAACGATTCTAGGTCTTGATGATAAGAGAGCCAAGGAGATGCCTTTCATTGCTAGTATGGGTATTTACGTTGTTAGCAAAGATGTGATGCTTGAGTTACTGCGGAACAAGTTTCCTGGAGCTAATGACTTTGGAAGTGAAGTTATTCCCGGTGCGACTTCCCTTGGACTGAGGGTAAGTGCTTTCTCTACTACACTAGCTTAGCTTTGATGTTGATGTTTATAACATGTAGTTGTAGCTGATGGTGCTATAAGAAGCAAAACCTGGTAACTTTGATGACGTTTTGCAGGTGCAAGCTTACTTATACGATGGCTACTGGGAAGACATTGGTACTATAGAGGCGTTCTATAACGCAAACCTCGGAATCACCAAAAAACCAATTCCTGATTTTAGGTATAGCTACTACATTACAAGGGGAATATATAAACTCTAATGTATCTGAATGATATCTTAACGATTTTGAATTCTTGATGGCAGTTTCTATGATCGTTCCGCTCCTATCTACACACAGCCACGTTACTTACCACCGTCAAAGATGCTCGATGCTGATGTCACGGACAGTGTCATCGGAGAGGGCTGCGTTATCAAGGTAAAAATCAAATAGCTTCCTCTTCTATATGCTTTACATACAACACAACGAATCACCTAAAATCTGTATGAATTTTGGATGCAGAACTGCAAAATTCATCACTCAGTGATTGGACTCCGCTCCTGCATATCAGAAGGTGCTATTATCGAAGATTCGTTACTAATGGGAGCGGACTATTACGAGGTAAATGCAACCCCATCTCTCTCTCACAAATCCACTTGAATTAAGTGATTGTGATAATATCATCAACCTCTTGATGAGCAAATCTTCTTTTCTTATTGTATTTTTTCCTAGACTGCCTCGGAAAAGAGTCTCCTAACCGCGAAAGGAAGTGTACCAATAGGTATCGGTAAAAACTCGCACATCAAAAGGGCCATCATCGACAAAAACGCACGTATTGGCGACAATGTCAAGGTAAGGTTTTATATTTTGGAACACCTATACACTAAGAGATATGTATGCTATCTTTCTTGTTCATACTTGCTCTGGTCTTAAGAAAGTGTTTGGTCTGAACTTTTGGCACAGATCATAAACAGCGACAACGTGCAAGAGGCAGCGAGAGAGACAGAAGGTTATTTCATAAAGAGCGGAATTGTAACCGTTATCAAGGACGCCTTTATCCCAACAGGCAGTATCATATAAACCAGACACATCATGCTCCTTTTTTTTTAATTTCTCCTTCTTCCTATAAACAGAGGCAGAGACACACTTGATAATGTATAAGTCTATTCAATAAGCTATAAGCCCCAAGCTGGAAATTTTATTCTCTAAATCTATTGACTTTCATTCTTTTTTTCCCATATGGTTTTAGAAACATTATTACCGGCAAAAACCAAATAGAAAACCAACTTTTTGACAAATTACGTATCCCTCTGAGCATATGCAACACAATCTGGCACACAACCATTTGAATAAATCTCGTCAATCTTCGTCTATTGGTAAAGAGTGGCATTAAGAAACAAAGGACTAAGAAAGCCATAAAGTAGAAGTCAAGTTTTTTTTTTTGTAAATGAGCTACTTTTTGCCTATACAGCTCAACTTTCATTTCTTCTTCTACTTCTTCACTAAGTCTGACTTCAACTTTTATATGAGTCTCTAACTGTTGGTTGCATACCAGGGTTTAGTGTGCTGTATTGTTCGTTCTTTCTCCTCATCTTCTGCCGATCATGTTCCTCCATTTGTCCTTGAGATCAGCCGGCGTTCGTGTTTCGTGGAACACATCTTTTCCCATTTCCAGAACTTTTCTCCATGGCATATACTTGTTTGCTTCTGCTGCGAATTTCTCCACTCCCACCTGAGTCAACACATATAAATAACAATTCTTATCCAATTCATGAGATGATAGAAAAAAAACGGCCAGTGTTTATTATACCTTCAGCATTTCTTCTTCTTTTAACGTCCAATACAGCCTCCTCCTCTGATCCTTGTTAAAAAAAATGTCCCTGCAAATCCATGAGTTAATTTTCTACAGTTAATGTGGAAATGAGTTAAGATACTATTCATGTTCCAGTGAATGAAGGAAAAAGGAACAACCTCGCTGTCTTTGGCTTAGCCACGTTGGTTGTTTCGCTAACTTTTCTCTGGTGGTTCTTCATCTTCCCTGACGGAGAAGTTACTTTAGCCGATGAAGTTATCTTCCCAGTTACATCTTCTCCATTTCGTTCGTTAGTTGATTCATTTGACGAGATTTCACTGTCGATATCGTTCAACACTAGCTGTCTTCTCCTTCTTGGCTTCTCATTCTGCTTGACCTGCTCTTGTTCTTTTCCTGAAAACGATTCTTGCATAGACAAAAACGGTGAAGCCTCTCCCTTTTTCCCTGCACGTGTATTGACGTTAGTTTGATCTTTAGCTGTTTCGTCGTCCTTGTCATCTTCAGCATCTTGAAATCTCTCTGTATCCACCCTCTCTTCGTCTTCCGATGCTTCATTCTCGTCTATAGTTTTATCTCCTGATTCCAACTTCCCTTTATCCTCTTCTGGTTGATCGATTTCCTCAGTTAAAGGCATCGTCTCACCCTTTGATTTATCAGAATCATTCTCAGCTTCCACTTGTTCCTCTTTTGATGAACACACATCCTTCTCTCCTTGCAACTCTTGATCACTTATAATGTCAGTACCGTCTTCTGAACGCTCTTCGTTTCCATCTTCATCACCAGATAAGTTTGCATCCTCTTGACTTTTGACAACACTCTCTGTGCTGTTCATCTCTTTATCTAGATACTTAGAGACCGCCTTCTCCGCCTCAACGGCCTTCTCTCTCAATGAGTTCGTTTTCGTTGTTAGGAATTTGAACCAGCAGTAAGGACAGAATGAATTCGCAAGATCCTCAGCGTTCACACACTCCCCGTGAAATGAAAGAAAACAGCCGATCCCAGCGCAACGAATAACCCGCTCGTCTGAAATTTCGCATACAATGCAAGCATCTAAGCTCAGCGTCTTCGATCCTTCACTACTAGTCTCAGTTTTCCCACGGCAACGACGCTTCTTGAGAGGCACATCTCTTTCATCAAAACTATCTGGAACAGCCTCAACGTCGGCATCACACTGTGTGGTGTTCACACCGGAACCAACTCCTTCATTAGCTCCATCCTGTGAAAGAACATGCTGAAAAATTATAGCCTCTAAAATTCAAGCTCCATAAACACACATAACATGCAAAACTGGAATTTCACAAACAGCTGCAATTGAAACCAGCAGGAGAAGATTAACGAGGAAGAATTATCCGAACTTAGTGAACGAAATCATTTGAACTAGAAATTGAACCATACGATATGAAACGAATTCGCCAAATAGGGAAGATTCGGGAATCAACAGTTTTGGTTCAGCGGAAGAGCTAACGAAACTACCAAGCGTTGAGAGTCAAAAATCAGTCATGTCGCTGCATCACGAAACCTCTGAAGTGTAAAGCAGAAAGCATAACATCTAATTTTCCGATTTCCATAGGAGACTACTCGGAAGAAACAAATTACCGGAAGGGGTGCAGGGGATGGATTGGGATGGAGGGAGTTGCGCGAAGACCTAACCAGAAGCGATTTCGATCTCATATTGATCTTCTTCAGCTGTCTGTCTACAGTTTCTCTACAGTTTTCGAAATCGCCATGAATGAACAGTGAACAGTGTATTTTCCAATTTTATAGTGTTGAAGACGAGAAGCGTAGTGAGGAAGATGGTTTTTTCTCTCCGTGCCTTTGAAACCCAGCAAGTGGCCTTGGGAAAAATGAGTCGACTTTAATTCAATTTACGCCAATTTCGTTGGTATAACCATTAATGCGCATTTTTTTGTCAGAAATAAGCACCAACTTAAGATGATTTGATGTATAATAATTAGTCTCACTATCATCATAAACTGTATACAGATTGCGTATTTTCAACCATTTTTGTATCTTCTTAATTTTTTGTGTGGTAGAGTTAGCATAATCAAGAAAATACTTTATCAAATTTAGCATATACCAAATTACAAATAAATAGTAAGAAAACGAGTGACGTTGTGGTGCTTTTACGATGGTCCCATTTGTCTATTTTGAACAAACATCGACCTTCTTCGGCTTCCGAATTCATACAATGATGATAAGATATCTTTGATATGAACTGACGCGGTTACAATCATTCTTGACCATTAAGACTTGTTGAAAAGTTAATATTTATTATACACGATAATATCAAAACAAATGAATGGAGAAAGAATGAAGTTTGTGTTCATATATATCAATGAAACTAGACATAGAAGTAGGAAGAGTGATTGGTAGTAGTGTCTCTAGAGAGAATGGAGCGTGCCTCAATCACCGAACGAGGAGCCTCCATATCCTTCTCCTGTAGCGAGTTCCCTTGCAGCCTCTGCATCTCTGATGCAAACGTGTCCTCCACTATCTGCACACACATTTTTATCACAACTCAATTTCTTCAACCTCAAAAGAATTTCTCTATTTATGGTTTACTGCTAAAAATATAATTTGTACCCCAAGAGCATAGTAGGAGCCTTTGTATCCTACTTCATTCTCCTTTCTTCCCTCAAGAAACTTCAACACAACCTGTGGTAAAAAAAAACCTCATGATCAATGAATCATTGATTCATATAGCAGAGTTTGTATTTTTCCTAATGTGTATGAGAATTACCTGTGCCATTCTGTCCCAGAAAAGGCGGCACGAAGCCACAAATATCTGACTTGTGAAGACATCATGCAGATTTGAGATTGAGTCAGTGATCTGTAAGCATAACATCTTCATACGTTCACGGACTTCGACTTCTCTCTCATTTTCTTTTATTTCCTCTAAGATTCTCTTCAGCCTTGTGCTTTTGTTTGATTGCGTCTGAAACATCCATCCACACACACACAGATTGTTAAAACAAGCATAGATTCAATTCAAATGCAGCAGATACAAGGCGTTATAGAACTTACGTTGCTAACAAGTTTATCAACCGCCGCTTGCATGTAGTTTCTGTATTTTGTCCTGAGCAAGACCGTGATTACATTCATCTGCTCCCCAAAGAGCGACTTCTTGTCTTCAACAACAGGAAGACACGAAGCCCACTGTCTCAAAATATCCTCAACTCTGCGATGTAGAACATCAAGAATTCTCTTTATGGTGTTGACAAAAGTTCCCAGCTGCATCCAACAAGAAACAATGATGTTCAACATAGTTCCGATCCTTGTAAGCCAGAAATGTAAAAAAAAACTTATATTGGACATGTTCGGTGTGTGGCTCTTACTTGAGTTGGAACAGAGTAGAGAGCTGAAGATTGCCTTCTTGTCAGCTTCTGAACATGCATGTTTAGCCTCTTTGGAATGCTGTCTTTTAAAGGAGTCAGTATGTCATTGTATTGTTTCTCCAGCGATTTAACAATGGCTCTCTCTACAATTGAAGCAGTCTTCCAAAAGAGTACATGACAAATAGAGTAAACACAAGTTAGTCTTGATAAGCAGCAAACTTATCACTCATATAAACTATGTAGCTCACATTTTCCAAGATCAGTGTATATTGTGGCCATCTACTAATCACCACTTCATACTCTATAAGAGAATCTTTTATTCTCTCATACATGTCCTCAGCAAATGGTGATGTTGAGTGATTTGTTATTACACCAGACCATGGAACCTGCCAAAAGCTTGTTACAGTCAAATGATATGCTTTTTTTATTTTGAGGATCAACCCAAAATAATCAGGATGGTACCTTTTCGGCTTTGCATCGGTCAAGTAGTCTAAGTTCCATATCATGTATCCAAACCATTATGTAGTTGTGGAATAATCCCCTCGAGTCTATGCCACCCTGTACAGGACTGCATAGAGTAAAGTAAAACTGTTAAGAGATTGAATGAGGGTCCATCATATTTTGATTCCAGAAAGCTAATGTCAAACCTGATGCCCCATGAATCGAGTTTTCTTTCGAAATCGGAAACTGCTATCAGAAGCTCATTGACATGAGGCAGTGGGCAGGATGGTGGCACTGCTGACAGAAAAAACCTGAGCCGGGTACATAGTTGAGTGCTGTATACGGCAGCTGCTATATTTGATAGGTCGATTGAGCTTGAAATGACAAACAAAGTATGAGAAAATAAGACCGAATCAATATCAAGAGATTGTCTGAAGATGAAAACAAGATGACAAATGTCAGTTCCATGTTTGAATTGGATCATAGTACCTTGGGAATACATGCTCACTGGTGATCTTTATATCAGTCTCTATTTCGTTGCTTATGTTTTGACAAAGATTCTTCATTTTCAGGTAGGCTGTAGAGATTGTGACGGAATCCAAAAGAAAACCTTCAGAGTTGCAGGAAACATACTCATCGGTTTCAACCATGTGCATCCGACACCTCTTCTTTGCTGCTGTCTGCAGTAGATTTTCCATTAGAGAAAATAAATTTGTGCTCATCTCATCATACTTTATATAACTGTGAACATCATAGTCTTGAAGATGGTTGAAAAGCCTACCTGAAGGTAATTCTTCAAAATATCTTGTGCTTCAAGAGACAATATATCATTAAGGAGGCTGAAAACCTGAACAGCTGGAGAAAGTGCTGCTGAAGCCGTCTCTTTCACCGGACCAGATATGTCTGCCAAACCTGATGGGTAGTTTTCATCTAAGGACTTGTAATTCTCAAAAACGTTTGCCAAGAGTTTTTCTATCTCTATCTCACAATCCATTAAGATACTTTTCTGCAAAAGTAGAATGTGTCGTCAATAACTACCCCTAGAGAGCCACAAAGGTAATCAAGCAAGCAGCAATCAAACTAAAATGTGATCTGCAGAAGAAAGGGGGAGTTTACCTCCTGCCTGGTCAAACATTTCTCACTTCGAGCCATTAGGATTGGCACAAGTAACTCATGCACAAGTAGTAAGCAGGTTTTTGTTGGAGTTGCCACATTCATCACATGTGAAAGATATCTGCAATGTATGGTGCAATATGTTTGAGCTAATAGATCTTGAAATCTAGATACAACACTCTAACTAAATGTCTTTACCTCAGTTTAGTATATGAATCGGAAACTCCGTAATATTCTGCGAATTCGCTTAACAGCCATTTCCAAGATCCATTCAGGCTTAAGTTCTGAGAATGAAACTTTTGAGCACGTGTAGCAGCTTCTACTAGCAAATCGTATGCCAGTGTCTCCACAACAGGTGCACTCTGTAACATACAAAGATGCAAAACTTTAGTAAGGGGCATTATCTCACAGGAAAAAACATAGAGAATCTGAGGATTGTTGGAGAAAGAACAAACCTTTATGTGATAGTCTTCATCGGATGTGGTCGTGTTACCAATAAAGAGCTGGATCTTGCCAACACATTCTTGTTCACCATGGTATATTGGCCACCACCTAACATTTTCATTCTGAACAAATAGATTTTTCTTCAATATAGCTAATTTTTTACAAAGCACCAAAACGTATTCTGAGAGAAGGACACCTAAAGTCATATTTACCGGATTTTCAGTCAAGGATGCAATAGGAATCGTTACTTTTCCTTGAACTGATTTCTTCTTATCTTGAATTTCTATCAGAATAGCGTCGCCTTCGGACTCGGGAAAGCTGAATGAGGAGTTGTGAGTAAGACTCTCTGTACTCAGAAAACTATACAACTAAAATTCTAAAACTTTCCACGAAGTTCTTATTTATTCAAACAATATGGCATAGCTACAGGTAAGTTCATAATTTTCTCAAACAACCATTTGCAGACATAGCTAGGAGACACATTCATTGATTTTCAAGAGAGAAAAAGGGCTTACAAGACATGGTAACTTCCAGTTCCTGATTGCAAACAAACAGAAGATCCTTGTTCAATTTGACCTCCTTCTGCTGTGCTCTTCATTTGAAGGTAGCAGGAGAATTGTTCTGCAAGTAGAATCATAAGAATAAGTCTTGTCATTTGATATCAATAGATGTTTTATCTAGGCCTATACTTATAAATATCATGAAAATGGTTGAATATATGATTAGTTCCACGTAACAAAATCAGAACCTTCTGAAACTGCTGAGAGGGTAGCCTGTTTAATAGAACTCATCCCAGTCTTCACAAGTGATGAAACTTGTCGGCAATACTCTGCTCCCATTGGCATATTCATTAAACTCCGCAGCGAATCTATGCCTCTAAGTTTGCGTTGTGGTATCAATCGAAGTCTCTTTACTAAAACAATCAAAAGAAAATAGGTATAAATATCTGATTCATGTCAGGCAGCTACAAGACTTATTTTCGTATTCAAGATTTAGCACATTCAGAAAAAGAAAAGTTTACCTTCCACCCTTAACTTCCTGACCATGTTTTTAGCCTTCAGGGATGTCTTTTGCTCTGCTTTCACATTTTTGTTTTCTTCAGTGGCTCGCAAACCCCGGGGTTGTAAGAGAAACTTATGCAAACTATAACAACACATATACAAAAGACTGGCTCAATAACTCAATACAAGACAAAAAAAGTCATTTCTTAGAAACCGTAAAGAAACACACTTCCTACCCAAATGCACCTCGAAGAAGACGACACTCATCACGCAGAAACTCAGGTGCCTCAGAAGATCCCTTTGACCATGCATACAAACATAGTCTTACGCAAGCATCATATGCCAGAAGACTTTGCCAAGCATATTGACCACTGCCGTTGAAAGATTGTAAAGAGAAATGTCAACATTTTGTTTGCCATAGTAAAGTTCATTCAAAATATTGAAGAAAACTTAACCTGATACTATGGCAATCTAATTCATCCGAGTGGATTTCCTGGATTTGCTCATCTTCCCCATTTTTAGTATCCCTCACACTGCACCAAACCGTGGTTAAACACATCAAGACTGGTCCACATAAAAAAAATAGAAAGCTCGTTAAAGCCAGCAGCAGTACCTTTCCCCAATTTCTGCATCTATATACAATTGCGAACTTTTATAATCAGCTATGCCTCCCATGTTTACTTGATTACTATCTACTCCCGCTTCTCTGCAAATCTCATCCTCAATCTGCTCAATTTCCCTTTCCATTTCCAAGCTGTTATCTTCTTGTCCACTTTCCATTATTGGAGGTGCGCTTGGTGTTCCCATATCTTCCATGTCCCAGTACACCGAACCCTGAAACAGTAAAATTCAATATCATATTTAGCTTAATATTAGGGCCTTTTGCAAGTATACACTTAGACTTTTAATTCAGCGGTAACATATCTACAATTACGCAATTCAAAATTTCAGTGAGGCCAAATAGGTATACCTTGGAGCTCAGAGTATGTGGCCGTTCCTGGGGGAGACAACTAGCTGGAGTTGAATTCTTCAGAGCGAATTTCCGGAGTCCTAATTCACCGTCGGTGACTCTTCTTTTCGCAAACGGAACTTCAATTCTCAGATTCTTATTTTCCAGCATCCCTCTGTTCAATTTTGAGCTGGACTTATGCGGCCCAAACACTTCTTCTTCATCGTAACGTCTCTCAACTACCTCTGCCTCGTCATCTTCAACATCGTAATCGGAGAATAACTCGTTGCCTCCTCCGGCGTCCGAAACGGATGAGATACTCATTTCCTCGTCTTCTTTGTTTTCCTCGTCGGAATCGTCATCACCATCGTGAAGAATGTGAGTCACGAGCGTAGGCGATGATAGGCCGGAGTTCCAATTCAAGTGAGGTAAGCTCTTAGGAGAGACAAACGAGAGAGGAGATCGTGGGAAGGTAGCTGGAGAAAGGTTCTCGGAGAGAGGAGATCTGACGCGAGGTTGAAGTTGAATCTCCGATTTGGGTGATCCTTTTCTGATACAGGTCGCCATGGAGAGACGAAATGTGCAGCTAGAGCGAGAGAGACGAAATGTGCAGCTGTGAGTGAGAGAGAGAGAGAGAGAGAGAGGAAATGAGAAGGAGCGGCTGTTTCGAAAAAAGGAAAGGCAACGGCTAGTTTTGACATGTGCCACTGCTTTCCGTATAATTGAAGGAGACTATTGGCCAATTCCTTAATTTATTAAATTTTAGAGGCTTTTTGAGAAAACTGTCCATTTTTATTGTTGTCATTCAGAATTTTCTCTGTAAGGATATTTATTTAGTTCTATAAATTTCACAAAATAATAAAATTTTGTAACTTAGAATTAAAAGCTTCGTTCAATTACTGTGGTCGGAAATAATATCTAGTTCGAACTATATAGTTATGTACAATATTAAGGAATTTTCAGTAAGCGAAGGTGTAATAAAATGCGGTTGAAAAACACGCGCTGAAGGATTGGCGCGTGGAGATTACAGACATTCGACCAGAAGACCCATTTCTATAAGCTCGGCGAAGAGATGTGTGTGTAGAGTTGACACAGATCTCCAGGGGAGATGCAGAACCCAAACTCATCCATGGTGGATCCAACTTCCGCACCTAAACGATACACTCCACCTAACCAAAGGTAGTAATTTCTCATATGCTTCCGACTGATTTCGATTTCTCGGCTTCCTTTGAGGTTTCTTTTCTGCCTCGTAGGAACCGTTCTTCGAACCGAAGGAGATCAAGAGGTTCGTAGGTTCCCTCTTTTTTTTTCTTGTATTGATTTCTAGAGTATCTAATTTTTTTTGGTTACACAGCTTAGACTAGCAAATTTAGAGGAAGAGAGCTTATCTCATTGTAGAGACACTGCTCCACTTAGTAGCATAAAAAATCTGTAAGCAGTTGCTTTGTGACGTTATGAACATTTTGAGTGATAATGATTCAATTTTTAATCTGTAATTCAGATTTTGCAGTCATTATATTGAAAAAATCTGGAGGTTTTTCATGTGGTTTTTTCAGGACAATTTCATTATCTTGCTGGTTGTTTTAGCAATTATAGAAGATTCAGACCACTTTTGCTTGTAATGATTTTATTATATACGGCATGTGTGTGTGTGTTTGTTTGTGGTTATTTCCTTTTTGCTAAAGTAAATGGAGAACAACTTGATGAAACAGGAAGCTCCATTGGCAACGAGGGGGAGAGAAGTCAGCCTGTTGCTGTTGGTTTCCAGAAGGAAAACTCTTCTCCAAGGATTATATCTCCAGAGGGTTGCTGTGGGAGTGAAGCTTATCAGCTTCTTAGTGGTCGTATGTTTTCTGAATTAAGTCTTTAATCATATTTTTGCTTCTGTTCGATCTCATCACTGTCTCCTACTTCTCTCAAATCTTACGGAAGCGTTGCCTTTTATATTCATATTGTCCACTTTTATCTGATGACTAAACTAAAAAACAAGCATGTATGAGATAAGTGTACTATTTATGTGCTTTTGTGGAACCTTTGAATTGAGTTCTAGGGTGAAAATAGTTTGAAAATCATGAGGTTGGAGCTTGATAAGAATAACACTGAATACAAATGCCTTATCAACATGTGAATTGTTAGTGGAATCAACATGTATAGAAGGGGTCGAGTGAGTGGCTCTGGTTTGGGACCTTGAGAGAGTTAGGGTGCTCTATCATTGACACTTGATTACGATTCTTTGATATGTGTGTATGTGTGTGTGTCTCATTTTCGAAGCACTTTGCTATTTTGATTGTAGGTTGGGCAGCTGCAATGCATCTATACAATGACCCTACTGTTGATTTGTCTGGTATATGATCAATTGTTTTGTTCCCGGAAATATGATATACATATGTTCCCACCTTGATATTCTGTTTGTGTAATTTTTACAGAAAGACCAATGATGTATTATGGCGGGGATGTGTGGGGTAAACTGCCTCACACTGTGAAACCGGTATCAGTTTCTTTCTTATGCTTTTAATGTCTATGAATATTGTTCTTTCTTGTTTGTTAAGCGGGACTACACCATTTCAGATAATGGGTTCAGGAAACAGGACATTACCTCCTCCACCAATGTTGCCAACGGATTACAGAACCCTACACTCTCGTGGATTGGCTAATTCCAAGGTCGCCAAGTTCTAACAATTGAATGTTCTACATCTGGTCGAAGCTGATCTGACTTATGAAGCAGAGGCTGACAGGAACGCACAGAGAGAGAGAGAGTGAGTGAGCTCAAAGGCTATGAAGCTAATATGTGTATTCGTTTTCTTTTGTGCCAACATTGGTTATGACTTATGAGATGTACAGATCATTTGTGAAATCAAGATTCTGAAATTTTATATTCCCTCTGTCCCATAATGTAACCTGTTTTAGCTTATAAATATAAGCAGTTTTGATATTTCAATGCACTTTTAGTTTATGAAAAATTGTGTGACCACTTATATTTTTCATTCTTTTTTATGATTGGTTGGATTATATTTAATCTATATAAAATGATATTTTTTAAAGCAAAACAATTTTCTTAATTCTTGTGTTTAAGATAAAACAGTTTGCATTATGGGACAAAGGGAGTATTAAATATAACATTTTTTCACATACAAAATACAAGAGTCTAACAAGGAAGAAACATGGAAATTTCAAACAAAATAAGCGTGGAAATTCAAACAGAAGTAGCAAAGTTCTTGATGAAAATGTTGGCTGATTCTCGAACTTGCAGAAAGGATGACACTAGAACTCTGCTATAGATCGGAAACTAATACTTCCTATGTTTTCTTACCAAATCGTAGAACATAAGCAAACACCAATCTAGAAACCTATATCTCTCCTACTTCTACTCCATATGTGTCTTCGTCTTCTGGAGGTCGAATGAGCTGATCAGCAGGCTCTCTCTCCTCCATGTAATACTCTTCATTGGTCTGGAAAAGATACTTCAAAACCGAAGCTAAGAGGAGAATAAAAACGAGGATGTCCCAGCGCTTATCAACAAAAATTGCCCAGAATAGCTCCGAGCGAAGTAAATGCATGGTGGTACGATGAAGAAAGCCGTAAAAGCTGAAGCTGCTGCTATATAATACATTTGCCTTGCGTAGAAAGAAACAAGAAGGGACGGACTCTGTCAGGCTGATATCCGGTACGCACACAATATAAAAACTTCAAAATATTATTTATGTAAAAAATCTTTATAATTATATATTTTTCAAATAATCTCATTATGTATCTTAAATCTTGCATTTTTTTACTCATATTTTGACAAGAAGAGCAAACATTAAGAAAAAAATAAGCAAAATATAAGCAAAACATACGTAAAAAATGCAAAAATATATAATTATTAGTTACCAACTACACTAAACATTACAATAGGAAGAAAATTATATTTATATGGGTAGTCGTAAGCTCTCTTTATTAATTTTAATTTACTAGGCGAATAGCTTGTTAAGCTTGCTGTATATAGGTGGTTAAGTTTGGTTTAGTTGTCTCAACAGTATTTGCTTTGTATCACATTTCTAATCTACTGATGGTTAGAACCTTTGCTCTCTCTTTTATCATGTATAGTTGGGATATTTGAGCATCTCAAGCTCAGCAAGAACAGTTAAGGCACAAAATAAGATTGGCAAGCTTGTAAATTACAGAAAAAAACATGACTTCAACTACCGTGTGCCAAAAACCAAAAAAAATCATTACATGACATTTACTCAGGTTAGCTTGGAAAACAACCATATGCTCGATATGGACAGAGAGTAACCATCGCCGCGTGCATCAAATTTGGTTCCAATCCCAGTTAATTGTGTAAAACACGAATTACAAAATCCTAAAACTGATTTTTTTTTAACGGTGTTATATGGGGATAATGAATTTGAATTTATAGCACACTACTATATAGCCGAGTCCGTTACCCAAATGTCATGTACTACACGATCGTGAGTTTGTTTATGAATCTGATCATAGAAAGACTACATATAGATTCGACAATACGACTTCATATTAGAGAGTTCTAACATTCCACCCTTATTCTGTATTTCTTAGGTTTCCTCAAGATTCATTTTAACGGAGAGCATCTCTCTCGTATTTTACTATATCAACTTAACTTTATATTTTTGTTGATATGCATGATATAGCAGTACAAACTTGGAGAATTTAAACTGATTCTGGAATCAACGGACCCGAGGTTCGACTTACATATGATGATGATATATATGATCATATCCGATGATAGTAGCTTGGGCTTTTTCGTGAGCTGGACTCTGGCTTGTCGATGGGCTTATTTATTGATACTCTTATTTATTAGAGTGTATATAAATCATTTTGTTTTTTAATTATCTACGAAGGTAAATATCTATTGGTTTTTAGTTCCTGCTGTGTCACCGCCCAGTTACTTTTACATTCATCAAGTAAACCTAGCAATCCTACCGTAAGCAAATCGTGACCGTTGATTAAGAACACAGGATACACTAGGGTTTTAGTATTTTATATCGCTTTCTCTTTTCTTCTTCTCTTGCCAAGGCTCGTAAGTCGTAACGATTGTTCGGCGGCCACTGATCATTAAGCCATGGTGAGTACTCTTTTCTTCCGTTCATCATCCTCCGCTTCG